GGAGCTGAGGGTCACAAACTGAACCGAACACAAGCTGAAAATTCCTCACTGGAGCTTTAAGTACAAGTGTCTAAACTAGGGTTAGCTGACAAAATGATTTAACGCTGTAACCGTCACTTGTTGGCACCAAAACTTACTTTTACTTACTTAACTTTGAAGCCTCCGCCCCTCCCCGGAGCTGTAGTTCCACTTAAGGGCTGTCGCAATAATGCAGTAATGCTCTGTTTCACAGGTGAATTATGGCGTCTTGTAGAGCTTCATAGTTTTGCTGAAAGTGAAGAAAAAATCGGCTGTCTGTTTAAAGTGACATTGATTGGAGAAATACGTAACCAGCACAGACATTGGTGGTGCTACCTCTGCTAACGTTAGCCACACTTGTCAAACTGTTTATTATTTACCTGAAGTATGTGTGAATTAGTCAGTTAGTTGTTTTTTGTTGTTTGTTTCACTGACAAGGATATTAGTTGCCTCTGATCTTTCTTATTTAAGCTCTTCACTGGGGTGCCTCAGGGATCTTGGCTAGGTCCCCATCTATTCTCCTTTTTGCTCAGTATTTCATCTACAGTCCCTCTAGCCGAGAAACAAACACAAATTTTCTTCCTTTTTGTTGAAAATATGATGAGATATATGTTAGACGAAAATACGGACCCGCTTTTATAGACTTCCAGACCTGATTGTTGTGTCTTGGTACAGTGTTTTTAGACAAAAATCTGAAATTTGAGTGTTTGCTTTCCCACGTAGAAAACTAAATAGCTGATGGTCATGTGACTCAAATGTGAGTAGTAGTCTCAGGGTGAGCAGCAGCCAGAGGAGAGTGGCCGGTCCAGTCTTGTCCACCAGGCATCATTCAGACAGGGGATTTTGGTCACTGACAGTGGGATTTCAGGGGATTTGGTGTTGCAGTGGGCTGAAGAACCTCGTCCTCTGAGGTGTTTGGGGCCCTAATTACATTAAATCTACTGCTCTTACATAAGCTCTGGTGACTTTCATGAAGATAAACACGTCAAAATGTGTCGATATTTGAGTTTAAATGAGAAAAATAGAGTTGTATTTTCTATAATATTCTAAAAAAAACTGCTTTCAAGAGTTATTCTTAGAATTCAGTCAGTAGGCCACTGGGGCGATGTTATAAAGACATGTCAAATTTAGATCTTATTTTACGATTAAATGAGTTGTTATGTCAGAGTAGTGCTTTTAAGAGCTTCTTTAAGAGGGCATCGCCCATCTGAGAATAGCCTACAGGTATGACAAGGTGTGCGTGGATTCAAGTGTTCACTTAACTTTCTTTCTGACTGTGGCTCTCATTCAACTCATGACTCACCCGTCAAACCCGGGAGAAGCAACCGGCGCTCCACCCCTCATAATAATGCTGCCATTTACAGTGAGCATGGAGACAGTACACAGAATACACATTTGGACCTGCGTGATAAAAGCTTTAGTCAGAGACACATGAGGAATGCTGCAGGTCTCGAGCAGAGGCTGAAGTATCCCGACACCCTGTGCTGCTGGGACATCAGAGACTTAAAGGGATATTCTTGTGTCAAAAACACCATAACACCAAGTTAGACACCCCCTCCAGAGATGAGTGTTGCCGACCGCTTGCTTCTCTAGTTATACCAACTTCAGTAACAACCACATGATAACAATACACAGCAGTCTGAGGAGCCATAAAAAAAACCTCAACCAAAACGCCACTCTATAGACACAAATAATGCTCAGAACAGCACCTAACTTCATCAACAGTACATATAGGGCCTCAGCCACCAAACATCTTTTTAACTTTGCTAAATTTCTTCAGCAAAAAGACTAAACACAACTCACCTACTCTCTTCCAGCAGCCGCTTGTTTGTAGCGAGACCTCAGGCCAGTCCATTACAGACTACAGCGGAGTGCCGCAGCTCAAGGAAGAACATTTCTGATCATTTCTTCATAGAAATACAATCAGACCGAGACGCTAAGGCAGAAGAACTACCGCGTCTTCAGTGAAAAATGATTAATATGATGATTATTACTTAAAGGAAATTATAAAGAAATGAGTGGAGTTTTGGTTGAGGTTTGCACATGGAGATGTAGATCGCTGTGTATGGCTATCATGTGGTCATCACTAAAGTTGGTATAACTAGAGAAGCAAGCGGTCAGCAACATTCATCTCTCGAGGGGGTGTCTAACTCTGTGTTACAGTGTGTTTGACCTTAAATTAATTTTACACCGGAATATCCCTTTAAACAGTGAGCTTTGTGGACGCCCACAGAAGTTTCTCTGCTGAAGCCAAAACTCTGGTTTTAAAACCCACTTACACACATTCACACTCACTACTGTTCACACATTCACTCCTAAATCTGACTCCTGTGCGGATTATATAATCTCTCTCTCAGAAATGACCCCACGTGAAGGCACAACCTTGAACCCTCAGTGTGTTTTGGTAAAACTACAGACCTGGAGGAAGAAAAAAAAGTGAAGTTCTCGGGTGAACGGGATTCAGAGCGTGAATGCACACGTGCATTTTCTGTATGGACACGTGTGTGGTGTGTAGGAACCGTTTAGTGGTGTTTTCTGCCTTATTTTACATGTTTAAGACGATTCACCAACATTTAAGTCACAAACTGGAGACAGAGAAAGGTCTCGACGTGGTCTAAGTGTAGATAAACTCGGTGGTTTCATTAGCACATCGTGTTTTTGGACGGATATTTAACGAGGTGAGTAACGGTGATTTGCAGGCACGACGTGAGGGCGAGACCGACGTCATCCAGGGTTTCGTGATGCGTTTGAGTCCATCGGAAAAATGTCACTTCTTGTAAAGCTAGGTGACATGGTGTAATGTCAGTGCTACGTGTTTCAAAGTAAGGGGTCAGTTCAGGTGATGATTCAAAGGTATTAATATACACCTTAACTTCAACTACAGGAGGCTGAAAGCTGCTCTAATGAGTTTTCTTTTTCTTTTTCCTGGAGAGATTTTACATGGAAAAACAGAGCCGGCCCAAGCCTCAATGGGGCCCTAAGCAAAATTGATTATGGGGCCCTCTATTTCTGCCAACAATATTGATTGTTGATCATTCACACACCTTTACAAATTTCTTTAACATTCCATGACATGCAAACATACCTTTATCTTGGTGTTTTTTCTCTTCTTCCTCTTTCTTTTCTCTACTCCTGAAGGATGTGTCTTTTTTTGCGACATTGTTTTGCCCCACAAATACCTGCGCTTTGGATGCTCAGTGCACATTGCACAGCAGGAGGCACATAACAGTCGCGGAGCTTTGACATATCGGCAGTAAGAATCATAGGCCTACATCAGCAGCAGCACTACAATGTTTTTACTTTATTTTATTTTCACAATATTATATATTTGATCATACAGAAAGCATCACTCATATATGCAAAAAATAAAAAGTATTAAAATTATTATTATTTTTTGATTGCTTCGCTTATGCCTTGGGCCGACTCTGCGTAAAACAGAACAACGGCAGTTTTGTTTCTATTCAAACTTTTCTGGGAATTTTAAGACACTATTTAAATAATATTATTGTTTGGTCAAACTCATGAGAGATGATTTTTTTTGGGCAAACATGGATTTGGAGAGAAGGTGTTACATGTTTGAAAGAGCTAAATAATGACTAAAATGGCTTATATTTGGTTTTTGTTTAACAAAATGTTGCATGTTTTCACTTTTTAATCAGTATTTGTGAGTGGGGTGGATCTACCTGTGAACATATTTGTGTAGGGGCCCCCACACTGTCCATTTTTAAAACTCGTCTTTAAACCTAGTTTTATTCATTGGCTTTCAACCCTTCATGAGACTCGGCTCCTGTTTTAGTGTTTAATGGTTTGTTTTTAGTTATTTGTTTCTATTGTTTTTAAATTAGTTTTTTAAAAACGTTGAAACTATATTTTACTTTTTAATATCTGCTTTTATTTTGTCCATTGTTTCATTTGTTTTTTGATTGTTTTTTTATGTCTGCGTTGTTTTGTCTATTTATGTACAGCACTTTGTTCAGCTGTGGTTGTTTTAAAATGTTTTACAAATAAAGTTGAGTTGAGTAGTGGTGCACAAGTAAGGCATCCCTTCCCTACACATAGACACTGAAGTATAAAGACTTAAACCCTTAAAAGTAACTTCACAGGGTGTGTATTTAAATCTCCTTTTGATTTTCAACAAATTTAAGCTGTGTCGATCTTGAAGCGTGATATCTTGACTTAGTCGTCTTGTGGGGTGTGATACTGATTAGCTGCTGTGTGTCCTTCAGGCCTTTGTGTGCCTGATCAAAAACCGACAAAGAGCTTTAATCAAATCAAACAACTCATTTGACGAGAGATAACGCTGATCAACAAGCCGTACACTTTCGGTTTTCATGGACCAAAGATGGTCAGTATTTTGTCCTTTTTTTTGGCAGGAAAAATATTTAATTTATAAGATTAGTGTTTTTTAAATTAAATCTTAATCTTTGGGTACTTTATAGTTCTCTTTTTGGTTTATTGTTATGATGAAGAAACTAAAAAGTGCTCGGATATATGCTGGGATATGGATTTATATTCAGCAAGACCTGTTTTTATGTACCAAAAGAAGATGCATGTCTGAATTCACCATTCAAGGTATAAAAAAGCAAATGCAATAAAACTTTTTATACAAACCAGTGGATTGAAATTTATTCTGTAGATATGTAATTTGACTGACTGTTACTTGATAGACTCTAACTCAAATGGGGGACCTTACTGAGGCTAACTCCATGTTTTAAAAAGTCTATGGCCAGAAAACAACCCGGTGAGTTTGTTCCCCATAAAACTTTAGTTTTAAATGACAATTCAAACACGTGATTAAAAGTTGGCTCTTCTGTTTGTTCACACAAAAGGAAATAAAGGTTGTGAAACCAAGAAGTGTCACTTTCACACTTCTGAAACTGAAAAACAAGAGATTTTTACGACGGGGAGCACTTGAAGGCAGCATCTCAACCTGACCCTAATGCGCGCTCCCGGCTTTACGTGGCTACTCCCCCTCTATAGCTGCGTGCGCGTACCCCTCTATCGCGTGGTGGGGATCATCCATATTGCTGCTAGTGGTGGAGTTAAGGTTGTAATCTTGAGAGGCCCTCGGACACGTTTCTTTATTTTACATATGTTTTAATTGAGCACGAAGTACTCTGCGTCTTAGACTGAAGCTCTTTTGGTCTAGGAGCGACAGAGGAGCGGCAGACTCCGCGGAACAACTTCACATTTCCTTGATATTGACGGCGAATTCGGGCCGGGGGGAGGACTGGTAATCCTGAGGGGGGAAGAAAGACGGCGGTGGGAAATGGCCACTCAGGTGGAGACTCTCCTGCCCGGCAACCCGCTCGCGAAAGCGGAGGAGCACGGTAAAGTGATCCGCGGTGAGCCGGAGGAGGAGGAGGGCGGCCGGGGCGACGGGGCCAAGCGGCAGACGGGTGTAGCCGACCAGGGGAGCAGCAGCAGCGGCAGCAGCCCCGGGCAGGGAGGAACCCTCGGTATGGAGGAGCAGACCTCCAAAGACGCGACAGAGATGGGCAAAGAAGGCTGTGACAGCGACGAGAAGCAAAACGAGGAGGGCGGTAAAGGCAGAAAGGAGTTTACTGAAGCTCCCCCGCCCAAGGTGAACCCGTGGACTAGGAAAATGAACGCGGTGACCGTGGTCAGCGTGAATGGACAAGCACACCACGGTTTGTACCCCTCCCTACACGTTGATTTACAGGCTGTCAGTGTTGTGTTTGCTGTCTGTACGTCCAGGTGTGGTCACAGGAGACTACCGAGCAGCTGTCACATACTTCAGATCACATAATTGAACCAAAAAGAGTCAAAGAGAGGGGGGGTGCACACAAACACACCCCGGCTGTGGCCGCCCTCTTGTTGCACCCTGGAAGCTGGTTATATTTGGAGTGAAATACCCCCTCCTCATCCTCCACCTCCTCCAAGTGATGGCTATTCTTGGTGTCCAGGGTGGGAGAGGGGACCCATGGGTGGCTCTGATTGTGTTGCACACCCATGAATTTAGATTCCTGTGCAGAGATCTGGTTGTACACTCGTTTTACTTTCACTACATGCAAGGAGAATAATCTCAACTTTGCTGTGCATCCACAACAGATGAGCAAATTTACTCTTAGTCATGATTTAAAGTTACTGTGCAGGTTCACGTTGTGTTATGGTGCAATGGTTGTAAAGTTGCTCCAGTTGTGTCATTCTTGCATTGACAATTTCAGCCGTGTCATTGTGCATACTCTACCTCAAACTAAGTATACCTATCTCTGCTCTCTCTCATGTTTAGCCAGCTTAAGCCCAATGTCCTACCTCTCTAGTGTGATTAATCCTCAGCCTCTTAGTAACTCTCTCACACACTCACACACCCCGTGTGATTGCCAAATAGTTAAGACAGAGGTTACAACTCTAGAACACAACCACGCCGAGCATTAACGACACATCCGCCCATGTCTCAGATTGCATCAATTACCAGAAAAAAAGCCACGAGTCTGGCCGGGTTGTGGAGCTACTTAGCCGAACAGGTGTTATGTCGTAGAATGCACCCCTTGACGAGAGCGCAAAAAAATGGCGAAATAATCCAAGTTTTCCTCACCGTTGGATGGATTTAAAAGCGTTTACCTTTAATAATTTCATTCAGAATACTCAGATAAAGCGAAAACAATAACCCTTTTATTCGGAATATTTGCTGTCTTGAAAATATTATGTTACCTACCTTGACAGCTAACTGTAACGGTTAACAGTGAGTTAACAGTTTACATACTCAAGTACACCTCTATATGTGCTTTTTTTAGACACGTAAAAACAGTTAACACATTAAAAACTGCTCCATTTGATGTGTTGTCATGATTCAACACTCGTTTTTTTCTACATTTGAGATCATTTTCTTCGACTTTTAAGAAGCTAATGAGTGGATCGGATGCAGGGGGGGCATTTAGCAGGGGTGCATTCTGCGACTGAACACCTCGGCTAACAATAGCGCGCACACACACACATACACAGTCCCCTCTTCGGCCTAGTTCGGCGTCCGAGCCTCTCCCGATCATCTGCTAGCTTAGCCTCCAACTCCTACATGCACATTACAAGTCAAGAGTATCTGCTGGGTCATTTTAATATGTTTCTCGGTGTTGAAGCACATTGTACTAATGATACCGCAGCTCGTTTAATCGGTAAATTACGAGCAGGTTTGTTATGAGACGTCACGTGTTCACTCCACGTGTTCCCCGAGAGAAAGGCATGGCCGCTGCTGGCTAGTTAGCATCACCGCTGCATCGAATCAGAGCAAACCCACACTCGTGTTTCATTAAACGCTCCCCTGTAGAGTAAAGTTTAGTTATTTTGTGGTTTATTATCCGGTTGTCATGTCTCGTACTCGGTAATTTGGCTCATATCTCTGATGGGTGCCAACCCAAACAGCTAACTCTAGTTAGCATGGAAGCTAACAAGCAATCCATGGAGGAGAGTCATCCCTGCTCCTGAATCATCCCACAGCATAAAAGTTGTTTGATAACAACCAAGTGCACATGGGGCATGTTAGTTAGTAATGGGAACACTGTTTTAAAGTTAAAGCCACATTTCTTAACATAACAATAGTGAGTAAACGACATGGAGAAAGAAAGTTTCCTGCTCTGTGTTAAAGCAACGTGGTGTCCTGTCTCTGCCATGTGTGCTTTCACCTCTAGACACAGCATGTTAAAGGTTAGTGTTGTCTTTTGTGCACTGGCTGGTTTGACTGATGTGCAGAGGAATAGGAAACAAATGTAGACTTTAGATTGAGGGTACAGTCTGTACCCTGAATCAGGATAGGTCTGGGTGGGTTTGATGGATGTGCTCCAAAAGCTGTCACATCAGCAAGTAAACTGGGCCTGGAGCCAGTGGTGGAGATAACCAGGCAGGGGAGGCCTCTTGAGTTTGTGTTACATTTTAAAAATCCTAAAGCTTGAGTTTTGTTTTAACTTCTTTTTCCTTGTATCTTCCCCTATTTGCTGCCTTTTCAGAGTAAATATCAGCTCTAAACAGAGGTGTAAAGTGACAAAAGCCCTCCAGTTTTCTAAGAGAGGCAAATGTAAATGTTCTTTATTCATACAGCCCTTTACAACAACCCTTTCAGTGAACCAAAGTGCTTTACAATACATAGAAAATAAAAATGAATAAATAAAAAGTAATAGAAAAAGGATAAAATACAATGCAGTAAAATTAAGTGTCACCACACTGTTTTCAGTCGGGATTTGAAAAGGCCCAGGTCGGAAATAAGTCTCATTAGTTTGGGACCAGCAGCTTAAAAGGCTTGGTCACCTCCAGCAGAAGTTGATTTGCCGACCTCTGAGCTCTCCCCAGCTCCCTAACGGTTAAAAGCTGAGTTATATAGATGGGAGCAAGGCCGTTAAGAGAATGTGTGACCGTAATGATGAATCCTGCTTGTTCCTCTTTTCAGAAGGTGAAAGTTTAACATTTCTTTGGTTGTTTTATGAAGGTATTTTCACCCTCTTTGACGCTCTTCCCCTTATACGTTTTGTTAAAGTTAGTTTTGTTGGAGTAATTGTCCTCTATTCACCGACTTTTCTAAAGAGTAGCTTGAACCTTATCAGTTGTGTGTGCCTTTTGTGTCCTTGAAACATATCCAGACTTCTGTTCTGGATAAGAACACCAGCTGAAAGGCAGAAACGGTATTTCCACGGCTCAGGCGGTGGAAGTAAGTCACTATGTAAGAGCTCATTTGTTGATTGGATTATAACCAGGCAGCACTTTACACAATCGTGTCAGGGCTGCCAAAACGGACAGCAAGTAAAAATCCCCTTTCTCATATTCCCTATATGAACTGGGAACTTTCAGGCTCGTATATTTCAAATAACTTGCTGTTCACACTTGCCGCTCACATTGGGAGATATAGTGTGTTGAACAGCCCCACACAGCCGGGTGGACTCTGGATAAGGTGAGAGGAGGGGTGGGGTGGTGTGTCCAGCAGCAGGGGTCTGGTGATTATACAGACATTTTTGTGATAGAAGCACAATGATAACTGCAAACTGAAGGGAGCAGTGAAGAGTATCAACACTAGGGCTGGGCGATTTGGGAAAAAGTTCATCACAATATATATTTTTTCATATCAGTTGATATAGATAAATATCAGGATATAAAAAATTAAATCTACAGTGTTTATTGGTAGCATGTCTTTTGCAAAATAATAAGCTACTGCATCAGTGAGGTCTATGTGTCTCTTCGGGGTTTTGCGATAGAGAAAGCGGACTGAATGGTCGGCTGCACAGGCGCCATGAGCTCCTTGCCTAGCTCGGGGTTTGTAACCTTTCGCATTGCACGTGCTCTGCCGTGTGGCGCTGCTTTAGGTGGTAAAAAAGATTTGAGGTATTCCCCGACTTTGCGTGAACATGTACTGGACAGAATTTGCAGTGCACATTACTCTGCTTCGTGTCCGACCTCAAAAAAACAAAATACCTCCACACCACCGATGTTTTTGTGTCAGTCTTGTCGAAAATGTCTTCATCTGTATTTCTGTCGGGGGTAACACTCATTTCTTTTTTTCTCACTGACAGTGCTGTCGTCTGCTGTCTGCTACTACACAGTTGTTTGCTACTTGGTTCTAATTCAGCACATGATTGGTTCAGCGTGAAGCGGACCCTCAGCAACTCTCCTTTTCATTGGCTAGTCTAGGGCTGAAACGATTTTCTCTGCCTCAAGTTCTCGTTTATAAGCTCAAATCATCACTGTTTTGCACGTATTCTTTTGAAGGTGACACAATGCACTTACGCTTAGCTTGTAGCCTAACATTGCTGGTGTCGTAGCAGAAGCAGGTAACATAGGAGCGACTCAGCTTTCGGACACTAATGTCTTTAGGAGCTTGATTATAGTTAACATAATTAGCTTTCTTACGAGCATTGCAATCCGCTAACGCACACGCTTGTTCCACGATTGTCCTCTATTTCTCAGAGTCTGGCCTTCATTGCGGGGCTATAGGAAATCTAACTTTATGTGAGTCTGCCGTTTAGGTCCAATTACTTGAGTAATTAGAATATTCAGTAGAACACTCAATTACTAAAATATTCGATAGCTGCAGCTCTAGGCTATTGAAAAGCATATTGACTGTGTTTTATATCGATATTGAGGGATTTTAATTTTAGATATATATCGTTATTGTTTTATCGCCCAGCCCTTATCAACACTATCGAACTCTTATCACCAACAGTTTGATTAGTTTGAGTTCTTTAAAACCAGCTTCATGATCCCAGGTTAGTTCGAACTGCAAGTCATTGTCCTGAGTAATCTGCCTCCCCATTGGACCAGCTGGGTCTGTGGTTATACATGACTCGGTAAAATAACACAGACACAGTAGGATGTCACAGTGTGCTCATATTTACATTAATCAGAGCGAATCGTGTGTAAGATGACAGGTAAAAGTGAATCTTGTACCATCCAAAAAAAAAGCGTTTTTATGTCCTAGAGTAGTGAGGGACAGGAGCCACAGGCCGGGACTGAACTTGGAACCTCTGCACATGGGGCACACGCAGACCGCTAGGCCGGCCTGTAGTCAGTGTTTCGATCCCAATAATGAGTCCTGTTTTTATCCAAACTCTTCATCAGCAATGGTGAAGTTAAAGTGAACACCCTCCACCTTTAAAACCAAGGACAGACCATCAGCTGACTGATCACGAGCATGTAAGTCTGAGGGATGGACGACATGTTCACCCTGTCCGACCCGATCTTTAACTCTTTGTGTCTCCACCTGACGGAGGAAACTTTACATGGAGCGGTCAGAGAGGAAGAAGAATCGTCTTCAGTTGTTCTTGAAAAGCTGCATTAAAAAGTAAGATGGAGAAAAGGCGTTTGATTCAGTAAGTGCAGCAGTTGTAACACGGATAAACTCCTCTGGGTTTGCTGCCTTTGGCCGCTGCAGGCCTGAATTTGGCAAATGAAATCTACTGGTGGTAGTTTTATAGCTGGTCTGACATTTAATGTTTGGCATTTCGCTGAATCACTACTCCGTGACGGGTCATGTGACTGTGTGCAGGGGTGATATGTGTGTTTGCTTCGCTGGTGTTGTTTGGATATTTGAGTTTGCTACGAGTCTCAACAGTCGAAGCAGAGGAACAGAAGCGAGGATCTGAAGTAAACCTGAGAGAAGTTTCGAAGTACCTGGTCCAGGATTGAGTCAGCGCCACAGAAAACAGCGAAATGTCTCAGCCCAGTCAGTGTGTTTCTTACCCCTGAGGTAGTTTATGGTCAATCAGGGATAAACCCACCTTCCTCCTCAGAACAAGGGTACCAGTGTCTCTTTAGAAGCAGCAGACCCCCTCCTCTTGGATTTCACCTCCAAAATGCAAAGAAAACATTGATTTTACAGCGGTCACAGCGGTTTCAAGATCTAATTTGCTGAGAAGGAGACCAGACTGAGTAAAACATGTTATTGATCGAACTGTCGGACGAATGAAATAACAGCAAAGTACGTCCGCTTTAGCTCCGCGGGTTAGTGAGAGGATAAAACAGCTGACTGGAAACTGGGAGCAGAGCTGGAAGTCATTTCTAACAGGTGTGCAAATGTGGAGTCGTTTTGCACGATTCTTCACGTCAACATGAGCCGCTCGGATCAAAGTGAAAGTACGTTTAGTGGAGGACGAACTATCAGGCAGCCACAGGTGGAGAAAGCAGGCGGTTGTGTGCTGAGCGGCTGCTGTCACGTCTTCATCACCTGTGTTCATTTACGGGAGTCGAGCTCACTCTTTGGGTCTCACATAGGCCGTGATAAGACCCGTCCTGAAGCTTCATTCACGGATCAGACTTCTGTCACAGAGCGCCGAGGTCGCTGATTGATGTCATGAGGTGAAAACAGTCCGTGTTTGTCCTGTAGACGTTAAACCGCTGCAGTGACACTCGTCTCTGATAAATAATAGATGCACTGACGCTGCTGAGGGACTCTGTGGACCACAGACCTTATTTCAGACCTTATTTTCTCCATCTTGTTCTCTGATTTAATCCGATCACTTGTTTGTGTACTTTTCATGCATACAGTGTTTTGCACTGACATCTCTGGACGAGTGTTGAAGTATGATCCCGCTCCATGTGTGCACGTCTAACTCCAGGTGGATTGTGATTTATAAAGGGAGCGATGCATAAACGTCTGTTTTTATTCCTGCTGTTTTGATTTTTTTTTAAAGAGACCTCTGGCGTGGTTGAGGAGATTTGGATTCTTCTTTTTACTGTCAAACTACGACAAACATGAGAAAAGAAAGTCCTGTACTTCAGCATTCGAGCTGTGAGGGTTTTGCGATCATCTGCTCCAGACTTACAGTGCGTTGAACATCAACCAGAGAGCTGCAGAGCGCCGTCCTGCTGCGCCGCCGCTGCTGCTGCTCTGCACACATGCTTCCAGTTTGTCCTTCTTTTGTAAGACTTTACTGTAATGCTCTCTGAGTGAGAGCATGTGCTGTTCTCCTCTAAGCAGGACTCGAGGTGCTCCACAACCTCGCCATTGTGTACTGGAGAACCTGTGGAGTCCAGGCCTCCGGCGCCTGAATTCCTACCAGACACAGAAATGATAAAAACCTTTGAGAAGCGGTCAAGTTTTGTCAAAGTTACTCAGAAGTGAAAGGAAGAGTCCGCCTTTTTTTTAGTGGTGAGGAATGCAGGAAGACACGTAGCGTTGTCTTGTTGTTGGTGTGGACCCCCGAGGGTCAAACCATCAGGAAAGACTGGCCGGTCAGCAGCATGAATAAATGTAAATGTAGGTCTGTCAGGATGAATTAGCATCCCTTTAGCATGTTTGTTAACCCTTTTTAACACTTGCAAACGCGTCATTGTCTTCTTTTATGTGAAAACTCAAGGCTGCTGAAGGGAAACCTTACACAAACTTTAGCAGGACAAGATCTGAAGAGGATTTGTGGACGATTTTAATCATGAAAAGTTGATTATTTTTAATTTAATGTGTCAACAATTGATATTTGATTCCCATATGTTCAGTTGTGCGACACTAAAATGCAAAAACACAGTTTAAATCTGCTGATATCTCATGATTGTGTCTTTGATTGTCTCTCCTCTGTGACTCTTGTCCTCTTTGTTGTGGCCGTGAGGAAGCAGACCACCCCCCCCCCAGTCATCAGACACCTCAGGAGCCCGTTTGTAGTTGCTTTTTATGATGCGTCAGGACCCTGCAAAGGTCATGAACCTGGAAGCTGCTGCATGTGACCGGTTTAAAAAAGGACTTCTGTTCAAGGACGGACCATCGGCGTCACTTCTCCTGAATGAAACTCTAAAAAACCTCCATCACTGGAGTTGAATCACAGAGTAACAGTTTAATTAATGAAAGTCTTAAAGGGATATTCCAGGGTAAAACACACCATAACACTGAGTTGGACACCCCTTCAACCCCTATCAACAGTACATACAGGGTCCCATCCATAGTACTAGCCACCAAACATGTTTTTAACTTTGACTAATTTCTTTGGCAAAGAGACTAAATACAACTCACCTACTCTACTCCAGCAGCCGCTTGTTTGTAGTGAGACCTCAGGCAAGTCCATTACAGACTACAGTGGGGTGACGCAGCTCAAGGAAGAACATTTATGATCATGGCGGTTCATCTGTCCACCTTCAGTTCTAGACTTTTAGGAAAGAATTAAATGGACATCCAGAAACAGTTTTACAAAGAGATCTGTGGGTTTGACAGGATTAAAATGATACCTGAAACACCAAAGATTCTCTCTGAACGATGTTTGATCTTAGACCAAACCATAGACTGTATATAGAATGGACGCCGTCTGCTTCCTCGCAGGGTGATGCCACTCCGAGAACAGCACCCTCTGTTGATGGGCTGCAGTATAGGTCATATATTCTGCCTCCGCCAGCAAAGCTTATGGAGCTGTGGACAAACTTTAGAAATTTATTACACAGAACATACATTTTTCTCCCCCCTGCTTGTGATGTTGACATGGAGTTATTTTAAGACTGGTTTGTGCTCAAGTCCTCTTTTTTCTGTGAAGCTCAGTTTTTAAAAGTTATTAGGGGGTTCATGTTTGCTATGATTGACACCTGATACAGCCTATGGGCATTCAGGATTGAGTAGCTCTCCCGGGGGATACGCTGTTTGAGCCGAGCGTCATCACAGTGACTCTCTGTGACTGCGCGGCCGAATGCGCACAACGCTACTGCACAGCGCTGGTTTCAGGAAATGAAGAAAAATCCCGGAAATAGCGAGAGCTTTTTGGCTTCAAATCCGTATACAGGCAGTAGGCGGAACCAGGTTGTCCATAGTATATACAGTCTATGGACCAAACCACTCGCTGGTTTTCCTGCATTTATTCTTGACTTTCCTGATTGAATAATTGCTAAGCTAGTTAGCAGCCTATTGTGCGTCACACTCTTGTCAGCTCTTGTCTTGGTCCGTCCAGCTCTGGCTGTTTTTATCTGTGTCAGGTTTGTGTCAGGGCTGGATGATAGCGGCTCGTCCCTCTGCTGGGTGTGGACCAAGAGTTGATGTTGTGTCCACTTTGCGGTGTATCAAAATTCTGACTAAGCTCCTGCAGCTGAGGGAGTTTGGATGTGGTCGGTGTCTACGGTTACAGCTACAGCTCAGAGGTAAACTATTTCTACTCTCAGTCTGACCGCTGCCTCTCAGAGCTGTAATGACCTGTCAGTGAATGGAGCGACAATGAGTCAGAAGCTGTTGCGAAGACTCGATATAAAAGGAAAATAAACCGCCGGCCTCTAGAGTTCAGATTATTCACTCCAGACCAGTCACCCTGCCAACAGAGCAGAAATCTGCAGAGTCAACTCTGACCATTTCACTTCGAGGTTGAGGTGTATCACCCGGTTATGGTTTCACTTTGCTGCGACACACGGAGTTTCTCTGCAGAGGACGACCTGCACATGTGTGCGACTTCAGGGCTGCAGAGAAAGTTCCTCTGGAGAGTCTCCTCACTTTTGTTGTCGGAAACTTAACGCCCGTCTTCTTGGGTTGAATTTCACTCTAGTTTGAACGATCGAATATCAGCGTTTACTTTCTACCAGTAGACCCCTGGGAGCTGGTGATATGAAGACCAGCCCAGATCCAGTGATCTTGTATTTTTGTTGAGGCTAAGGGTTCCATTGAGTTCCTGTTTTATGTGGAAAGCATTAAAGTCAGGATTAGAGTGCACAGCGCAGCTCAGAGCAGCGGAGAGCTGAGATGTTCTGGGGTGTATTTTTTCATAGTCGTACAGAACTTGTGCTTGTTGTGTGATCTTTGTGAACTTGATGAGCTGATGTAGTTTGTTTTGTCAAGTCAGTGACTCATCAGTCTGTCAAACAGCTGTGAGCCTCAAACCAAAGAGACCTGTTGTTGTTGGTCAAGTGTTTTCCTTTCACTGTCGTCAGTTTCTGTAACTGGATTCTTGAACCTCTTTTACATTAAGACAGGAGTGTAAAACCTCATTTGCAATTGAAAACACATACGCCTCGTGGTGGGGTGAAGTTTCTCTGCCGTCATACAGGTGGTGGTTATAGACGAGCAGCAGAGGTGTGTCAGAGGAGAGGGGTATATGTGAATGTCTGAATTTGTGTTTTTATTCGAGTGTTTGAGAGTATTATCAACATTAGGAGGATTTATTTGTTTACTAAAGAAGAAGTTTGAAGCTTCGTTGGCCGAGCCGTCTCTCTGAAACCAGCAGAACTATCTGATCGGCTAAATGTCGACTCTTACCTTCTGTTCATGACGTTAAAAATTCAGCTGTTAGTAAAATTTAGCTGGAGACTTTAAACAAAGTTTTCTGTTGGAGTTAAAAATTTTGACTCAAAAGTTTCCGATTTTGACTCTAAATTATCGGTTCTTTCATCCCTGAAAAAACCAACATCCTGGAGTTAACCTTCATTTCTATTATAAACGAGGTTTTCTCTGCTTAATGAAGAATGTTTAATTTACTCACTAATCAGGTTACAAAGGGTTTACCGATTTGTGACGTCCATCACTTTATTGTTATATGACCTGATGTGTGTGTGTGTGTGCGCATATATGAGTGTGTGTGTCGCTGCAGCAGGGAGACGCCTCCCGGCTCTCTGCTGCCTGAGCTTCTTACTCCGCATGAGGTGATGTCACCACTCTGATCATGTGACGCCGGGTAGAGTCACTGACGTGCCTCTGCGCGTGTGTGTGTGTGAGGCAGGCAGGCAGGCGCTCAGCCGGCTCTGACTGTTTCCTCCATATTTGGTCGTTGCAGACCGGCTTCCCTCCTCAGACGTCACTCGGCTCTTCTCTGCTCCTGCGTGGAGGATCATCAGGCTGCAGGCTGTGTTAGACTCCACCGGTTTAGATTGAAGTTGTTAAACCCTCGATGTTTTATTTCATAATCTCGAGCAGGAAGAGATGTTGTTTGTCCTGAGATTCAGCCGTCTGTTAATGCACATGACACGGCTGATCAAGTCAGAGTAGGTGTGAAATTACGCCGGGCCGCTGATTGATTGTATTTTCTGTTATCAGCAGGACAGGAGCTGCAACCACACATGCAGACTGTCTACACAGGAGATGTGGGGCATAAAGGGTTAATGCTTCTGGTGTCCTGCACATGAATCATGGGTCATTTTACTACATATGTGAACAGAGCAAATGCATTTTTGAGCCTGCAGCGGTGCTCTGGATCAGGGCTGCAACTAACGATCATTTTCGTTATCTACGAATCCATTCTTAATTTTTGATTAATCACGATTATCTACGTCAGCACCGATTTGGACTTCGGTTTGACGTGTGAAAGTGACCCTGTTGTCCTCTCACAGCGTAAGTCTGAACTAACATTCGCTAAGCTAGCTTCTTCCATGATTTCCCGACTGATAGACATACGACACAAACGTTTTATGCATTTGTATCGTAGGCCAATGGTTAATTAATAAATAGCTTCTTTTTGAACTCATCTCTAAGTTATATGTGATGATACAGCGGCTCCGGGGTGTCACTGTTTAAGTAGGGTTACCTTATTTTGAAGCCAGGAGTCACGGAGTTATAGAGAGTAATTTATTTAGAGAGTTTTTCAGGTTGGATCAAGTGTCTTTTACGTGCTTCTAACTCACTAAGTTTATATAAAACTTTCATACAAAATCACGGACATTTGAAGGATTTTATAAACTCCCCTGGACAAAGACGGACAAACCCGGACAGGTCAGACAGCACCCCAAAAAAAGAGGACATATGGTCACCCTAGTTTAAGGTGTTTGTGTATCGCCGCAGTGATACCTCAGGATGAGATTTGAGCTTCACAGAGATCACATTTAACAAGTTTCACTGGATTATTTTCACTTAGTTGTTCCCAAACTTCGGAAACTTTGAGTTGGAGTTTTTTAGCCCCTTCGTCTGATTGATCCGTCATAATTCCTCCAACTCTGGACCCTGCAGCGGTCGATCCCTTTTCTCTGTGACTGTGAAGTATTGCATGTTGACTTACTGACACATTCAGTCCTCTGCAGAAGATCCAGAGAGCAGCAGAACCGTTTGCTCTAAACCAGCTCAGAACGACACGGATCACTCTGACAGTTTAGGGATGGGCCGTCAAAACCAGGTTCTGGATATTTCAAGAAATTCAGTGACGTTCGAGCTCATGAAGTCTGCTGTTGAGCCTCGTAGGTACTATAGGGCTGGGCGATAAACCGAAAATTTACCGATACTGAAATTTACGACAATAACCAACGTCTTTTTGCCCTTATCGGTATATTCGGTGTCAAATAAACAAATAAATCAGAGTTGGTTTTTGATGTGTGTAGGTAGGCTATGGTCTCATGTCCCTTAAGACGCTGTCCTACATCAGAGACGTGATTCCACCCCATCCAGTCAAAGAGGGAAAGACAGGTGAGGAGACGGTTCAAAAGTTGTAGCGGCTGAAGTAGACGAAGTTAATGTGGGAGGGGGTGATCAGCTTGTGGAGTAGTTATCGTCCATTCATCGTTATCGAGGTGAACTGATCAATATATGGTGATATTGATTTGAGGCCATATCGCCCAGCCCTAGGTACAAGACTTCAGTTGCACTGTGAGTCGTGGATTTGCTCCTCTAAACGTATAAATCCAGAACGATCTGATCGCAGAGTGATCGTAACAAGAAATGGACTCGACTCGCCTTAGAATCCGGCTGAGGCTCGGCCCGTTTCCCGACACTACCGCTGTGTTTGTCTGAGCCCACAGAGCCGACGTGGCACAAGGGTTATTTATAGGATCCACCAGCCTGTGATACCCTGTGGGCTCCAGAGCAGGTATTGTCACTCTGTGTGTGTGTGTGTGTGTGTGTGTGTGTGTGTGTGTGTGCGCTGCAGCTCTCATGGGAACAGGTCCTCGGTCTCCACCTGAGGGGCGTACTCTGTGACTTTCTGAGAAAAAGCGAGTCTGTGGCGTCTGGCGAGATAAGAGCGAGGATATGTGACGGACAGCTCCAGTTTTTAATCTCAATTAAAGAGGCAGGAAAGTGTGTTAAATGTGCCGACTGATCCCGTTTCGAGCCAACATGGCAGACTGAAGAGAAGTAGCAGATTCGAGCAGACAGTGGGAGAGATAATGGTAAATGTGCGCCGGCGGGGGTTGGTTGTGACTAATGTTAATGGTAGCCTGTGGCGGTCGGGGGTGCAACAACCGACTCTGAGTGCAGTGAGAATAAACACAGAGAGGAGAGGAGGAAGAGAGTGAAAAGAGGGAGAGACGGACGGAGGAGAGAGGGTGATGATGGACCTGAGAGCGAGCGAGCGAGCGAGGGAGAGAGGGCGTGCTCCTCTTATTGCTGTTTGTGTTTGCAGGAGGATCTAATGACAGAGGAAAACGGCGTCTCCTCCTGTCAGACGGCAGTTTCACAGAAATGTCACGGCTTCTGTTTGAACACGCCAAACCGTGTCAGCACAGAGTTTGCACGCCGCCGTTGTGTCGCTGCTTCTGTAACTGATAAATAAAGAGGGTCAAACATGGCGGACACATCAGTAAACTTCAGCGTCTGTTACGAGTTTTATCTGGTCATGATTGGACGCACGGTGAGGTCTCGTTGCGCAGGTTTGTTTTGGTGCGTCAGGTGGTTGTCGTACAGTTTGTTGTGTTGTTAGTCGTGGATTGAGGAAGAAGATGAATTTGAAGAAAGTCTTTCCTTGTAATTCCAGATTTGTCATGTCACTTCCCTCCGTATGTCTTCACTCAATCCTCTTAAACACATATATACACCCTCTTTTCATCGATAAGTGTTTGTTGACGTCCTTTACAAGCTGCTGATCATTTTTCCTGCAGGATTTCCTTTTTATTTATTTATAAATCTTCGTCTTTTCTTAATTTTTCAGTGAATCTGACTGATGCAGATTATTCGCTAAACACAGAGCCTGAAGAGTTCACAGAGTCCAGCTTCATGGTACCGGACATCTACGCCCACATATGTTGTGCTAGCTTTACGGCGTACCCCCCAGCGTGTCCTTGAGTTTTAGAGTGTGTAGCGCTCTGTAGCTGTCTCTCCTTCCTACCTGTCAGGTCAGACAGTTTTCAGGGGGCACATGCAGACCGGAAGTTTCCGCTGTCATCAGAAAAAAAAAACGTAAAGCTTTGATAAGTGACTTTCAGTTAGTCTGTGATAAGTTCAGTCTTTCCACGGCAGCAAAACATGAGGAAAAAAAAAACATCCGGTCTGTCGCTGATGGGTTTGTCTGCTTTTGGATATCATAATAAAGACACCAATATGAATTTTGGCCTAATTTACAAATGCCAAAAAACTCCTTATAGTAGCTTTAAAATCTTGTGTTTATATAGGAGTCAGGCGGTCAGAGAGGTATCTGTGAACTTTGCTCTCAGACTTCATTTTCTTAAAGTTGCAGACAGGTCAGAGCAGTCTGGATGTTTGTATTGCTCTCAGTTGTTTCCTGCTACTTTTTACATGATTTTTATTCACAAATTACTTTTTTTCGTATCTTTAGACTCTTAAGTTATCACAGTTTTATTCTACGGCAGCTGCAGTTTTAAATAATTGTTGTAGAAAATTTGAAAAAACTAAATTTTCACGTAAAAAGTCACATTTATCCTTTATTAGGATAAAAAGTTATTGTCTATGTAAGAGCGTCTTATTTTGAAAATCCTGCAGTGCTGACTGTAGGACTTCCTGAGGAGCAGCAGCTCACAGTCTGGCAGACGTCCCGGTCCTGAGAGTCTCTCCTCTGACCTTTTAAACTATCATCTCATATCATCTGAGAACACCAAACGCTGAGCGGCGCTGAGCGATGGTCACCAGCTACGAAGGTCAACGCTGAGTCTGATGAAGTATAATGAAACAGAAGCTGCACGGCTGATAGAGTTACTAAAGGATCCAGAGGCAGTCGAAGATTATTTATATGAACCAGGGCTGTCATCAACTAAATAAAGCCTTGGTCGACTAAAACCCTGAAATTTTCGCCCAAAAATTGACTAATCAGAGGAACAACGCGACTCTGCGGGGTGAAAATATACTGATATCAGCTCAAGAAGGCAATTAAACACAAAAGGCTAAAATATAAACATTCAGCAAACCACCGGATGTTGATTAACGTGGACGCTCTTTAATCTTCTGTCTCCAGCCGGTCTTCAGTAGGTTTGGCGAATCCAAAACGGTGAAAACAAGGAGGGTGTTCTGAGACAGGCTGTTACCTGTAAAACAGGGGTGCTCTGAAAAAACCCCATTAGCATTTGGTACGTTCCTCCTGATGAAATTGACCATAGGCCTTAAATTGACATGGAAAAAAATTGAGTCAACATATGGACCAATAAGTCAACCAGTCGTCTAGGACTTTATAGCTCTAATATGAACTGTACTAGCTAACAAGTTATCACAGTGTTAGCGCTCCGTCAAAGACACATTAAGACTGATTGGCTCTCAGTCGTCGTACATATTTGTGTAAAAAAGTTAAATTCTTCAACATCTGAATGTCAAATAAAACTGCGGCCGTGTTTCTCTGCTGCTCTCGCTCTCATTAGCTTTATCACAATTTTGCCGTCCTCGCTTCTCAACTGCAGCTTTTTTCTTCATTAACAACACGAGGACTTCCTGTATTCAGCCCAGAGCGATAGAAATACTTCGTCTGACCCTGAGGTTGAAAACTGAATGAACGCGGCGTTGGTGAGGTCACCCGTTTGTTTGTAACCAATAGGAATGCTGACTCACCCTGACTTAAGGTCAACCTACTACAAGTCGGCCTTTAGCCTCTGTCAGGTCAGCCACATCACTGATTCACCGTTCTTGTTACCGTGGTAACTTTGAAATGAACTCGAGCCAATCAGAGCAAAGCAGGGTGTAAACACGCTTACTCTTGCTTAATGTGCTTCTGCAGCGAGCCTCTTGTGGACTCTCGAGGTACTGCAGTTTTTAACATGTCTGCATCTGTGTCATTTCTCGGACCAAAAGTAGCTGCTTGGTTTCACCTCACAGGACTGATGCATGTTTTTAAGATGATCACTCACAACCAAGTCTGTGTGCATGAGAGAGAGAGAGAGAGAGAGAGAGAGGAAACGAGGCTTAGTTAAAGACACGACACGCTTGTTTCAGAGCCGGGTAAGAGTCCCTCTGTAACGATGACGAGGCAGAATAACTCCCGTGTCACTCTTTCATCAGCTGACCCACTTCCTGTGAGAGGCATTCAAAATAAGAGCCCGAAGAATTCAGGACAGACACACTAAAGCAGCTATTGTCGGATTTCAACACAGGACTGGAAATATGCAGCGACCTCACCGTGTATCTGCCCCCCCCCCCCCCCCCCTCCCTCAGCTTCTGTGCTGGCCGGTCAAACATGCTCTGTCATGCAGCAGCGTGACGTGTCTGAAAACTCTCACTCTGCTGTTCAGACTAAGCAGATAAGGGCGGATCAAAAAAAAAAAAGAAACTGCAGAAATTCCTGCAGAGTTTTTACTTAAAATAGCAGAAACAGTTTCCTAAGTTTCTACGTCAGGCTGCCAGGAGGAGACCTGAGTTTCTCCCGGATGTGGTTTAATGTTTACGCTGAAAAGACGGAAAAAGGAAGAGAGAAAAAAACGACTAAGAGCCTGATCTGCTTCTGTCTGTGAAGGTTGTTTCCAAGTGAATGAAAGGTGGACTTCAGATATTTACCTCTGGGAAGAACAGCCGATGTTTCCTGACCTGTGTGTTTGTGCTTTTCTGAATTAACCTAAACATTGTCTGCTGCACAGGTCTCTGTCTAGGGCTGGGTGATATGTCCTTAAATCAATATCACAATATATTGAGCAGTTCACCTTGATTACGATAATTAGACGATAACTACTCCACAAGCTGCTCAGCCCCTCCCACATTAACTCCGTCTACTTCAGCCGCTACAACTTTTGAACCGTCCTCCATCTCCTCACCTGTCTTTGCTTCTCAGGGCTCGACAGTGGGACCATTTCATTCGACTATAAATAGATGTGTGCGAATTGTAAAATGTATTTAGGGTCACATGTAAATACCGCGGCGAAGTTAGTTTTAGGTTGGATAACCGACTGATATTAGCACTCATCTACCGGTGTCTTCTCACTCTCCATAACCAGGAATAGTGACAGCAGCACGGTTAAATCAACCTCGCCAAGTGCCAATGAGCTCCAGTAGATCTTTAGCAATTCACTTCTGAGTCGTGGGCGGAGACAGCACTGCTCTGTACACTCCTCTTCACGCTAGATTGTAGCCTAACATTACCGGTGTTGTAGAAGTGGCAGGTAACATAGGAGCTATTAGTGCAGCTCTCGGGCACTACTGTATTTTTCGCACTTTAAGGCGCACCACCAGTGAACGCGTCTATTCTCGTCTCTTTTCATACATAAGGCGCACCAGATTATAAAGCACATTCAGCCAAACAAAACAGTCAGATAAGTCAAACTTGATTTAACTCATTCAATAACTCCGTGAGGCTACGGTAGCTGCAGTGCTCCGACAAGCCAAATGGATTTTAAGTGCGCCTTATAGTGCGAAAAATACGTTAATGTCTCCGGGGACATAATCATAGTTTATATCATAAGTAGCTTTCCTACGAGCATTGAAATCCGCTAACACATGCTTGTTTCACGATAATTGCACTTAAAAAAAAAAGTTTTATCAGATAACTTTTTCGACACGAATATACCAATATTGGCAAAATGACGTTGGTTATTGTCGTAAATTTCAGTGTCTGTAAATTTTCGGTTTATCGCCCAGCCCTATGGCAGACTTTTAACCTGTTTTTGGACTGCAGCTTCTATCATCAGACTGAAACCGGTTCTGATGCCTCTTTACAGCCATCATTAGCAAACATAAACCCCAGTGAGGGGGCGGAGTCAGAGCAGATGATTGACAGCAGCCTCATTTCATGTTTCCATGGTGAATACTCTTAGAAAAATAAAAAGGGCTCTTTCTGCTGAAAATCCCTGGAGGACTCATGACTGTGACACAGTTTAGCAAATGAGATGAAGCAAAGGTCAACGCCGGGCTGTCGGGGAGCGCCACTTTAGTCTCTGTTTGACGATTTCTCAACTCTGCGGAAATCGATGAAATGTTCGGGATAAAAGTTCAGAAGTCATTTAAGGGAAAGGCGGTGAGTGTGACGGGCGCATTTCAGAGACACCAGAGGATACCGGAGGATTTCAGTTAGCAGTCGAGGTTCAGCTTTGACTTTAAATCCATGAATTCAGTGATTTTATCGCCTTCAAACGCCGAGAGATCTCATGAAACCTCCTTAAAGAGTAAGTCCAGACCAGACCCTTCATCAAAACCAACACCAGGGTGACAAGAACCAGAGTCAGAAACTGTACCAAGCAGACGGTGGTTCGTGGATGAGATTTTGAGTCCATGTGGGGATTTCCACTCCAGAGTCATGTCTGTTTTCTTACAGAGACAGGATTCAGAAAGTCTGGTATCAGTTTTTTAAGTTTTTCTGAATGTTTTATGAGATGATGGAGATCCTGAAAGTCTTTTATAGTTTTACTCTCAGGAAAATGATTCTGGATTTGTTCGATTGTCTTTGTTCAGAGTGTTGAACCCGTCCTGTGTTTACCTCGGAGAGACCTGACCTCTCTGAGGGGTCCTGTTTACACCCAGATCTGTTTCTAACCTGTGGGACATCAGTCACGGGTGTTTTTCTTTTAGCGTCACACGTTGTTTTCTGTGTTTTAGGCCGCTGGTAGATTAATAAGAGCGTCTGTTTTAACCTGTGATCGCTGGACAAACTCTGTCATTGTTTTTGAGGACACAGTTGAAGATTTGTTGTCCTTTATGAACTCTGAACATTTCCCTTTTAAAGCTTCACCTGCTGACTTCAGGAGCAGAGTTCCCCCGAGTTTCTGCAGAGTTCAGACTCTCTCTGTAGCTCCTCGGTCTCCTCCTCCTCCAGGAGAACTTGCTCTGTGGTTGGTCAAAGTCCTCACCTCGTACTTCTGCGAATCAGAGCTCAGATTTTAAGGTCATTTATCAAACAGTTATATATTAGAGTTTACACCATGATGGCCATATCTCTTCTTCTGCTTCTCCTTCTACCCCTCTTTTTCTTCTTCTACTTTTTCTTCTTCTCCTTCTTCTAGTGCTTTCTCTTCTTCTTCTTTTTCTTCTTATGCTTCTTCTTCTACTTTTTCTTTTTCTTCTTGTTTTCTTCCTCTTCTCCTTCTTCCTTTTCTTCTTCTACCTTTTCTTTTTTCTTCTTCTACTGCTCCTGCTTCTCTTATGCTTCTTGTTTTCTGCTTCTACTTCTTTCTTTTCTTCCTATTCTTTTTCTTCTCTCTCTCTCTCTCTTCTTCTGCTTTTTCTGCTTGTCTTCTTTACTCCTACTTCTTTTCTTCTTCTTCTTCTTCTACCTTCTTCTTCTACCCTCAGGGAGGTGAAGTATTGTTGTACCTCTACATAAGCTGCTCAACAACCGTGACATGTAAACACACTGCAGCTGAGGTCGCCTCCTCATGTACGGCTGACGTGTGTGTGTGTGTGTGTGTGTGTGTGTGTGTGTGTGTGTGTGTGTGTGTAAGCAGCCTGCTGTGACACAGTTTCTAGGTTTTCACTTTTTTCTGTTTGTCGTCCGCTCTGACGATCCAATCATAATCTCTACCAGTCAGCTTCATCTCTGAACTTCTTTAACGGGCTGTGTGCAACAGTCAGATACAGGAAGTGTGATAGCTGTGAAACCTTATATGGTCATGCTGCTCATTCAAAACCAGGATCTGAAATTCTCTAATTTGATCTTTTTTTCTAATTCTCGGTCTGCTGATCAGAAGTATTTAAAAATTTATGTGTTTCCAGATAAAAATGTTTTTCTTTATTTAGTGGTCGTTGCTGCTTGTAAAGACCTGAAATCATCTCTTAGTTTGACTTATGACAGTTTCAGCATCTCCAGCTGTTTGGTTTTTCCTGAACCGGGTCGTTTCAGATCTGCTCCTGAAATCCTGAAACTTGCGAATACTTCGAGTTTTCGAGTCCTGAACAACCTGAATGATGACTTCATATCCTGACCTGATATCCGGAGGTCAGGGTCTAGATTAAGACCCCTGAGGTGGAGGAGGTCTTCAAGGACAGGATGAGTCTGTGGTGTATGAGCATCAGTACAAATTCCCATATTTCGCTCTTCTTCTGTAGATGTTTGGACTTTCACGTTCAGACCTCTCTCTCTCCTCCTCCTCGCTTGTCCTCTGGACTTGATCGTCCTTAAGGATCCTGCTGAGATCTCCTCTGTGGTGTAACCGGCTCTGCTGAGTCCCTGTGAGCCTCTTTAACTCTCTCGTAGTCGAGTGAGGCGGCGCGGCGGCGGCCAAAGACCAGAGGAGGCCAGATCTGTGAGTTCAGGACACGAGTCAGATCAGCACAATTAAATCAGCCGGGCTGGTCTGTAGTCCGGAAGAGTGTTGACCGGGTCTGATCAATTAACCCTAATCTGTTTTATAATGGGGATTATTGATTTTACCTACAGTGGATACTACGGTATATTGACAGGGTCCAGTCTGAAGGTGGTTTTTCCTGTTTTATTTTTGGTTTTGGATTATTGGTTCTAAAGAACCTCTTCATGGATTTTTGGAGTCAAACGGCTAAAAAGGAGCCGTGTGTTTCTGTGGAGTTCGAAATACAAAACTCTGTCACGTCTCTGTTTTTTTTGTCTGTCTTCTTGACTTCCTGTCGTCACAGAATCTTGATTTTAAACTCGAACCTTCTCGCTGTGTCTCCTCAGAATCCAGCGGTCCCACCAAAGTGGTGAAAGCAGGAAACCCGCCTAAAGCCAGACGTGGAGGAAAGGTAAGACCGCTCTCTTTCTCTATTTATGATTTCACTTCCTTCTGTTGTCCTCCAAAAGGATAAGATTGAATTAACAACAATCTGAGTTCACCACTTTGTCCAGAGGGGGCGCCGAAGTGACAGGACAGGATAAAACTGCGCCTCATTTATTGTTTCAGGTTTACTCGTGTCTTTACAGACGATCTGAATAATCATGGATGAGGCGCTCTGCTTTAGCGCCGCTCAATACCAATAAACTGAGTCTAACTGCAGAGAAAAGCCTTTATAGTTTGTAATTATAGACAGTAAACTGGATTCAAACAGGCTGTTCTCATTAGAGTGGAGGAGGTGTGTGTGTGTGTGTGTGTGTGTGTGTGTGTGTGTGTGTGTGTGTGTGTGTGTGTGTGTGTGTGTGTGTGGTCACAGTGCAGGTATTTATCTGTCAGGCCTCAGGCTGTGGAGAAACCTCCCTTCACACTTCCTGCAATGCAAATATGAGTTCCTGGTGAGCCAATCGCCCCGCAGATAAAACCCACAAATATCCTCAAACGTGTTTCATTCACAACCTCCCACCTTTGACGGCGGCCGTGCTGGAGGCCGTTAACCACACCTGAACCACAGACGTTTACCAGTCTGTGTGTGTTCGGTGTGAAGCTACAGAAACAAAAACAGACCGACGTATGGGGGGAGATAAGACGGGAGTGAGGGAGGTTTCTGTCCGCAGGTTAGCTGAGGAGAAACAGAAATCAAGTTTTGAATCTTCTCTGCTTTCTGCTTCTTCAGCTGCTTCTTTGTTTGTTTCTCAGGTCGGAGATTTCGGCGACACCAACAGCTGGCCGACTCCGGGAGAGATCGCGACTAAAGACATGCAGGTGAGTGCGAGTGTTTGTCTGAGAGGTGGTCGATATGAAGGGGGAGACAGTGACGGGAAAATCAGGGACAACAATCAGGTAGATGAACATTATTACGAAACTTCCTGCGGCTGCTCTGGTTTCCTCTGAAAGATCAGATCATAGACTCGTCGCCTTCCTGTCTTTGGCGGCAGACAGACGGATGAATTTTCAGTCTTGTCAGCGTAGAGCAGAAGAACCGTTTTCCCTCTGTGCTGGACTCGTGGATTATCGTGTCGCGTTATCGTATCAGCGTTTCCCTGCAAACTCAAAGTTTTTCTGTTTCATGGATCTGAGTCTGAGTTTCCTGCTTCTCAAATGGAGTCAAATCTGGCAGAGACTGACCCGCAATTTACACCGCATCCAGAAAGGTTGCGAAAAGGCTGTACGCGCAGATCGCCGCTGAGCGTTTCCATTCAAGTTCATGTGTCAATTTCCACCGGCTTCTTTCAGCCCCTCTATGGTTCAGCGGACTCCCCAGCTGAACGCCAGGGTTCTATTTTTTCCAGACGCCGCAGAATGCCGGATAAATTCAGCACAGATTAACCCGTGCTGGAAAGGAAGTCGGGCACAGACACAAAATAAAACATCCGGCTTCTTTTCAAAATAAAACACAACGCCATGCAAACCTGGGCAGGGACGAACAAGTCAAAGGTTTTCAGACATCATTTCACCCCGATGACACCATGGATGAGGAGATGGCGAAAATCGTTCTGATGCGGTGGAAATTGGGGGTCAGTCTGTATGTAATTGCGGAAGTGCGAAGACTGCAGTTCCTTGAGTGTCCACGCTCCTTTCAGGTGGGTATGTTGAGTATTTTTTTCCTCGGCCGCCACGATTGCACAGGGGTTCGTAGTTTTATTGAAATGATGTGAACAGGCGCCAAACAGACATTTAAATTGATTTAATGAGTTATTTTTTTATTTCACCTCAACATCAACATAAAAAATCTTAAATAAATCTAAAAATGTTGAATTAAATCTCCGTGCGGGTGTTTCCTTCTCTCTTATCACGTCTCTGCCTGGAAGCGTTTCAGCTCTGTCGACTCGTTTCACCAAAGCAATGTCATCAGACAAGAACCAGAAGGTATTTCCTCGTTTGCCCCGCCGTCACCCCGGAGTTTTCTACATGAGGTTATATTTAAGCAGCAGCCGAACATCCTTGCCGAGCTGTTTCCTCGCCTCGTTGTCGTCAGCACCGTGTGTTTCTCACTTTCTGAGAGAACGAGTCTGTGACCTGGTTTGAACCCGGACAGTCTGAAGACAAAACAAGGTGGCTTTAAATCGTTAGCCGAGCGGGAGTCAGACAAAAGTGGTCCTCTGAAGAGTCGAGGAGGACTACATCAGAGACAGCGTTCTGGTGCGTTACACATCCCTCTGTGTGTATGTGGCCTGCAAGTCCACGAACTGGGACGAGGAAACCGCTGCACAGATGTGCGGATGACGCCACAGTAGGCGGTCTCAGTCACAGTCTCGGCTGCATGTTTACGAGGACAAGGAGAGAAGTTGGGTTCGACGAATAAACTGAATTATGACCTTGTGCGATTAAACTGTTCCCGTAGACGCACTGACTGATCTGACTGTGACGTTCGTTTTTATCTGGTTATTAAGTCCAGATATAAAGAGACCCGTGTCACATGTGGTCCAGTCCAGACCCCCCTCTGTCACACTGACCCCCTCCCCTACATCCTCACTTTCCTACAGCTGTTGCTCTGCAGGGGGGATACGTCTAATTTGTGTCGTCTTACAGTAGCAGCGCTCGTCAATCACCGCTCAGAGACGTTTTCTATTCCTGATCTCTCGGCGATTGTGTGTCAGGGGGAGAGCGACCCCCGTGACCCCCCTATTTTAGGCAGCCAGGTCTGAGCGACAAGGAGAGACCGCATCCCGGAGCAGGAAAATGTAGGCCACATTGTCAGAGCCAGGAATAACCCGCTTCTCCGGTAGCAGGAATCGTAGGTAGGAGGGGGCGGAGTTTAGAGACGGTGGCCAAGCCCTGGGGAGGGATGTCCTTTTAGGGATCCCCTTTAATAAACCCCCCTCTGGATCTGGGCCGCTGCTATTCTTAGGGGGGCCTGAGTTCAGCGTCCACCACGTAACATTTGAAGCTGTAAATCAGTCGCTCCGGTTCACGGATTATACAAGCGGAGAAATCGACCCTGAGGTTCGATAACGAGGAGTTTGAACGGAGAGACGCTGAAGTCTGAACATGATAACGCCTCCTCTTGATTTTATTTAAAGGTTAAAAACGTCTTTTCATGTTCGGACTGAATGAGCATCAGTTCACCAACACGCTGAAACACTCAGACTCAGTTTGTCCGACACACAGATTTATTTGATCTCCTGTAGAAGACGTGACCTGATGACAAAAATATGAGATTGAATCGTCAGCGATCATCAGACGGTCAGGTTTGTGTCTGTTGTCTGTTCCTGACACCTGACATGGACGAAACAGACTTTTGAGCGGTTATCCGCTGATGCTGATGTCATGAGGATAAAATTTGTACGTCCTGTCGTGTTTTCTTCCTGAGGGGATAACTGTGGGATTTGACGCTTTTGCAGAAACACATTGCTTCTTTAGACTGATTAGAACTTTTTTCTGTTTTTGCAGCTGAATTTTTTATTGTCATGACAGACGGGCCGTAAAAACATACAAAAAGATACTTGCAATAATCATTACGAACACCGGAGCCCGAGGGCTGCATGATTTAGGCCAAAAATAAAATCCTGATTTTTTTCTCAAAAAAACTGGATTTCACCAAATGTCATTTTAAAAATAAAAAGTTTTTCTATCATCTCTCAAAACTAAACCACTGAAAACAATGTAGTGCATATGCCAAGCCAGTAAGTGGCGCTGTACAGGAAATGCACAACAGTCAGAAGAAGAGTACAGAGCATGTGTATAAAGGTTGTTTTGGCGCCATAAAAGAGTTGCGCTGTGTGTCACATGATGGTTTTCAGAGATGCAGATAGACATCCACACGTAGATGAAGTGGTCGTCGTTTATGGATTTATTCACTCTCTGACCTGTTTTCAAAAATGATCACGTATAGTCACCTGAAACGCCGTCTTAGTGTGGATGAAACGCAGATAAGACAAAAAACTGTAGCGTTTACTTCTGAACTCGTTCCCGTGGTGACGGGTTGATACCACCTTCAGACAGACTTTGCAGCGGGGAGTGGTTTGCTCTTCATCTGAAACTGTGAAGTCGTACCAATTCAACACGACTGACTCGCTCTTGTCTTATTTAACCACGAAATTATCGCCTTCTTTTACAAACGCCATGTTTGTTTTGTTGTGTGTGGGAACTGGGAGGGAGAGTTTACGGTGGCCTGGAGGCATGAGACATCATAGTGAGGAAAATCAATTTGACGATTTTAACTTTTTAACATTGTCATGATCAAATAATCCGATTACGGTTTAAAAACGATTAATTATGCCATTCTGGTTTGTGTGACTGATTATTTTTAAAACCATCTTCAAGCCTCCTGGTAAACGGTCAGTTTCTGATGCCGCCACACAGACAGGGACACAGATTGACCGAAGCACCAGTAAAACCCATCAGCCCACTTTGACCCCTCTTCTACCGGGGTGAACAGAAAAGGGAAGAAACTGAGAGCGAGATTTTCCCAGGACTGGTGGATGTAAACCTGGGCGGTAGATGATGAAAATGATTCAAGGAGGAAAGAATGATACAGAAAAATCCATTAAATCGATAATTGATGGTGAATTATCGACAGCTTGCAGTGATTTTTTTCAGCATAATAGACGCTGAAATAAAGTCTGTTACCCCCACTCTCTTGCCACTCAAGGAGCTACCCTGTTACCTTCACGTTACACTACGTTACCTGCGCTACTCGCTATAGACCGTGTATAAGCTCGAACTTTACCTTTCACATTCATGGAAGAGCATCCAACAGGATTTGATGTGTTTCTCGATGACTCAAAACAAGTCGAAAGATAACACTGTGTGTTGTTGTGCTCACATGGTGCGGGTAGAAATCATTAGTGGCGCATTGATATAAATGATCAAGTGAAATTTTAGTAGTGGAGCACGTAATTCGGCAGTGGCGCTCTTAAGTCAAAATTTCGAGATTAAAGTCGACATGAATTAAGTCGAAATTTCAACTATTTCAAATTTTGACTTTAATCTCGAAATTTCGACTTTAATCTCGAAATGGAAATAAAAGAAATCTCCCTTCTGTAATATTTTTTTCTCTTCTTGTGGCCCTAATCCTCTTTCGTACAAATCCGATCTATTCATGTCATACTAAAGCATTTTTCAGATTTTGATGAGCCATGAAGACGATGTTCCTTTTAAAAGAGAAAATCCGACATGTTCCTCTCGCTCGGCATTGTCAGAAAGCTGCAAGGTGGACTGAAATGTCGTCTTTTCCGATAATGTGTTATTAAAATCCTGCACACTAAGATACAATGCTGAAACTACGTACACCGATAAAAAAGTGAATCAAGTGTGTAAAACCCTTGGTGCTCTGGACGAAACCCTCCTCCAGTTTAGTCAAAGTTCATCTGAGGATTCATCCACCGACACTGGTAGAGGTTTGGGTCAGAGCTGGTGAACAGTGGAGATAAGGGGCGATAAAAAGTCCGTGTGTAAACTTGATCCTCCGTATTTTTGGACCATGTCCTGTTTGCTTCAGTGAGGTTGATTTAGTTTGTTGATCATGTCATTGTTTTTCTCCTTTTACATGAAGGAGCTGATATTCAGAGTTTTTGTTCGGTTTGAAAAAATGATTGTTTTTTTATTTTTTTACCTTTTCTGTCTCGCCCACACGCAGCACGCTGTGACTGTATATCGAACAAACAGGCGTTTAGTGGCGGCAGGTTGAAGCAGAGAAAGCCACACGCTCTCACCCCTCTCTGAGTCCATGTCTGAGCTCTCTCATCCGTCTGTCTGTCTGTTGGTGTCATCACCTCTCACCTCATGTCGTTCTTGTCTGTTTTGTCTCCAGAGTGAAACGTTGGTTCTCTCTGTGTTGTTTCTGTATCAGGAGTCTTTGGTTGTGACTGTAACAGCGAAGCCTCCTCGGTTTCCTCCCTGCGGTGAGGAGGAGTGAATCAGCATCCCTCAGATCTCCGCAGCATTACTCTTCACATTTTTCCGTTACATCACACGTCTTTATTGATTCAGTGAAAAAAAAAAAAAAACACCTGAGCTTTAAACACAGTCGTCTACGCTCCGTTTCACACCTCTCTGTCCTCACTAAAAATAAACGTCCCCCTCTAATCCCATCTGTGCAGAAAGCAGAGCAATAAACCCGGAAAATATACGCCTGTCTTGATGTAGCGACACAACATCAGCCCATTAGCCACTTAGCCGCTCTGGGACGTCGTCTTTTTAAACCCAGAGGGAGATTTTCACAACGAACAGGAACACAGACGACAGGAAGTAGATTTCACAAAAAGGACAGATGATACCTGCAGAGGTGAGGACGGACTCTCTGCAGGTACTAACCTACTGTTTGTGTGTGTGTTAGGGTGTATTTGTGTGTGTGTGTACATGTCTGCATCATGGTCCACCTCATTGTCTTCTCTAAACTGCTCTTCCCTCCCTCTGTTCAGATCGAGGCAGTGACACGGACCGTGTCCTGCCCGCCGACTGTCAGGCAGGTCAGAGACTCGTGGAGATTCACTGTAAGTTCAACCTGCAGCCTCTGAAAACCTGCAGCCTGCCTGATTTTCAAACCTATAACCCTCTGAGTAAACTCCTGATTATTAATCCAGCAGCACCACACTCAACAAAGGCGGGGAGTCGACTCAGGTTCAAGCCAGTTAGCTTAGCTCGCTGAGTCATCCTTTCTGCGCTTAACGCTCGAATCACTCAGAGGAGGGTTTGAAGAAGGTAAAAGGGCGGATAAATCCTTACAGATGTGTCTTCAAATGATACCTTTAGCTGTTTTACATGCAGAGCTAGCGTTAAAGGATTATACATGAATATGTTATAAATCCGTCAGAGTGCGGCAGCTTCAGCCAGCTCTCTCTAAATGAAGTGATAGCAACTGTCCCGTCTATTTAAACTCGGAGCAGCTGGTTGTTACGTAACCTCGGCGGGCTGTACGATATCCAGAGTCGAGTCATGACACAGAGTAATGTACAGACAGACAGACGGACAGAGCGCTGCTTTATTTAAAGAGGAGCGCCAAGGTAACAATGTGGCCCCTCACCACAGCGGAGAGAGAAGAGACGGAAGAGGTATTTTTGATTCATCATCATTTCAGTTTAGTTTTCTATCTGCTTTTCCATTTTCACCGTTTAAGTTGATGTTGTAGATTCAGATGCACAGTTTAAACAACAATCAGTGTTTTTTTTCACAGCTCTGACCACTGTGGTTTCTTTAAATCCACCTCCATCTTCACCTCATTTCAAATCTACGGAAGACGATTAGGGCCACATGAAGGGAACAAAAATAATTACAGGAAGGAGATTAAGGTCGAAACTTTGAGATTAAAACATCGAAATTTCGAGAAAAAATTGCAATTTTGTGATATAAATCGAAATTTTAAATTCGAAATTATGTCAATTAAGTCAAAAGGTCGAAATCTTGAAATTAAAAATTGAAACTTAAAAAAATAAATTTTGTCAGTCGAAATTTTGAGGAAAAATCGTAATTATGTAAATTTAGTGGAATTTTAATATTAAAAAATCAAAATTATATCAGTAAAGTCAAACGGTCAAAATTTTGAGATTAAAAATTGAAACTTCGAGATTAAAAAATCAAAATTTTGCCAAAAAGGTGAAATTTTAAGAAAAAAATTGCAATTATGTCAGTTAAATTGAGTTTTGAGATTAAAAATCGAAATTGTCAATTAAGTCAAAATTTTGAGATTAAAAAAATTTAAATCTCAAGATTCAAGTCGTAATTTCATGATTAAAAAAATCGAAATTATGTCAATAAAGATTGAAAATTGAAATTTAATTCAAGGAACTTAAATTGAGATTTAAGTCGAAATTTTGACATTACAAAATGTTGAAATGTCGTGAATATCGTTTGTCTAATTTCGAGATTGAAAAATTAAATTTTTGAGATTAAAGTTGAAATTTTGAGGATAAGGTCGACATGAATAAAGTCCAAATTTCAAATTTTTTTAAAAATTTGGATTTTATCTCAAGGTTTCAATTTTTACTCTTGAAATTGAAATAAAAAAAATCTCCCTCCTGTAACTATTTCTCTTCTTGTGGCCCTAATCCTCTTTCGTACTAATCTGATCAAATTAAAACCTTATTTAAGATTTTTATGTGTTCAACGTCCAGTCACTTGTGCAGAAGATGATGTGCCTTGAAAATAGAAAATCCGACGTGTTCCTCTCACTCGGCATCGTCAGAAACCTGCAGGGGGGACTGAAATATCGTCTTTCTGAGTGTGCAGGAATTTAATAACACATTAAAATGCAATACTGAGACTTTGTACACCCATAAAAAGTGAATAAAGTTTATAAAACTTTTGTAGATTTCTTTCGACATAGGCGTGGTGGATCCTCATTTAATAAAACCATAATATTAATCGAAAGCAGGATTCCTCCATCATTACTGTAAAGTAGGGCTGGGCGTTATGGCCTTAAATCAATACCACGATATATTGAGTAGCTCACCTCGATAACGATAAACGGACGACACCGAATATACCGATATGGGCAAAATGACATTGGTTATTGTTGTAAATTTCGGAATCGGTAAATTTTTGGTTTATCGCCCAGCCCTACTCTAAAGTAATGAGTGCGTTGATCGACCTTCTGCGGCTCGTGATAAATACTAAATATGTTTTTTTCTTCTTGACGTAGTTGGACCAGCGCTCCTTCAGTCCGATCACTGTAAAGCTGCTCCTCTAACAGAGCTGCTGCTGCTTCTGCTGTTTGATTTCTGGTGAAACTGAGACAACGCTGCATGTTCAGGGTTTTTGAGTTCAGTCTGATTATATAATTGGAGATCTGACGCCTTTAGGCTGAGCATGTTGAGGTGTGTGTGCGTGTGGACTTAAAGGTTCGGGGATTGAAATGTGTGGTATCTCTTACTCCACTTCAGCTGAATGCTTTGCATGACTCGTATGCATACCCCTGTGGGGTGTCAAACCTCGCAGATATGTGTGTGACTGATAGCCGAGCTGTGGCGGCGCAGACGAGCGGCTGGACTCTTTGATTTGAATAAAAGGGGATACGGGCGTAGTGAGCAGAGATAACCAGTGAATGAAATCCACGAGCGTGAACCGCCCTCTCTCTCTCTGTTTTTCTGAGACTGAGCTGAAGTGAAAACCACATGCAAAGTCTGCTCTCCTTTTATTGTAGCTCTGATCAGGTCGTATTTGAATTTTAACCTTCGTAGTTTTCCTCAACTAAACCCAGAACCTGTCAGAGTCACTTCTCTCTCTTTAATTTACTTTATTCACCAAATACGACCTCTGCATGATCCTGAAGAGGAAGAAACATCTAGAAATAGTCAACAGTTTGGTGTTTGCCAAGCCCCACCCCCCTCAGTTACTGTTGCTATGCAGATTCACCACCTGAAATCCTCATACGTAGAGTAGTGTATGGAGTCAAAAGGAGGCCAGTAAGCATCGTAAACATATTTACAGGGTTCCTACACATGAAGAATTCTCAAACTTTTCCGTACCCTGCTTTTTAAAATTATTATTTCCCTCTTTGTTACTGACTGGATGGGGTGGAGTCACGTCTCTGACGTAGGACAGCATCTTCAAGGGACATGAGACCATAGCCTACCTACAAACATCCAAAACCAACTTTTATTTATTTATTTTAACACCAAATATACTGATATGGGCAAAATGACGTTGGTTATTGTTGTAAATCTGAGTATCGGTAATTTTCGGTTTATCGCCCAGCCCTAAAAACAGTTTTAAAGTTCAAACTTTTAAGACACCCTCTTCCCTCTTGTCTGATACTTTGGTAACTGGCGTGTCTGAAAGCGTGACATCAGCAGCAAAGTTTTATTTTTCCTTCTGGTGACTAAAGCTAAAATTAGAAAGTACATTTTTTAGGGGAAGGGGCGAAGAAAATCGTCTATTGTCTGATTTTATATCTTGTGACAGTTTGACCAACCAAAACCGTGTTTACGCTCCAGTTTCTCCACGAGTCCTCTTCTGATGCGGTACCCAAAACAGAGATGTGCGTTGTGTTTGTGTGGGGTCATGACTCTCTCTGAACGGGTCTTAAGTGTTGCTGTAATAGACTCCACTTTCAACAGCTCTCGTCTAAGTGCCGATATGCTTGAACCTGTCCCCCCCTCCAGGGCCCGAAAAGATCGACAACAGCCAAGAAGGAGTCGAAGGAGAAGAGAGAGAGCATCGAGGAGAGCAAGGAGAACCTGAAGGCCAAGTCGGACGACTCTGGGGAGGAGAAGAACGGAGATGACGACTCCCAGAAGAACGGACCCAAGAAGAAAGGTGAGCGTAGATGAAGCGTTTGAATAAAAATACAGATGAGCAGTAAAAGTGTCCTCACATTTGACTGTTTAACCTTTTAAATTAGGGGGATTATTCAAGCACCATTAAAGAAGATCTTAAAGCTTTCATGAACTCATATACAAGTGAACAGTTTGAGTTTTAAAAGTCCCTCTGTGTCTCATTTCACACTTTGGCTCACATCGTCTTTAATAAAAAACTCGGGGCAATAAATTTTGATTCTTCACGCCGTTTAGTTTCGCTTTATTGCGTCTAAGAAACTTCTACTTTTCAGGGAAACATGACTCTAAAGACTTAAGGGGGATTCCCTCTGTGTTTTTCACGGTATTTATCAGTCACCAAAAAGTCCAATCCGTGTGTCTCTGTGGAGGATGGTGGGACTGACCTCAAGTTTTTAACGGTCTCAGAAATGCAGAGCTGGAAAAAAAAAAAACACCAACAGGATTTGGGGGAGTACAGACATTAATGTGTTCACTTTCCGACATCCACAAAAACTACAGAAACACAAATTTTGTTTTTAAGTTTGTTTTAAAGAAACCTGCAGACGTGCTTGATGACGTGATGAGCTCTTCATGTCTCTTCTCTGAATAAACAACTATGAGGAGAAACTTTCACAACTCTGATCTCGGCACTGAAGCAAAAAAAAACACAAAACACTCAAACTCGTGTTGAGTCATTTAGACTCATTTACTCTCTCATGTCGTCACCGCGGACTAATTTAAGAGTTTTCAGCTGTTTTATAATCTGAGGGAAGTCCAAGTTTCTATTTTTAGAGACTAACGATGTTTCACTGTTTGAGAGTTGTCAGGAAGCACTGACATGTCGCTGTTATGCACCTGTCTCTGAATCTGTACCTGTGCACACTGACAGTTGTGATCATCTGTAGTTCCGTTTCAGCAGATTTAGACTCAGGCCCACGTAAACCGGCTCCTCTCTCACACACTCTCCCACACACCTTCAACCAGATGTTGCTGTAAGCAGCGTATATCTGATGCACCCTGCTGGTCAGCAGAGGTACTGCAGCGATGATGGTTCTTCTTCCACTGAATGACTGAGTGAATTTCCTCTCTCTGTGTCCGCAACCCTTTATTGCCTTTTGTATCATATTTCATACGTACCTTTATATACTTCCATCAAATCAATATGAACAACAAATTACTAAAAAACACCCTAATACAGTCCGATAAATGATAAAAATGTCCTCTTGTGGTATATCAGTTTCCAAAAAAATCTAATGTATCAAACAAGATAAATATGTTTGTTAAATTTAAAGGACATTTTGATGTTTTTGATTTTCAGTAGTAAGTGAAATCAACATTTCAGCTCCAAAAAAAATGGAATTTTTTGGCCATAATTTGTGGTTTCAGGCATTAAAGGGTTAAAGCTTTTTTTTCCCTTCCTGTGAGGTTTTGACTTTTTATTTAATCATTTTGAGGCAAACAGCCGGGCACTTATGTGGAGATAATTCCTGTTTAATGCGCTTTTGAAACGAGATTTCACAGAGCCTTCTCCGCTGCTGCCACCCCCACCCTCTGAAATTCACTCCCCAAACCCATCTGAGACTGTACAGACCCCCATACCTTCAAATCACTCCTAAAAACACACCTTTTTAAATTGGCTTTTAACCTGTACACTGTTTTTTTTATTCTCTTTTCATGTCATGTCTTTTTAAACCTTTTACATTGCTGGTGTTTTACTCCACACTGTTCTGTATTTTAGTTGCATTTCTTGTAAAGCGTCTTTGAGAACTTGTAAAAGCGCGTTATAAATAAAAATTATGATTATTTTTTATTTATTATAGACTTCCACAAAGTCGAAAGATGATATTCAAAACTAGACTCTTCGGACTTTTCATATCTGATGCACATTAATAACATTTAATAAACCATCAGACTGGTTTACTTAAACTCTGTTTTCTCCTAAAGATCCTGTGCTCCTGCCGGGTCTGAATGACGATTTCATCTTTTTGTGTCACTACAAACAGGAAACAAGCACAAGTGGGTTCCTCTGATGATCGAGGTGAAATCTGAGGGTCCCAGAGAACGCTCGGCCTCCAGGAACAACAGCAGACAGAATGAAAACCCCCGTGTGCCCCCCAACGCCAGGAACGACCTCAGAGGTCAGTCGGTGATGTCATCACCTGTTATCCGCACACTCATAACCACAAACGGCTCTGACAGCTGTCCGAAGGGGTCGTATTTTCCTTTAGTTATTTTGTTTTATTTTTTTGTACACAGACTCGTGAGTTTAGGTAACTAAATAACTAACAAACTAATTAACTAGCTAGCTAGCTAACTAACAAAGTAATTACAGGGTTCCTACGCAAGTATTGAAAAGTATGGAAATAAATTTGATTAGTTTCCAGGTCTTAAAAGATATGGGAAATGAAAAATAAAGTATAGAAAAATATTAATGTTTGTGGTGCAGTTTGTGCAGTTCTAAAATACTATTTTCTAAAAAAAATAATAATAATGTACTAACTAACTAGATAACTAGATAACTAACTAACTAACTAGATAACTAACAAACTGATGAACTAACTTAGTAGCTAGTGAATTCACAAATGGATCAACTTACTTACTCGCTAGCTTACTAACAAACAAATTAACTTACTACCTAGCTAACTAACAAACATAATACCTTGCTAACTAACTAACTAGCTAGCTAATTAATTTACTAGTCAGCTAACTAACTAACAAACTAATTAACTTACTAACTAGCCAACTAACTAGCTAGCTAACTAACAAACTTAAAAAGTTACTAAATAGCTAACTAATTAGCTAGCTAATGTACCTACTAATTAGCTAACTAACTAACCAGCCAATTATCTTACAGGCTAGCAAACAAACTAACAAACTTATAAATTACCAACTAGCTAACTAACTAGTTAGCTAACGAACTAACAAACGTATTAACTTACTAAATAGCTAGTTAACTAGCAAGCTAATTAACTTACTAGCTAGCTAACTAACTAACAAAATAATTAATTACTAACGAGTTAACTAACCAGCTAGCTAACTAACAAACTAGCTAGCAAAGTAATCAACTTTCTAACTAACTAACTAACCGTGGAGACAGATGAGCACACTGTGACAGGTTCAAGGTTGAGTTGGTAAAACGAGAATCAGGCACTAATAGATGATGTGTTTCAATTGCCACGTCCAGAAAGAGGAAAAAAGGGTTTTTGTTGAAATCTGTGAAAATACAAAATTTTGAAAAAATAACAGGAAAGACTTGACGGCAAAAGCGAAACTATAAATCGTACAGCAGTCGTTAGTATCGGTGAGAATCTATGATCATTAGGATAATTAAGACACTTTCTTTAAATTTGTGATGAAATACAAGAGAAATATGTGTGTGGATTTGTCCTGTTAACTGTCCAACAAGGTTTCCTGACTGCGTTAAAGTTAATTTACCTTCTTTAGTGCAAATACTTTATTTTTTTGTTTGTCGGTGATTTATTTCATCTGTCTGTAAGTCGGCAGGAGGATTTTCTGTTTCCAGGAAGAGTCTGATGTTGTTTGGGTTGTTGGAAAACTGTCTTCCTCACTCTTAACACCACTAAAGTAGAGCTCTAGTTCTATTAAAGGTTTATTCTGTATAATTTCACACAGTGTTTTTGAATATCTAAGCCCAGGAAGTGTTGATGTTTGGATAGATCCAAATCATTGGGTGGATTTACAGCAGGAGAAGACACAGGCAGATTCCACAGAGAGCTTCAGACATGCAGATATATATGAGTGTTTATGATCGTATCAATGAAAAGCTGATTATTAGAGAAACAGTCGTCATCATAGTATCTGCAGTGAATCCAGGATCCAACATTTACATGCTGAATAAATATCTAGAATACTTAAGCAGTCGTCTGAATGTGAACGCTTGACGAGTTTTGAACCACAATCAGGGACTCAGCAGAAGGAAATGAGTCTGAAATCCCACCCGGCTGGTTTCACGTGGAGCTTTAAATGCCAGCGGTTATTAGCTGCTGCTGCTGTTTGACTTGTGAGAGCATGTGACAGCAGATTTGAGTCTGTAGTGTTTGTGTTTGTGTTACACTGCATCTGCGAGGCGAGCGTGCATGACTCAGCAGCAGGATGTGTGTGTCCTTAACTATCGGCCACTTCTGCTTTGATAGCTCAGCGTTTTTAATGTAAAGAAGAAGAAGAAGAGGAAATGAAATGTGTCGGTGTCTCTGAGTATTTGATCTTTTCGTGCAGCAGAGTTGAAGCCACTGTTCGGTTGAATAACTAAATAAATTTGCATCAAACCGGAGCTCTTCTCTCCGTTTCTTCTGCTGGTCTGGACGGTGGGTGGCGTTTACACTGACAGGATATTGTTGTGTGTTTCCCCGCAGACTGGCACAGTCAGAAGTACGAGCGTGAGTGGCGTGACGACCACGACGAGGTGTCCAGCGTGAAGAGCGAGGGAGCGCCTTTCCGCGGAGGGTTCAGAGGTCGTGGACGTGGAAGAGGAAGAGGCAGAGGACGAGGCCGAGGTGGTGGCAGAGGTATGTGCGCTTCCCTCCTCCTCACAGACTCTAAGAATACAGCGAACCGCGAGTTTCCTGGCATTCAAAACGTCCGATGTAAATAGATCTTTCTGGTCTTTTGTGGTCGACTGTTTCAGTCGACAGAAACAAACAAAGACGCTGGTGAGGATTTCGCCATCCCGCCTGGTGTGTGTCAAACAGTTTTCTAAGAACAACTTACCAAAACAAGAAACGAGCAGGAGAGCGTTGTTGTGACAGAAACCTGCTGTTTACGAGGTCGCATGAGTAAACGGATGAATCAGCCAAACTGAACCTGCTGCAGAGGTGATGAGCTCCTCATGTCTCTTCTCTGAATAAACAACAATGAGGAGAAACTTTGATAACTCTGATCGCAGCAGAAAAGAAAAAAAACATGTTAGAGGTGGGGTAGGCAGGATCTGAGGAAGGGCCTGTTTTTGGGAGAAATCTTGAATGCAAACTCTACCCCTCCCAACCAGTTTTCCCCTTAGCTCCTCCTCTCCCCTCCCGCTCTGCTCCAGCAAGCCCCGCCCACTACCCCACCTTTAACTTGTTGATGCCGATTCTCATTCTGAGTAGTCGTTGCGATTGCTTCTTTCTTTGGTTTGGGTTTTTGAATTTAGAGGTGGGGTAGGCAGGAATCTGTTAAAGAAGCATCTTTTTTTGTGGTGTATTTACAAAAAACTTTTAATATCAGTCAATAGTTATTAGTTATTGATGACATTTGGGAATATAACGATATCACTGTGTTTTGTTATGTCTGTGTCGTCAACATTTTAACATTTTTGTGCGCTCCGCTCTTTCTGACGGTAAACAAAGCCATTCTCCACCTCCCTCAACTTGATTGATTGTGAGGCAGACGCTGCTCCCTCGTGTTGTGAGGCGCGCTCCACATCCTCCAATAACGTTCAGGATTCCAAACAAAGTTAGCGTGCTACAATATCGGACAGTAGAAACCAACCAGAAAGTTCAGAAAATTGTCTGAATCCTCCTTTGGCCACGACTGCCGACACAAGCAAGAAAACAGAGTAAATACCGGAGACTCTGGAGGAATAACGGGCGCTTAAAACGGAGGTAGAACGGACAAGAGCTAAAAAGCCGGGTCAACATAAACGATGGGGGACGCTTGGGGATCTTGGTGACTCTGTAACCTTTCTGCTGGACAGGTAAACCGCTTTAACAAAGTAAGCCAAGTGTCGGTAACAGAAGTGTTTCTTGTCAAACGGACCTGCTGCGTGTTGTAGCGCCGCTAAACTGTTGACCTCGGGTCCTGGACTATGTCACTTTATCCTAGTTGTAGAAGTCCTACAAACATTGTGTTTGCTGGTAGTCTGTTGGCATCTACAGAAGCACCAATGCTTTTTACTTTCACCTGTTTGTGGGCGGGGCTTCTGGATCAGAGAGGAGGGGAGAGGAGGAGCTGAGGGAAAAACTGGAACTTCCTCAGATCCTGACTACCACACCTTTAATCCGTGCTGGAAGTGGAGCGTTACACAAATGGTCTAAATGTCGACTCTGACGGTAAATAAACACACACCCAGAGTCGAGAGCAGACAGCCGACTGAAGCAACGGCGAGGTCATTAAAGCAGAATTTAAATATGATTTACAAGACCACTTTTAAACACTTAGAAAATGGTCCAAATGAATCCGCAGGAACACGATCAGAGTCTGTGGGTCAGCAGAGCGACACAACCGGCCTTCAGTCCAGGATGATATCAGGTCATGCACTCCTTTGTTGGAGTTAATCAGACACAGATGCTTTTATTTTCATTCAAATTCTGAAAATGTGACTTTTCAACACTGCTCTCATTATCACAAAAACAAAATGTGACGACGAAAGAAAAGACGAATCTGCAGACGTCTGTTCAAAATCAAACGCCTTCATCCGTACGTCTGTTTCCACATTTGAATATTTTTTCTTCTTGAACGACCTTTTGACCTGGTCTGAGTCTCTGTCTCTCCATCTAACCCATTCTTCCTGTCTTTCTGAAGGCCACTATGACTACCACTATGGCTACAAGTCCTACGACATGAAGGACGGACCGTACGGCCTGAAGTTCAACAACACAGTGACCTACTACTACGACAACATGAGCAGCAACGACCTGTACTCGGTGGACCAGGACCTGCTGAAGGACTACATCAAGAGGCAGATGTGAGTTTGAACCCAGAGACGCAGGTTTCTGATTGTCTGGACTCGCTGGAGACGTGATGAGCTCTTCATGTCTCTTCTCTGAGGAAACACCAATGAGGAGAAGTTTCACAACTCTGATCTCAGCGCAGACCTGAACCCGAGTCCTCTTTACATGATATTTACATTTCAGCACAGACTCTCTGAGGCTGCAGGATCGGTCCAGACACCGTACCTAAAACTCTCAGAGGTCCTGGATCGGTTTTCTGTTTGATCTGAATTTTTCTGTCACTTTTAAAGTGTGTGCTTATCCTCTAACTTTAGCTTCTTAACCGTCACACTAACGTTAAAAATGAACGTTAGCTTTGGAGCAGCGATTTAAAAAAAGGAAACTTCTCATCCTCAAATTTTCTGAGCTTCAAAAACACGACTTTGTTTTTATTTTCATCCATGAGAATCTGAGTAAACACATTTAGAGCAGCAGAGCTTCTCCTTTTTTATGGCGTGCACGCTGGTGGCCGGGGGTTACCGTGGTAACCAGACATGCTGTGTCTATCCTATCTGAGTGCTCTTTTTTTCTGCTGTTAAGAAGTATTTTAAGAAGAGCCGTTCGGTCTGATTTTTAAAGAAATAGATGGACGTCTTCTAAAATAAAATTTACTGAAATGATATTTTCAGATCAACAGAGTTGGTCTCAAAAATGACTCCAGAAGTGAGTTTATTGAATCACTTTATTTCATATGTGGAAGGTCGACACCAGCAGGGAAATGTTTCACTCAAGTCTGACTCTTGAGTTAAAGGGATATTCAGACGTAAAATTAATTTAGGGTTAAACACACCGTAACACCGAGTTAGACACCCCCACGGAGATTAATGTTGCCGACCGCTTGCTTCTCTAGTTATACCAACTTTAATAGCAATACAGAGAACCATGCGCTCAACCAAAACACCACAAATAATGCTCAGAACAGCACCTAACTTCATCAACAGGACATATAGAGTCCCAGCCATAGTACTAGCCATCAAACATTTTTCTAACTTTGCCTAATTTCTTTAGCAAAGAGACTAAACACAACTCACCTACTCTCTTCCAGCAGCCGCTTGTTTTGTAGCGAGACCTCGGGCCAGTCCATTACGGACTACAGCGGTGTGACGCAGCTCAAGGAAGAACATTTATGATCATTTCTTTATGGAAATACAATCAGACCGAGACGCTAAAGCAGAAGAACTACTGTGTCTGCAGTGCAAAATGATTAATATGAGGATTATTACTTCAAGGAAATTATCATAAATGTTCTTCCTTGAGCTGCGTCACCCCGCTGTAGTCTGTAATGGACTGGCCCGAGGTCTCGCTACAAAACAAGCGGCTGCTGGAAGAGAGTAGGTGAGTTGTGTTTAGTCTCTTTGCTAAAGAAATCAGGCAAAGTTAGAAAAAGTTTGATGGCTAGTAGATGGCTACTAGATTCAGATTCAGACATTATTCATCCCCGAAGGTCAATTAATTTCACAGAAATAAAATAAGAACTAAAACAATCCTGAGAATTTCAACACAGGCCACCATTCAGCGACTTCCCAGTGTTTAGCAGCCTGATCGCTGAGGGGATAAAGGAGTTTGAGTACCAATTTGTTTTCTTTAGGGGTGCATAGTAGCGCCACCCAGAGGGTATAAGAGAAAAGTTTAACCCCATGTTTCTGACTGTGCGTCTCTCCTCCCTCTGCAGCGAATACTACTTCAGCCTCGACAACCTGGAGCGAGACTTCTTCCTGAGGAGGAAGATGGATCAAGAAGGTTTCCTGCCCATCGAGCTTATCGCCAGTTTTCACCGAGTCCAGGCGCTCACCACAGACGTCAGCCTCATCATGGAGGTAAGACTGGACCTGAGATCAACCGGGAGAAAATAAAAGGAGCTCAAGTGATTTATTAAACGAGGAGCGATTAAAAATAAAGGTTATAGGGAAGAAGATCTGCTTCAAAGATTTCAGATCCTCCTGATGATCTGATTTAAACTCTGACAGGTGAGAGTTCACTGTTCCCTCTCTCTCCTGTCAGGCTCTGAAGGACAGTAAAGAAGTGGAAGTGATCGACCTGAAGATCCGTCGGAAGGTGGACCCGGAGAAGTGGCCTCTGCCGGGTCTGGCCATGCCAAACCAAACACACACCGACTTCTCCCAACTCATCAACTGCCCCGAGTTTGTCCCCCGACAGTTGACCGAGGAGCCCAGAGGTGAGATTTTAGAGGATCACAGTTAAATCTGAATCCTGATTCTGGATCATAAAAGTGTCTCTGAGACCCTCTCTGTTTGGGCTGCAGGATCTCCTCGGGTGTCCACGCCGGTGAAGCAGCAGAACAGGTCTGAATTGGACATCTCCAATCTCAAGACCATGCCGAAGGGCCTCTCCACCAGCCTGCCAGACCTGGACTCTGAGTCCTGGATCGAGGTGAAGAAGAGACCCAGACCTTCACCAGCCAGACCCAAGGTCAGCACGGAGAAGGTGAAATTCAGGACTCCAAACTCACACATGAAGATTTCATTTGCTCAAATGTATAAATCATGATTTCATAAACACAAAGTGGTCGTTCGCATCTTCAAACTCTGAGCGAACGCCGTCAAACTCGAACCAGATCATATTTCTGAGTCAAATCTAAAAAACTAGAAGACACAGTTTCTGCTTTTGTACAAAAAAAGAGACGTTTTCTGTCATTTAGACGATTAAATCTGAAACTTTTCTAACCAACACGACAAAAGTCTTTTAAACGACACGATAATCTCATCTGTCCTCCTTCAGAAATGTCTCATCTGTTCATTTTGCTCAAGAACAAAGCTGCTGCACTTCTCCTGATCGTGACTTTTTATTTCTTTATCCATCTCCTCCTCCTCCTCCTCCTCTCTCCTTTGTGGTTGGCGATGAAGGCCCCCTCGTTGCAGCAGCAGCAGCAGCCGAAGGAAAAGGAGGACTCTGTTCGCTCTCCGGTCCCCCACTCGGGCCCCTCGCCCTCCCCCGCTACCTCAGGAAACAAGGTGAGTGAGACAACGTTTCCTGCTCTGATCGCACGTTTCTTCGTCTTTTTACTCGTATTAATTGGACGGCTGAAAAGACAGAAAAAATGAGGGAGAGACATGAAGCAGTGGAGGGTCAGGAGGAACAGGTGTTGTGTTTTTGTGGCGCTCAGATGCCACTCCAAGTTTAAGATGTTTAAACTTAAATTTATCTGAATTTACCTCAAAGTTTTCTTTAAAAGACTCACAGATGATCAGAAAACTGTTGCTATCGTTGTCCATGTAGATTCTTATTCATCCAGGTCATGGTTTTCTTGAAGACTTGCCTGATTTTGGAGTTTTGCGATCGCTCACATTCATTCATCTGTCGTTTCTGTGTCTGTGTTTTGGTTCCCGATCAGGACGGGGCGGAGCCGGACGAACCCGAGGAGCTGGACTTCATGTTCGACGAGGAGATGGAGCAGATGGACGGCCGGCGGAACACCTTCACCGACTGGTCGGACGAGGAGACGGACGGCGAGATCGACGACCACGACGTCAACAAGATCTTGATTGTCACGCAGACGCCGCCCTACCTGAGGAAGCACCCGGGGGGCGACCGCACGGGACAGCACACGTCACGAGCCAAACTGAGCAGCGAGCTGGTCAAAGTGATCAACGACGGGCTGTTTTACTACGAGCAGGACCTGTGGGACGACACGTACGAGCCCGAGTACGCCACCATCAAGGTGAGGAGGACGTTTATCAGATCGAACGCTTTTATTCCTGAGCGACTGATCCTGATATTTTATTTTGAAATGTGGTTAAAGTACCATTATCGGCATGTTTCTGTCCTCCATGACAGTGAAAATGTGAAACAGTGACAACCCGAATATTTCTAAAGTACATGAAGAGCTGCTACTGAAAAACCTCCCTAACAAAGCATCTTTAACATTTTAATTCCTATATCGTCACCCAATTAAAATAATGGCCTAAGCCATTTTTTGATGAAAATGAGTTTTTGATCTAAATCATCTCCTGAGCTAAAGTTACTTAGCACAGATGAAAGATAAAAACTGTTAAAGCACACAAACCATCGTCATATCAGAAACCCGACGCTATGACTCTCCATAAGTTGTCTTTCAGGTCGTTATCTTTGTAACATTTGTGTCTTTATCAAAAATCACTCTGTTCTCCGACATGTTAACAATCAGCCGGTCTGTCATGTTGGATATACCGGTGAATCTGACGTCGCAACAACACGCAATCTGATTGGTCAGAAGTGGACACACAGTATGCGAAACTTTTGAAAATTCGACCGTGATCCGAAAAAAAAAAAATGCCGCAATAACAATTAGAAGAGGAGAGTGCTGATCAGAAATGATAAGAGTTTCTGAATGTGGTCCAGAAAAAGGTCCCAAAACCTTTTTGAATTTTTCGTCATTATCTACGACAGAGTAACAAATCTTCTCAGGGTCTAAACAAGGAGTTTATCTTATTCAATTTATTTTATTTACTTTGTATGTTAAGAAAATGTTGAACTAATCTCTAGTTTATTTAGTTTTTAGTACAGAGTAGGGCCCGACCGATATGTTTTTTTTGGGGCCGATACCGATTATTAGGGAGGGTGAAAAATTGGATTATCGATTAATTGGACGATTTTTAAATTTTTTTATTAATATATAAGAAATATATATATTCTGTAGATATGAACAGTATACTATATACTGTAGTAAATTAGTCGGACCCCAGTACAGATGCTTTAAAACTGGCAGTTTAAAAAATGTTGTGACAATAATCGAGATTGGACGATATGACAAAATATATCAAAACAAACATTATGCACAAACAGAGGAATAATTGATCACTTTTAATCGACAAAAATCAGGTCAAAGAAGCGTTAAATGTCCTGAGATCAGGTTTTTGTTTTTTTAGCTGTTTAGTTTTTATAAAAAAAAAGACTCGTACAGAAATCTTTGCGTCTCTTTATTAACCCTTAAATGTCCCTGAAGGTCACACGCTGTTCTGACAGCTTCCCCGTTGTCCGAGCGCCAGTTTTTTTGAGCACTGGAGTTTTTCTGCTCGTGTTTGTGTTTCCTCTTCAGTCAGAGCGGCTTCTGGATATGGAAACAGACAGGTGTGTTTGGCTTTTTGTTGTCCTATTGTCGCATTGTCGAGCTCATTGTGAGACCTTCAGCGCGTCCACACATCCAGCTGTGTGTGGAACGACGCGCTCTTTTTTTCTCCCTTTTTTATAAATAAAACTCACACTCACACACACACACATTTACACACACACACACGGCCTGGGCCTGACGGGCTGCAGGGGGAGACAAAGATGGACGCTCACGGATCTTGGAGGAGGGAGAGGACGACTGTGAGTCCCACATCAGGGTCTTGGTGTCAGATCTAGAGGTCTTCTTTCACGTGTACTGAGATTTCGGTCCAGCGGCTGTTGTTGTAGGAGGATCAGGAGCTGGTTTTGTTATCAGGAGGGGGTCACTGGTGGAAAATTCAGGGTCTCTGTGTTGATGTAACCCAGCGTGTCGTTGTGCCGCGGTCAGATCAGTCAAAGAGACGTCAGCATGAGGGTGAAAAAAGTCTTTCTGGCAGCCATGTTTTGTTGCTGCATCTCCATCTCCAGATTACTGCAGATAAGGTCGGCGGCGGTGGCGGCGGCGTGGATGGATCTGAGATCCTCTCGCTCCGTTTGTTTGTTTGATTTTTACTCTTCACGCTGAACCTGTTTTCATGTTTCAATGTTTCTCCTTTTACAGCAAGAAGTGGAGAACTTCAAGAAGGTCCACCTGATCAGTCGTGAACAGTTCGACTGCCTGACCCCTGAGCCCCCCGTCGACCCCAACCAGGAGGTCCCCCCAGGCCCCCCACGACCCCAGCAAAGTAAGGATATTTATTATTTAATCAAAATACATCTGGACAAGTGTGATCGTCTTATCGGGTTCAGTATAAAATCCGCCTCGTGTCCAAACTCCTGCTGGTGTTTCAGTTTCGTCGACATTTCCAGTTTTGTTCCTGACGTCATTATTGAAGTTTGAAGGTCAGAAAGGTCGACAGTTTTTCAGTTTTAAGCTCCTCCTGGTTTTTGTAAAGTGAATCGGTCGGTCATCACTCAGCAATTCTGTGATAAAAGAGTTGAAGACCTGCTGACCAGAGTCATGGAGGACTAACAGTGACCCAGCTAAACCCGGGTTCTGAGGACTTCTTCAGATTAGGATTAGAGACACTAAAAAACTGTCAAACAGACGTCCAAATATAAATAAGTGTGTGTCAGAATTTACTAATTTAACTCATTTGATAAGTAAAGACATTGAAAATATAATTTAATTTAGAAAATCCAGTGTAATCCAATCTGCTTTACTTCTATATCACAATTTAAAAAACTACCTAAATCTACCAAAGTGCTGCACAATGAAATGAAAAGTACAAACACTGCTGCTGAAAAACATTTAAAATGAAATAAAATAAATGAAATAAAAACACAAAAGTATAAAAGGAATAAAAGTGATAAAAGAACAGAAATCACACAACTCTCATGCTGAACTAAAAGCCAAGGAATGAGTGAGTTTTAAGACGTGATTTAAAAGTAGAAAGTTTCGGGGATGTTTTCATCTTGAGTGGCAAAAAATAACTTTTTGTTTTATGTGTTCAGTTTTATAAAATCCTGTTCATCTAAAAATCCGATCATTAAACCAGGAGCTTCATCATATAACAAAGGTTGTCTTATATTCGGTCATTGGGGCGTTTATTTATGTGATTAACTTTCATCTATAAATATCCGTAACAAAGTTTTTTGTATTAATGGTGTAGTACAGAGCCTAGAAGGTGACATGAACTTTTTTTTTTTTTTTCTTTTTTTGCACGTTTTATACATATCTCCTAAGTGCAAATTAACTGTATTTTTCGCACTATAATGCACACTTCAAACCCTTTTGGCTTGTCGGAGCGCTGCAGCTAATGTAGCCTCATGGAGTCATTGAATGAGTTAAATAATAATCTGACTGTTTAGTTTGGCTTAATGCGCTTTATAATCCGGTGCGCCTTATAGTGCGAAAAATACGGTATTCGTTTTTTGCGTATGCATTTTCCTAAATAATCCTCTGCGAGCCTCATCCGTGAGAGAAGAAGGACAGTGTCACGGACAGAGAGCATATTATTAACATTTTCTTTAATTTAGGTTTGACTCACAAAGAGATACCGTCTTTGTTCATCTCTCTCCTCCCCTCTTCAGTCCCCACAGACGCGTTGGCGAACAAACTCTTCGGCGCCCCTGAGCCGTCATCGATAGCTCGCTCACTCCCTACTACTGTGCCTGACTCGCCCAACTACCGCAGTGCCCGGACGCCCCGCACGCCTCGCACACCGCACCGGAAAGACCCGACGATGACGCCGCGCTTTTACCCGGTGGTGAAGGAGAGTCGGCCTGTCGATGCCAAGGTAAGAGGGGAAGACCGCCGTGAGAGGTCTGATGAGTCTGTGGTGGTCCAATGAGAAGTTCAGAGATTAAAAACCAAATCCACTTCCTCTAGACGCCCAGAAAGAGGAAGACCCGACACAGCTCCAACCCCCCCATGGAGTGTCACGTCGGCTGGGTGATGGACTCCAGAGAGCACCGATCCCGCACCGCCTCTGTCAGGTGAGGCTTTTAGTTTTTGTCCAAATGAAACAACATTAAAAATCTCTGTTTCTCTTCTTACATCTTATCTGTTTTTTTTTTTTCCCACTCTCAGCTCAAACGCCAGCCCGTCAGAGGGAACTCCTGTCCTGGGAAACATCGGCTGCACGCCTCAGTCCCTCCCGAAGTTCCAGCACCCGTCACACGAGCTGCTCAAGGAGAACGGCTTCACGCAACACGTTTACCACAAGTACCGCCGGCGCTGCCTAAACGGTACGCTGACCTCCTCTACCTCACACTCGATAATCAATCAAACTTCATTTTTAAGACACTTTTCATACATAGAATGTAGCACAAAGTGCTGTCCATTCAAACAGGATATTAAAAACAATGAAGTAAAATAAATAAAAATACAAATAACAAACCCCACCCACCCTCCTGACCCCAATTCAACACATACAGCAGTCACACACACTGATGCACACACAAAAGTCCAGGTGAGGACTCTTCAACTTTCCACAGAGGACTGAGGAAACACTATCTTGAGTTAAAAAAAGGATGAGGAAACACTGGATCTGTTCTGAAACGAGAACTGAAACGTTTGCTTATCTCCAGTTTTTGAAATGAGCCTTTTTTTCTCGTCTTTCCACCAATCACAGAGAGGAAGCGGCTGGGAATCGGCCAATCGCAGGAGATGAACACACTCTTTCGCTTCTGGTCGTTTTTCTTAAGAGATCACTTCAACAGAAAGATGTATGAGGAGTTCAGACAGCTGGTGGTCGAGGACGGGAAAGAAGGATACAGGTGAGGGTCCGAATCATCATCAATCTGAGATCAGTATTTACAGACAGGATTGTTTTTTTTCTTCTTTTCCACATCATGTGCTTTTGATTTCATGACATTCAAAAAGGAGCTTTCTTCCTTTACTTTAATCTGTTTGTTTCTCGTTGTGTTTTCGTCGCAGGTACGGGTTAGAGTGCCTGTTCAGGTACTACAGCTACGGTCTGGAGAGGAAGTTCAGACCAGACATCTTCAAGGACTTCCAGGAGGAGACCGTCAAAGACTACGAGGCTGGTAAGGACAGAAGTAGTCACCAAAAAGACCGTCTTTTTTCCTGATTTAGCAGCTTCCTCTTTTTTTCTAACTTTTCTGGGTCGTGTCTCGTCTCTCGTCCTCAGGCCAGCTTTATGGACTGGAGAAATTCTGGGCCTACCTTAAATACTCCAAAGCCAAGAATCTGGAGATCGACTCCAAACTGCAGGAGTACCTGAGCAAGTTCAAGCGTCTGGAGGATTTCAGGATTGATGTGAGTGCTGGAGTCTCTGCAGAGTTTGGCAGAAAAAGGAAGAAACTGCTGATTTCTGTCGTGACTAATTTTCGTTTTCTTTCCTTAGCCGCCGATGGAGGAAGGAGGACGCCGGAGACACTCTTCCAGTGGAGACGGTCGCCGCCGGCACCCCTCTCAGCCCTCCAGCCGGCCCCACAGCCAGGCCAGCTCCGGCCCCAGCCCCGCCCCCGCAGCCAAGGACGATGCCAAACCCACCAGCCAGAAGGCCGCTGCCGCCGCCGCCACAGCCGACCCCGCGCCAGATGCCAAGACACTGAAGTAACTCGACAAAGCCGCCGGCCGACATGGATTGACTACACCTGCAAGTCGCTGGTTCTCTGCAGCAGGAGTGGGGAGGGGGCGTCCCGCTTCACATCAAAGCATGAGCAAAATTTTTCTCCCCGAGAATTTTTGATTTGAGAATTTTTCAGTTTTAAAGTTTTTGAAAAAAGAAAAGAGCGTCTTTGTCTTAATGAGGCACGAGTGTCAAACACTTTTTTTCTTTTACCATCATCTCCGGGCCACACGGTGGACGGTTACCGATGACTTTTTTTTCTTTTTATTTCATTTTAAAGTTTTCATGCAGACCCCCCCTCTCTGGCACTGGGACCCCTGATCGATAGTCACCACCCCGCTGGCTGAATGATGTTCGTCTCCTCGCCCAGATATCAGATTTGTGATTATTATTTCTTCGGCATGTGGTGCGTTTAAAGACCTTTGGAAATAGTCTGAAATAGTTTGAACGACACTGAGCATCTGACATCCCGCGCTGGAGGCCGCGCTGCTCTCGACATCTAACCGGACCAAAGCGGTTTGAACCGAGCGACTGACATTTCCATCTGCAGAGCCCCCCTCCCCTCCTTCAGGGGCTGAAAATCGAAACCTTTGATTTGCTTTATGGCTGGACTTTTGAGGGGGACGATCTTAACGAACCAAATGAGAAAAGCAGAGAAACACAGACTGGTTCTTCAGAGCCCTCAGTATGGACATGCTGAAAGTTGAAAGTTGCCTTATTTTAATGGTTTTACTGCTTCTAACTTGTGCCGCCACCTTCTCGTTGAGTGTACAGCATCGAAGATCACCATGTATCTGCTCACCGTGTCCAGCAGAGGCCACCAGGTGGTGCTCTGTCTGCCAAACTGTTCTCCCCCCTCCTCCTCTTCCTCCTCCTCCTCCTCCTCACTGTCACCTCTTCTGAACTGTCTTCCAAGTCTCATCGGTCTGTTACAAGTCCTGTAATTCTTCCCTGCGTTTGCGAGTCGTGGCTTTTTGTGCTGAAACAACCTGGTGGAAGTTTGTCGCCTTTTCCCTCTCCTGAGATGAAAAAAAAAACAAAAAACATGAAGTGGGGTTCAGTTTGGGAAGGGAGACTCCTCCTCGGATGATGATCTCTCTATGGGTGCTTTCTGTCTTTCTCCTCCCCTCTATGCACAAGCTGCATCCATCTGTCCATCCATCCATTCAACATCCCTCCATCATCAGCTGACGACAGTGGCGATCAGGACTGGAATCACCAATCTGGATTACTTGAAGAAGTTCTGAGGTTATATTTTTTGGTGCTCCGGGTGGAGATACCGGTGAGGATCAGGCGTTTGGCTTCCGACTTCACCCCCGAAACTGAAGTTCTGCCGCCGCTGCCGCTTCTCCACGTTTCACACACACATCATCAGACACAGGAGCGGACACTGACAGGCGTGGTCACACTACACGCAGGTACGGATGTAGCAGCGTGAGCAGGACGAACACAAACACAGAAACACACACACAGACGCACACGCAGCTCCGGTTCTTGCCTCTCGACTGGATCGTTTTGATTCCACTTTGATCCGTTCAGGTCCACGCTTCGGTCAAGTCATCTGATATCAAACTGGAGATCGATTCTTTCTTCTTCCTCCTCTAACGTTAATGTGAATTTGATCGATAAAGACGAACCATGACAGCTCCCTGCTCCTTGTTCTTTTTGTTTAGAGGACAGATGATATATTTGCCTTACTCGTGTATGTACTCTAACTTCTCTTTTTTTTTAAAATGGTCTCATGATTATCTTTTAATGCTTTTTAATTTCATTTTGCAGTGTTTCTAGTGTTGTTGTTATTGCTGTTGTTGTGATGGAAGTCGGGTTTGTGTCAGGCTGTTATCAAAATCTGTGGATTTCAGAAACGGGAACATGATTCATAACACAAAAGGGAAAGTCGCCACCAGGGCTTCGAAAGTCTCCGAACGTTTTCACACAAACGTTCTTTTGTTGAAGTCGACTGTTTTTGCTTCGATGGAAGAGCAGCGTTTCCAATAACAAACTCTTGAAAGTGACTGAAACTTTGGTTAAACCGTCGCCCTCCAGCTTGTCTGTAAACACTACATCTGCAAATTTGAAAAAACACAGATTTGGGTCAAAAGGAGCAAAAAAAAAAATAATCCAAATATTCTGGTTGAAATGTCTTAAAAACAAAAATGGAGGTCCAGATGGAATGACTCACTACTTTCTGTTGTCATACTACAATATTTTACGTTTTTGCTCCTGGTTGTTGAGCTTTTACTGTGAAAGAGCAGTCACATGACGTGAAGCCTGAGAGTTTGGAGGTGCAGCCGTTTGTTTTTTTGTTTTTTTTTGTCCTTATTCATGAGTTATCGTTCAGCCTGTTGGTTGATGTTCCAGCAGAGAGTCCTGTCAGTGTTTCTGTTCGTCACTTTTTTTCCAGAGTAGTTGGAAACATGAAAATGCAAAGCAAAGCTGTATTTGTTTTTTCTTTATTTGATTTTTTTTTTTTTTTTGTTTTATCTTCAGGGAGATTTGGATCATTTTCAGACGCTTGCCGTTGATGCATCAAAAGTGTTTACTGGAGGTTTAAAGGTGGAAAAAAAAGAGCTACAAAATATCCAGAATTAAAAAAAAATGTGCATTTCCCATACAGCCAGTGAAGCCTTTGAACGGGTGCGCTGGTGTGTGTGTGTCTGCAGATACAGCAGGCAGCCACTAGGGGGCCTTCTTCCTGGGACAGTCCCATGATTCCTCCCTCTAATGTGATCGTCACCTGTCACCGGACATTCGTGGGTTTCAGGTGTTAAGGGAGTTTTCCGCCTTCTCTGTCAGCGAAGAACTGCTGCTAGCTGTCCAAACAAACTCTAGGGGGCGCCGCAGCCTCCACTTGTCAGTTTTACACGGACTCTGCTAGCGGGCCAGACACTGGAGAGATGAGTGATGGAAGAAGAAATGGTGGGAGGAGCAAAATGAGAGAAAAGAAAGAAAAAGATCCCAGCTGGGGTTTGAGATGTTGCTCAGATAAATATGGCTGGTTTTGATGTCTGGAGACTGAAAAAAAAGGACAAAATTCCATAAAGCCATATGAATAAGATGTAAGTGTATATGAACCATCAAAATAGTTCATTGCATTACAATATCCTAGGCTTGTCATGAGGAAAAAAAGATGAAAACCAGGAAAAAAGGAATAAAAAAAATATATAAAATGGAAAAATGTAAAATACTTGAATGAGATCTTGTATTATAACATTTAATATTCATAATATCTGCTTTGTAGGCTGATGTGATTCGCTATTAGTGTTATTTGTAATTTGTAGTAATTATGCTTTTCCTTAATAAAGAAAAAAAAACACAAAACGGACAAAAAAACCTCAAACACACCGGCGTCTGAGTGGTTATTTCTACAGACAGAGTGTTCCTTGTCTTGTTCTTTGCGTGCCTAAGTCTCATCTTGCTGTTTTATAAGAAACAGGGTTTTTTTTCTATGGTGGTGGCTGACTCTGACCCTCTAGCACTGGTTTGAGGCGATAAAAGTACATTAAAAACTGTTTGTCTTGTTGCTAATGGTCTTGATTACTCTTGAAAAGCTCAATATGACTTTAATTCTTTTTTTTAAAAACAAACTTAAAGAAGCTTTGAGCTCTTATAGGCGACTTGTATTTCTGTATAACCCAAAAATTAAAAATTCGTGTTTGTTTTTGTATTTTAAGCTCAAAACAGAATATATAATAGAGAAGGAAATGAAAACGAAATAATAAATCTTTGTCTATGTTCACACTGCAGGTCAAATCAGATTTTTTAACCATATGTGACACATATCAGATTTTTTCATTTAAGTGTGAACAGTGCAATTCTGATTTTTTCAAATCCGACCCAGGCCTCTTTTGTATTTGGATATAAATCAGATAAATCCGATGTGACTGCAGTGTGGACGCTCAGGTCGCATTCATCCGACCTTTACGTCATCAATATGCGACAAACGTCACCATTGTTCGACAACACAAACAGGCGCGGAAAGCAATTTGTGCTTTGTATGCATGCGGGTCACTTCACGGACACATTCTGTTCACCGTTGTTGTTATGTGAACGACCGCACAAAATGATCGGATTTAACAAAAATCCGAATTGTGCATCATAACCTGCAGTGTGAACGTAGCCTTATTTACAGTTATTGATTCTGAGTGCGCCTGTTTTGAGTGTCCGTGCATGGAGGCTACATTGGCTTTCTCATGAGCCTCAGCGACAGTGACCATGGCGAAAGATGCGACAGAGCGGTTTGAGCGCCAAAATCTTTTTTTTAGATGCCGATTCGATTTAAATTGCGATTCTACAATATTGTCGATTTTCTCGATTTTTAGTCTGCAATTTTAACACCAGTGAAACAGTTGAATGATTATGTTCGTCTACTGACTATTCCAGGAACCATATTCCCTCAAAAAATACACATCACATGTAAGTCAGTTTTTAAGATTTGTTCTTAAATTTAAAAAAAAACAAAACATTTTTGAACATAAAAATCGATTTAAAAATTGTAAAATAAAAAATTGCGATATTTATGTGAATTGATTTTTTCTCCTACCCCTATAATTTGAACTCTAGCTTAAAACAGAACAATGACTGAGGTCTGACAGGATGTCTTAATCTCTCCTCTAACAAGTCCACGTGTATCTCTGCTAGGATTTTCATCTGGAAGAAGTTTATTTTAAAATATATAAAGTTACAATTTTTTACTTTGAGTTGTGCAAAATGGTTAATTGGCGCTCATCTCGGCTCACGTGGGCTGTGTCCGAAATGGCCTACTACTCCTACTACTCCTACTAACCCCGCCTCTGAATTGAGTAGGCAGTGCGTTCACACTGTACAGTATGTGAATTTTGTGTATGCGAGAAATGCCCGGATGTATACTCAATCAGCTTCGATTTCTGAGTGTGCAACGGAGCTTGCTTCACGTACTGCTTCTGCCCCACAATGCATTGCGCACCTCAGCTGGTAATATGGCCCTCCTTCCCGAGGCTGAAAAGAAATAGATGGCATGTGATTGCAATAATAATGATATATATATAAATAGATAAACAATATTTAATCAGTATACATTACACAATTTTCATCATTTTATCATATTTTGATCTTTTTACCAGATTTATTTGTATTTTAAATTAGGATTATAAGTAATGTTTTTAACTATTCGTATGAATTGACTTTATTTATTTAAGTGTCTATTAAAGATGTATTTATTACATCAAGTTTGAGCATCTTCTCATCTCTGAATGCATCATCAAAGTGGTCGCTCATATTAAGCACAGACCTCTGATTAATAAGAATTATTATTGGTAGAGAGCACATGGTTCAGAATATACAGACGGGGGAGTTTCCAGTTGACAATCTATGTGAGCTTTACTAATTCTTACTTGTGATTGAAAATCTGATGGTTTCTGAAATAATCATTGTACATGAAAAGAATGTAGTCGGGAAATGATGTATTTGCCAAGGAATAACCGAACGAGGTCATAATAATTATGTTGTGTGTTGGTCATTTTGCAGCCCTCTGCTGCTCATCACACGCCTAGCAGGTGGTGTATAGCATTATCACCATGGATACACGGATGTTTGTGTGATTTTTTTCATCCACTGTCGCCCGGTTTGTGTCGTGTAGATGTTGATTATGAAAAAACTTCGCAATAATTTGGAAACGTGAAGGGGGAGCTGCTGCTGCCCGGTGTTTACGGTAAATAGACGCAAACACCGACCAAGTGGACGCTTCGGTCTCCGAAAACGCCGAGACAAATTTACAAACAGCCACTATTTCAAACAACTGGGCTCATAATCGTGATGTAAACACTTACTTTCTCGCTAGAAAAAATATTATAATTGAATGAATTTATATAATTTGTCCGGGATGCAGTCGTTCTGTGTAGCTTGTGGTAGGACTATTTAAATTTTCCCGGCGCTGCGTCCGGCCGGCACGAAATGCATTCTGGGGTATTTAGTATGTATGTGTGTAAACGCTCGGGCAGCCGCGGCATACTCAAATCATCTTTGAGTAGTCAGTAGGCAGTAGCTACTGCTTGAGTAGGTAAGTAGATAGTAGGCAGTATGCCATTTCGGACACAGCCAATGTTCTCTTCTCAGACAGGACACGACCCCTGACTATGTAAAGGAAGAAAGCTAGTATTCCACTTTTTAGTTGCGCCCTCTGGTGGCAAAGATAATTGCAATGTGACAACTTACCCATGTGACAACAAGCCCTGGTCTCCCCTATACTAAAAACTCATCAAGATATTTTTCTTTCTGAAATAGCTGATGGTTAATATGAGCTCGTCTGAATTTGTTTTTTTTGTTTTCAGAACATGTGTTAAAAATATGAGTAGAAAAGAAACAGCACATTTTTCCTGAAATCTTTTATTATTAAACAGTCCAGTCCAAACATAGCTTTAATCACAGTAGGAGGAGTCTTGTTGAACATTCATGTCTTGTTATACATCCATGTCTAAGCTGTCTGTTATACATACTAACATACTCTACATTCAATCAGAAGTGCAAATGTCTCTTTTATCCCAGCAGCAAGTGAACGCAGCAGAAGAATCTGGACTGATGAGCTTGAAGTGCTCGATAACAACAAAAGATTAGCCGACTTGAAAATATAAATTCATGAAGAATTAAAAGACTCGTGTTTATGTGTTTATAACGGACACCACATGTATTAAAACTACAGTTTATTTGAAAACATGATAAAACTTGAAGTGGTGGTCGTTTCTACGCACAAGTTTGTGGAGACTTTGAGATGATCAACATCTGCTTTATGACAATGAACTTAAAACGGGCCAGAATGACGTAAAAATATGTTAGCTTTTAGTGGCTCTGTCTTTTGACTTTTGTTTTGAAAAATCCTGTCAGTCAAAATTCTGAAATGACAAAAAAAATTCACCAAAAAAGACACAGATAGTGATGATAAAACGAAGTTAACAGTCACGCTCAGACAAACTTAAGACCAAATTAGCCCAGAGGTTCTAACATATTAAGTTCAGTAATACTTCTATCGAAGACATGCATCACTTTGAATCACTTCTTTCGGAGGACAGCTACAGAAAACAGCCCTGAACTACAGTCAGAGTGAGAACAAGGAGATGAAAACACAGTTATTATAAAATAATCACAGAGGCCGTACTCGGAGAAAAGACTGCATGAATTGTGAATGTTTGATAAAGTGCAACAATATTTGTATTTCAAAGATTAAACCTGGAGAATCTGTTCCGACGTCCACAGTCTGAGAATGAAAGTCATTTAAGATCACTGGGGGGCGGCTCCCAACTTCGTGAGGCGTGAGCCTGAGGTCAGAGGTTATTACTGGCCCTTCTTGGGCGTGTCAGGGATGCTCTCGTTCAGAGGGGTGAGGCTGGTGAGCAACGTGTGGCGCTCGTACTGCTTAGTCTGCCTGAATTTGGAGTCTGTGCCGTGGAGACGATCCAGTATGCCAAAGACCCCGAAACACTGGTTAAACCTGGAACCGAGACAGAGGTGTGAGGACAACGTGGGACTCAATTATCATCATAAGAACAGGAATAATTGTACATTAAATTCAGCTTATTCAGCTTATTCTTACATCTGCAGTTTGAGGCTAATCGGTAAAGAAAGAGGTTGACAAAATAATCAGGCGCACACCCGCTACAGTCTGATGATAAGCTAAAAAGAATTAGTTTATCATCTTTATTACAGTTAAAATAAATAGCCAGGGCTGTAGTGTAAGTCATATTATGTAAACACAACAAAGAAAAATGCTTAATGTAGGCTACAGGTTTGAAAATGGCCCATATGTAACTAGACGGACTCTTTTCAACAATGCATATTTAATGCATACTTGCTGTTCTCTCACTTTTTTTCTTTTTTTTTGTTGTTTTTACAGAAAGAAAGCGAGCGTAGCGAGGTGTGGGACCACTCCACCAAGGATGCCACACACAAAACACAAAATACTTCATTCTTTTTCAGTTATTTTAGCAATAAAAAGGATTTAAAATGAGTTTTATGCCTTTAATTCTTTAAAGTGTTGAAGATATATTACTCATATTAACAAAATTTTTAAAACTAAAAAATTGGCAGATTAATCGGTAATCAGATTTTTTTCCCCCCTAATAATCTGTATCGGCATCGGCACCAAAAAAATCTATATCGGTCGGGCCCTAATCTGCAGTAAAAATGAAAATGTAGAAAAAAAAAATATTGTGAATTTGAACTTTTGTATGATCCTCAAAACAAGAGAAACTTTCAGATAAGATCAGATTAACTGAGATTTACTGGAAAAAGTCTTTCAGATCTGCAACTTAAGAAGTAAGAGACAAGTTTAAAGTCGATTGTGATGACCAAAGGTGCGCTCACCTGAGGTGGTGGAAGTCGTGGAACTCCGGGGAGGGCAGGAAGGGCAGGTGGTATCCACAGTGGGAGATGGTGGTGCTGAACAGAGCCAGGCAGTACCACATGGAGGTGGAGGTGAGGTGAGAGCCCAGGATCACCGGACCCAGCACCACGGGCAGCATGTTGGAGAGCTGACAGCAAAGAGGAAAAACAAACAAGTTTTATTGGAGCACAAAACGCTTCATTTCAAAGTTACTTGATTTCTCACCTGCTACAATAATCAGTCAGAAAACCTCTGAGCGTGTCAGAGCAAAAACAGAAACCTGACAGGTTTAGAAATGCCGGAATTACCCTTTAAACGTGTCACACTTTCTAAAGATAAACTCAAGTTAGAGACAAGAACTGAAGATAGAGATTTTGTTGGTGTCGGGCTCACTGACCATGTGCTCCAGAGGATGAGCGTAGGTGGCGACGACTCCGATGGGGGCGGTCCACTCGTGGTGCTGTTTGTGGTAATGCTTGTAGAGGCTGGGATGATGGAATAACCTGAAAATAAAACAGACATAAATCAGTCACAACACTCTAGAGCTGTGCGAGCAGGTATGTGTAGACTTCATGGTTTTAACATTTTATCTTTGTCGCATCACAAACAAACTTTTATACTTAAATGTTTAGACTAACTATGAAATATGCAGATATTTGTCACGTTTACAGGCTGAAAGAATATTTCATAAATCAGTTTTTCCAGATTTCTATGAATTCTTTATACTTGAGCAACAGTCAGTGGTTTTCCTTCTTTATCCACAAGATGTCAGTAGTGAGTAAATTTAGGTGTTAAAAGGCAAACGCCGCTCTGATGAGTGTAGAGGCGCTCACTGTGAGGTCTTTTTGAAAAGCAGAGGTGTCAGATCTACCTGTGCGAATAGTAAAACAAAACTTCTTCCACGATGGAGAAGAAAGCCAGCTCCATCAGGGCCCAGTGGAAGGTGGGCAGCTCAGGACCGCAGGGGTCTCCTCTCAGGGTCATCAGGTAGTAAACAACGACCACCATGGGCCCTGAGACGAACACCTGGTTAAACGTGACCGTCTTTATGGCGTGGCGAAGCTTCACTGGATCCACCTGCAGGATGACGGAGGAGACAGAGGGTCAAAACTGGACAGGCTCTCAGAAACCTTTTCATTATTTCCTTTTAGCTTTTATAATGAACCTTTCTGCTCCCAAAACACAGTCCAGCCTGAAGCATCGACATGTCCAGAGTAAATCTAATTAAAATTTTATTATCTTACATTTTTATGACCTGTTGTTTATCATGTTCCCTCTTTTAGATTTCTCTATATATCAGTGTTTTTCATATCCTCCCGTATCTTTAAGGTTCCCATAGAAACGCTCTTTACTCCAAACTTTATTTACACTTTCTCTGAAACTTGGACTGATATCACCAAATACCGGAAAGCTAAAAGTGATCATATAAAAGAGTGTCAATAATGATCAGCTCGACTATTGCTGCTGATCTTTAGACTCGACTTATTCGCACATGGACACGGTGTGTACATGTCTGTGTCCATAATACACACAAGTGGACTTTAGTACGATGACAGTAAAATCAGTAACATGTATGATATTTTTCTACCACAAAATCTGATGTTTTACTCCTGTTTGTTTCAGATTATATTCTGTGGGGTATTTTAATCTCTGCAGACGGATCAAGTTTGATTCCCTCATGTGTATGAGAGGATCCAGAAAAAGTCCTCTCTTCGTGAAGAAAACTGACAGTTTTCAGATTTGTGTGGTCAGTTTATGGTTTTATTTTGGTTCAGTCCGTCCACACATGAACAAAACTGATGTACAAATTTATTATTTGTTTTGTTTTTTTCACTCGGCACTCTAATCTGGTTTAAAAATACATCTGATGGATATAAAGAGCAAAAGGAAAATAAACACCAAGTATAAAAGCGAAACCTTTAAATTGTACTCCTGTACTTCCACAGATGTATTTTCACATTATTAGACGTGACTTCAGTGAACTCCACAGACTGTATTTCTAAAACGGTTGTATTGCTCTGCAGCGGCGTCACCCCTCTGAACTTTGTTGATGATAAAAGTCCAGGCGGGTGTCCTCTGTCCCTCAACCTTGATATCTTATTCCAGAGCGATGACCAACAGGACAAACAGCAGATTAGATCTTCAGCGGTGATAATGACAGTTTTATTGTGACTGACATAAGCTGTTGGCAGCACTGAAACAGTCATGTTCGAGTAAAGACAACAAACACACCTCCCTGTACTCCAACGTCAGATTATCTGGATTATTGATATCTACGAATCTAAAACTGACCGCAGATACTGCGGGTCCATTTATGACCATGAGCTCTCTGTGTACCGCTCCTCTGTGGAAATCTTTCAGATAATCAATAACATGATTGCATATGTACTGTAACCTTCCAGCCCTGGTTATCAGTAATGTCACTGTTTATCTCCGCAGTGTCCACCAACACGGGTTTATCTGAGACGGCGAGGGGACTTTGGACAGGCGGACAGGTGGACACTTCACATCAGCAGGTCTGAGCGTGAACTCGGGTTCAAAACACATCAGTTATATACTCCATGTGTTATTCAAGGTTAATCTGAATAATTATGACTATTGGTTTATTTGTTTATTTGACATAAATAGTCAAGATGAGAATAAATGTCCAAAAAAATAACATTTAAAAAAATCTGATAAATTATCTGCCGTTTATTTAATTTATTGAATAAGCAAAAATAAATCTAAAACCTTGTCTGTAATTATTTTTAATATGACATTATATAATCCCATTTTTATCTACTACATGTACTCCATCTTTTATGATGAAGGTACCAAGTGTAACAGAGACGTACGTGTCTCTGACAAAGTTTCCAGTAATCTGTTTGTATTAATTTGGTTTATAGGCGTCAATTTAATCAAGTGAGAAATAAAATAAAAAGAAACAAAACTCTCAGTCACAGAGAAATAAATAGAAAGGTGTAATCATGGTCAGGACAGAATACAAAGAGACCAACGTGAGACTGAAGGAGCGTAAAGTGATCCAAATGAAAATGAAAAGAAATAAAAGATCTAGAAATCTGAAATCACGAGCTCTCCAAACTAATTTGATCCTGATGTTTTGGGTCTGTCTCATGACGAGGGCGAAAAGTTAAGTTTTTTTAGGATGTCTGTGAACAAACTGTGACACCCATGACGATGCAGAGACGACGAGGAGCGGGTCCTGGAGCGGTGAAAGTCACGTTTGCTTCGGTGAAGTCTAATCTGCGTTTCTAAAAGTCACACACGAATCGAATCATGGCAGACTTGAAGGTGGTTTACCAACTGGGAAGGATTTTCATGTGTCGGAGGAACGAGACTTTTGAAAGGAGGCTCCTCAGAGTCAACAGGTGAACGCAGAGCTGAGGCGAGGAGACACTGAGGACCTGATGGACTCTTAACAAAGAGCTCAGAGGCTGACTGTTTTATTATTCTAGATATTATTCCATTAAACAAGTGACAGTTTGATCCCTTTTTAATTGACATTGAGGACAAATCTATGGATGACATTATTGGAGTTTGTTTTGAACATCGAGATCTGCGATGTAGTTTTGTGAACTTTTGTGAATATGTTTAACTCCAGTATATTCCTCTGACGCAGGTGCAGTTTTAGATCATGTACGGTTAAATTTGAATAATAAATCTTCTTTTTCATGAACTGAGGCTTTGTTTCAGAGATGGAAGAATCCAGATCTGATATTTGTACCTGAATCAAAGGCCATAAAAACAACTTTATTCTGACGACATAACTGCGGCTGTAATGAGGGGCCATAAAGTGATGAATGAAGTAACAGTGTTGTTTCAAGGGGCAGAGGTCAGGGTGTAATAACGGCGGTACAGACACTCAGACTGGAGCTGGTTTGAACATGGGTGAGATTGCTTTTACAAACTTGTTGATAAAATGAAACATGTAAAAAGCTCAAACCTTCAAGAATGAATCTGAGAGAGATTTCTGAAAGCACATACCGGGTTGTTTTTGTCCATCTGGATACGGTATCGAGTGATGAAGGAAGGTTTACCGGTGGTGTCCACCAGCAGCAGCAGAGCATTCACCGCCCAATGCGTCAGCGTGGGGAGCAACATCGTCCCTGTGGAGGGAAAATAAGACAGCTGTCAAACATGTACTCTGAGCAGGGAGCTGTTTCTCCAACTCTGCTGTCTTCACCGGCTTTAACATGGTGCTAAGTCTTCATGCTCGAAACTCATGGAGTCACAGCTAACACCGATAATTGAGAGAGCAAATATTGATCTGACATTCATGAATCCCTGTCAACACATTTACTCTTTACACAAAAGATTAAACATCAGCTTGTATTTAAAGTTTTTAAGATCAGTAGAACATTATCTCCCGTCAACTTTCCTAAACTGGAACTAATTTTTCAGATCATCCAAACACGACATGAGTGCAGAGAGACACGGCGACTACAGGGCCGGCCACTATCAAAAATAATCATCCAGCTACTTCAAAATAACCCGAGATTAAACATTGAGTCAATATGTTTTACTAATTTTATCTTTTTGAAAATATATCTTCTTCAACATCTCTTTTGTGAGGAACTTTTTAGCTGCGTTGACTTTGGCGCCCCCTGTGGACAAAGCGGTACATCGTATCTCTTGCTGCTTTTGTTTAACACATGAGTATCGAAGTCCGTCACACTGTTTCTGACGTCTACTTCCACACAGGTGATAGTACCACATAAGAAAAGTCCGTCTCGTTGCTGATGGTCCTGTTTGTTTTGCTAGGTCAATTTTCACCACGTACGCCAATTCCTACCGGATCTGTTTGTGAGGCAAAATTACCTGGCGGATTACAGATAGCAGGAATCGCAAGAACTCACAAGAACCCTCGGATTCACGTGCAATCACGCAATCTTGAGTTGAATTTATCTGGCATGCTCCGGCATCTGAAAAAAATAGAACTCTTGCGATTAGCTGCGGAGTCCGGCGATCCACAGCGTAATGGAAAGAAGCTGGTGAAAATTGATAGACTAACTTGAATGGTCACGATCAGCTACGATCAATGGATATGGCCTTTTTGTAGCTGTTCAGGCTGCGGTGGAAATTGCCAGTTACTGCGACTTGGAGACAAATCCCAGTTTCTATCTCAGAGGACATGAAGTCTAATTTTAAGCTGCTTTCAATATATTGTGCCAGCTTTGATCTTTTTAAACCAGACAAAGTAAAAGTTATAGAGCTGTAGTAAACAGATCCATAAAGCCACTTATCTCAGAAATTTTCTAGACTAGATGTGAAACCTACATGTCGCGATTTCTTACCCAAGAAGAACAAGGCAGCATGGTGACCCTCGAACATCACGTACAGCTTCGTCCACAGGTTCTGCCAGAAATCTCCTGAAGCGCCCCAAAATCTCTGGAGATGCCTGAAGGGGGAAATATCAGCATGTGAAAACCAAAAATAAGTCGGACAGTTTGATTACAAAGTTCAAACATGAAGAAACACATGTAGGACGTCAGATACTGAAGTCTGGGAAAGTTTTAGTCATTCAGAAAACGAATGACTAAAAATAACATCAAACTGACAACCTAAAAACACTAAAATAACTTTCCGTCAAGGTCTGCGTCATAACTCTGAAATCCACGGCAGACAAAAGGCACAAAGAGGTGAAACACAACAAACCCACCCGTTGAAAACCTGACGACACCCTGACTACATACCTCAACACGTCACGCCACACCTGTTCTGCGTCATGTCACACACTCGGCTGCTATTTCGTGTCATTTAGCCTGTGCTGTTAAATGATCGCATACTTGTCTAAGTATTTATTACGTTAAAGGGACTTGTGTCAGTTCTGGCGCCCCCTGTGGACGTAATAGCATCTGTTTATCTCTGCTCACTTTCTCACTGACCGAAACAACAAACTAAAACGAAAACTGCGCCAAAATAAACTCGTAAACACGTGTAAAAATAATCACCATAACTTTGCTGATATCCCTCATCGTGGTTTCGTAATCATGACGTAATGTTGCTCTAGATGTTACTGACTGTAATCTGAACCTGATCACCCGTCCTCTCCTGCTGCTGCTGCACTTTTCTGTTTGTACTGTATTTATTTATTGGAGTAATAATCTCTGATACCCTCCAGCCCTCTGCTTTATCTCAGGTTTACCCCAGGACAATCCTCAGCTTCGTTGTAGGCTGATGTGTATCTTGTAAAGGAAGCCTACCATGTCAGCGAGTTTCCAAACGCAGCCAAGAATAAGATTCCTGATCCGATAACCACCGCCGTTTTCTTCACAGAGTCCCACAGACCTCCAGGGCTCTCCTAGAAAGAAAGAAAAGGTCTCTGTTTCTCTAGTGATGCTGTGCAGTCTCATGATCTTACACTAAATCAGCACTTCCAACAAAGAGACAGCAAGAGTCTTTCCTCGAAATCCACAGGTTACTTCGGTTCATCCACTTCTGAGAGCTCCTTTTCATTTCACAGAAATACAGCTCTGAATGAATCTGAATCCCTCCTGTGTGTCTGAGCTAAATCAGTGTTGGAGGATCAGAGAGAGGATAACACTTGAGGCTGTTTCACTCTCGATCAAAATCAACTTTAAAATCAGTAACAAACAAACAAGAGGAAGTCAAGTGAGAGCAGAGAGAGAGAGACAGCCGGAGGTCCAAACAAACTGAAAGGGACATTATCAACAAACTTGGATATCTGGTTCAAAAGTTAAAATCCTGAAAATATATTTAATCTTTCGAAGTGTTGTAATAAAAAAGCTGAATCGATCAGAGCCACAGAAGGACTATGAGTCGTCTGGAAGAGCAAATTAAACATTAACTCGCTGATATCTCTGTCTCTCTGGTTCGTTTACCTTTGTAATTGCACATTTATTTAACTATAAACATCAATATGAGGAGAGTTGTTTGCAGAAATGGCTCATTTAAAACACAGTAAAGCAAAAATTAACATGTAAATTTAGGCTTTGATATCTTATCTATGCCTATTTAAAACTAAAAATGTGATTTTTACTGAACATGGCTGTTTTTTTCTTGGACGACAAAGCCTCCAAATTCCACATTTCTGTGCAAACACAGCTGATATAACAGTCAGTTTAAGATCTAGACTTGACTGTTATAAAAACTGCCATAAAGTAGATGTTCACGCTCAGAAGATTTCATAGGTGAGATTTCGGCTGATCTAGTAACACTAGATCTAGTCATGTAGCCTGAAACACAGAGAGTACAAAGGTCTGCCAGCAAAGTCAAGAGTGTTTCAGATGAGCTAAAGCGGAGCTGACCTCGCTGAGAGAAAACTGGATCAGTTCACTCAGCGGGAATTAAGTCCAGGGATTGATGTCACATTCACCAAACCTCCTGAAAATGTCAGATTTTACCCCCGCTGACCCTGTGCAACGCCATGGCAACGGAGCGAACAATGTGGCACAAATGTCAGACTGCTCTCAAGGTTCAGACACGAATATTGTTACAACCCCCTGAAATTACAACCAAACTTTTCCTACTGTGAATCAGCCAAACCCTGCTCAACCTGCTTCAGTGTTTTTCATGCACGATCAATTGATTGATGATATCCCTTCTTTGTTTCCTGCAGCGCTTTATAAAATTTGTAATAGGCAAAAAAAAAAAATGCAGCGCATCAGGTTAGACCAGCCCATCCCAGGGAACAGCATGGCTAACAGGACAAAGAGCCGAACAGGGACAAAGAAGTCAGGTTTAAAAGCGGATGGGCGAGACAAGTTCAGTCACATCGGCTTTTATATAACAGGTGTTTGACTGGCAGGTCGTACAGACGCTTCAAACAAACAGAGAAATTAGACACCGGCAGTAACAGGAGGTTTCAAGTCACTGACACGAGATTAAACCTGTAATCAGTGATGAATAAAAACCACACGGTGGTGCAAACAGACTCCAAAAACATCATCCCATCAATCAAACTTCTGGGACTTGTTTTTCAGCGCGACACAAACAGCTGACTGTGACACTGTTGACTGATTCAGAGATGAACGCTGAGTTTCACCCGAGTTTTTAAAGAAGCCTGCAGGTTCAAATGTGTTTTTACACCAAAGAAGAAAAAGTACAATTTCTCTCCTCTCAAAGACGTCCAGAAAGATTGTGCATGTGTTTCTCATCTGTCTTATATTATGTAATCCCAGTAGTAGCGAACAGTTAGACGGTGATGTGTTCGTACCTGTCTGCTGCTTGTGGTGGCAGCTCCACTTGTGTCTGTAAACACAATCAAAAACACACTGTGAGGATCAACATTGTCATTAGCTGCCCCTGATTTTACCCCCCTGTAATAAAAATCTGAACTGTTGAGGGTTGCAGCTTTTTAATAAGCAGGAATTCAACATCCAGAGAGTGTGAGAGTGTTTTGGATCTTTCATGAGCATCAAATCATCAACTCTTGATCACACGCTCAACAGGTAAATTCAGTCGTTTCGCAGGATGTTGCAAAAAGACGAGTCAGAAAACCAGAGGTTATAGTCCTGTTTATTTTGAGAGCTGATCTAGACCAGCTTCACAAATAAACCTGGGTGTTTTTAGTCTCTTTACAGTTCTGAGTTTTCAAGAGAATAACGTTTTATCTAATTTTGGGGGATTCACAATAACAAACAGAAGTTGTTACACACTTTAAACTCTCCGTTTCTGAATCGTGTTGAGTACAGAGCTCTCATTACACTCTGTCTTTTTATCCAAAAATGTGTTTAGATTTCTGAGACTTGATATTTTCATGGTAAAATAATCATCTCAACGCTGTAAAGGCTTGTGCAAAATTTACAGCTGGGGGATTATTTCTAATCCTATTATAATCTGTGCTTCCAAAGTGAGCACTTTTACAGTCAAATTCTTGGGGATAAAAACCTGACCTACATCCACAGAGCCTCTCTCTGTGTCGCTGAAGAAGAAAAAGAAAGTCTAAGAGAATAAAAGAGGACTTAATGCACCGAAAACAATCATGTTTAAGACCTTCTGATCTCACTTCTGTCTCTAACCTGTTGTTTAGAGCGATGTTTGCTCAGAGTTTGACATTAGCAGGCTGAAGATGAAAGTTTCTGTAATTAAAACGAGATCTGAGATGAAGTCAAATCTGTTGGAGATAGTTTAGTGAAATAAATTTTTGAGCCGATGCTTTTCTAGTGTTTTAAAACACGTCTGCTGGAGAAACTTGGACGAATCTACGGACCCTAAACACATGAAATCAAACTAAAATAAGATTACAATATAAAATAAAATAATGAAAAACATTCTATCTTTAAGGAGCATGACAGTGGGTGCAAGACTTCAGATCTAAAACATGATACGACTTATTTTTCAGCAACATGCGGGTATAACATCAAAAAGCAAAGTAAAATACAGTGATTTATTTTAACATGACTGTGTGAATAACTTTAAATTCTGATTATATTCTAAGAAAAATCCACATATGTCTCAATAAAGTTTAATAACCTGGTGTTTGTGACCGATAGGAAAAAAATTAAGATGTATTTAATGAAGAAATACATTTAAAAAGACTATATAATACAAAAACACAGACTATTATTATTCTGTCACATTAATGGTTTCCTGAATGATAAATATAAAAACATTTTTCTCTATATGAAGAAATAAGAAAGTTACACACTAAAGTCTGAAAACATCTCCTGTCTGAGTGTCACTCCTTTGTTTTTGGTCAATGTTTCAGTGATTCAGACGGATTTTAATAACTCTGGATTAAAAAGAATCAAAAAGGACTAAACTAACATGTAATAGATGTAATAAACCTCGTACTCACCGCTCACTCTTGTCCCCACCGTCATGTTTTCTCTGTTTTCTCCTCTCTGTTTTCTCCTCTCTCTCTCTGTTGCTTCACTCTTTCACACTCTGTATATTTACAACAGAGAACGACTTCTGATTGGCTGCCTGGTGGTCAGCTGACTCACGATAGACCCGGAAGTTTGGGAAACCCTCCTCCGCTGCGTGGATGTTGTTTATTCCTCTGGTCCACATGGATTCAGGTGAAGGTTGAAGCACAGCAGGAGAGAGAGAGGTCGCTGTGGAGATATTACAAGGCAAAAAGTGGAGGAAAGTACATCCCAGTACAAGACGTATTTCAGGTGGGGTTATCACACAATTTCAGGTGGGGTTATCACACACCTGCTCAGGTGAACATTACAAACATAATATGTAGACAACAGTCAGTAACCCGGGATGACAGTAGCTGTTAAACATCTGTTACAGTCCATCAAAATGTTTTGAGTAGACACAGACAAACACGCTCATTTCCTGTTCCAGCCCAAAAAACACCTAAAGATCATAAAACACAGGATTTCATAACTTTTAGTTCATTTGAAACAGTTAATGTAGTTAAATTTCTAAGTCAAAAAGTACGATGGCCGAGAACTGCCACTGCTGCAAATAAAAAAAAATGATGCAAAAAAAAAAAAAAAAAGGAGCTTCAACGGAAGTTACTTATGGAAAAAAACAAACAAACAAAAAAAAAAACAATCCCGCTGCAAATAAAAAATGAATGGTGCGAATTTTAAAAAAAAAAGCCACAACAGAAGTTAATGATGCAAAAGAAAGTGGCGATGCAAAAAAAAAAAGGTGCTCACTGTGAAAATAAAAGAATGATAAAAGAAGCCACAATAGAAGTTACCAATGGAAAAAAAGAAACGGAAGCTTGCTGCAAACAAAAAAAGAAACGGTGCAAATAAAAAAAAAAAAGAAAGGCACAACAGAAGTTAATGATGCAAAAAAAAAAAAAAAAAGTTACTCACTGTGAAAATAAAAGGATGCAAATAAAACTGAGGGGTCTGCGTACTTATTTCTTTGAGTAAAGCAACCGAACCGTAAATCTACTGAACTCGATTCTCCTCTCTTGGGTCTTTTGGGGCGTAGTGGGTTTCCCGTCCACTGGCATCCTCCAGTTCAACTTCATATCAACTCAGGCGCTACATGGCCTAACCAAATGACACATACACAATAAACATAAACAATAACCTTTCCACTAACTTCTTTGCTCGTCTTCTCGTCGGCGTCTTCTGTGGCTAGATTGTAAAACATCGGTGTGTCATCATTATTGGTCCCTGGCAGCTATGGCTTTTATTATTTGCATCCTTTTATTTTTGCAGGAGGTACCTTTTTTTTTTTTTTTTTTTTTTTTTTTTTGCATTCTTTTTATTTGCAGCAGTGGTGGTTCTCGGCCCCCGTAAAATAGGATAATTTAAACAAACAAACGAATGCAAAGGGCAGGGTTGTGCATCATGGAGTTTTAATGATTTTAAAACTTATTTGACAACTTCTGCCTCACAGAAAAAAGTTATATTTTTTAAACTAATTTTCAAACTAAACTCCAGCTTTCGTCTAATGTAAGAGTTTCCTCTGTTAGATGTATGACCCCTGCAAATTTCAATCACAATGACAATATTGATGATAATCACACACTGTCCTCTGCCTTCCTCTCATTAGTGATACCCCCTGCAGCTATCTCTTAACTCCCTCTGACCCCGATAACCTCAGGCTGCAACATGTGGCTCTACAATCACTCATTATTATCGAGCAGGGCGTCAGTCCACCACAACTGTTACGTAAAGTAAGTCGCACTCAGATTAGAAACAGTGGATCAGAGCTGGAGATATTTAAATCATTACTCAGTTGGAGTTCTCCACTTAGCGACAAGATTGAGGATTTTTATATTGTAGTCTTAAAGGGATATTCCAGCGTAAAATTAATTTATTGTCAAACACACTGTAACACAGAGTTAGTCACCCCCTCAAGAGACGAATGTGGCCGACCGTTTGATTCTCTAATTATACCAACTTTAACAATGAACGCAGGATAGCATTACAGATAGACACACGCTCAACCAAAACGCCACTCTATAGCCACAAATAATGCTCAGAACAGCACCTCACTTCATCAACAGTACATATAGGGTCCTAGCCACCAAACATCTTTTTAGCTTTGCCTGGTTTCTTTAGCAAAGAGACTAAACATAACTCACCTACTCTCTTCCAGCAGCTGCTTGTTTGTAGCGAGACCTCAGGCCAGTCCATTACGGACAACAGCGGGGTGACGCAGCTCAAGGAAGAACATTTATGATCATTTCTTCATCGTTTCCTTGAAGTAATAATCACCATATTGATCATTTTCACTGCAGACCCGGTAGTTCTTCTGCCTTAGCGTCTCGGACTGATTACATTGCATCCGTGAATAAATATGTGGAATTTTAATTTTACGTCGGAATATCCCTTTAAACTAGTGTGAGGGGGTAGGTGTTAGCCTTGTTTTTATCACTGGCACAAAAAAGAGTCACTATAAATGATACACTGAGTGTCAAAAGTCTGAATGTTTGGATTTTTAGTTAGAAGACGCTCATTCATTGCTGCTTGCAGCTTTAATTTTACCAGATAGTTCCGTTTCAAAGTGCAGATTTTATTCTGTTTATTTTTGTTGGCTGTTTATTTTTTAGGCTGTCATTGTGTGAAGATGGCACACAGCTTTTGTTGCACAACCCACCTTTTTTCTGGGTGCTGTAAAACCAAAGCATTTTACTTGCCTTGCGCCTGAAAACACAAACTAAAAAGGATTTCCTTCAGGCTTTGACTTCTGGGTTTTGTAAATCAAACTTATGTTGCCACTCGGTTTTTAATAGCCTCCTTGATAAAGCCACTAAAACTGCAGATGCATTTTCATCATTTGATCATTTTAATGCGATTTTAATGAGATATTCACCCTTAGAAGAATGTGTAACAGCTGCAGGCAGCAAATCAAAAGTTGGTTATAAAGCTGTGTGTTGCTTTAATACAGCCTTTTGTTTTAGTGCGTGGCTCAGCTCTGACCTCTGCTGTTCAGCTGTTGTCACTACATCAGTAAGTTTTAACACACATCCGTCACATGCTGTTCTCCTCAATGACTCACTGGGCGCTGTAAAGACTGGACTCATGACCTGATTGGCTATTTGCATGCGTGTGTGTGTGGAGTTTATGAACTAAAGTCTGCCATATTTGTCTTTTAAAGTGTCTTTTATTGTCTTTTCAAAAATACTTTTTCAGCTTCACTCAAAGTGGTACAGTCTTTACACCTGAAGCCCCGCCTGTTCTGAAGTATATTTGTTATATTATCATCTGTACGTGTTTCTCCACCACAAATTACACATACATGTAAACACATACTGTATGTGCACCCGTCTAACTGCTCTCATTACGTCTATATATTTTCTACTAAGCTGCACAACCTGTTCTTATAATTCAAACAATTTGCTCTCTATGTGCAGGACAATTTACTGCTTTAATAAGACATGCTTCATCTTTTCTCTAAAACCACTGAGTTCACTTTGAATGTCAGGTTATGTATGAAAAGACTTCCTGGTTAGAGTTTAACCCAAGGGGATATAATACATCGCAGTTTAAGTTTGATTTATTGAAAGTGTATCACACCATGACAGCTTAAGGATTAAGTTGGATAGTTTGATATAATTTTCAGAGTCATAGTCATGAAAATACAACTGTGTCTTCTCTAGGTCACTCCAAAGGTGCTCTATCAGACATTACTTTTATAGCTCAAACACTTTAAACGGCCTTGGTGACAGATTTAGTTCACAAACAGCCTGTTTAGTTTGGCAGCAGCACAGGTGCAGGAACAGAATTTTAGATTTAATTTAGCGGCCTCCAACATTGGCTGTACTGGTTTGAGCATGCTGCCTCTCGATCACACAATGACAGGGCTTATTTAGATACAGTAACGCAGATACAACACCTGTGCCTTTCAAGCACTCATCGTGTGACACTTGGCAAACAAAGGCAAGGCACATAACATGTTTGCACCACTTACAGCACTGAAGAGGAGGCAGATTCAAAAGTCCTGACCTCTTTAAATTAGTTTAAAAATCTGTTTTCATCTGTGTCAGGACGCCTATTCATTTAAATTCTGTACAGACAAAATGAACATGTTACTTTCTCTAACTCTGTCAGTGGGATACTCCTGACCAGTAGGTGGCGGTATTTCCTCTTACTGCTTGGTTCTCACATGTGAGTATGTGAGGAGAGCCTCCAGGTATATGCCCGGGCATGAAAAAAGCGGTGCCAGGCACAGTCTGACTCAGGTTTCCTCAGGCAGAGATATAATCAATCACAGTCCTGATAATCAAATTAAATCCTGTCCCACTCCTTCCACTCTTATGTGTGAGTAGTCCTTACTGCTGCTGGTTTTGACCACATGCCTGTAAACAAAGAGGGCTTAATCTTTTCTGGTTTCTGAGTGTCTCCTCAGTGACTGAACTTACACTTCTGAGCTGGACACATGCTACTTTCCCCACAGGTGTGTTGGTTTGTGTCATGACAACATGACAGTTGAACCCGTTTTAATTACACAACAAACAGCTGTTTTAAAACCACGAGCCGTGCACCAAATACGTTATATTAGCTGTATGCTTACCAGCTAGCTGTGGTCACATATACCCTACATGGGGAACCACTCAAACAAGACATGAGGCCAGTGCAGAATCACTGAAAACTGCAGTTCCTTAAGTGTCCACTTGAGGCTGACTGCGAAAGCACCAGAAACCACATACACACCCATTCTATAAAAATTTCTAGAAAAAAGAAAAGTAAAGAAAATTATTTTGATCTATACATCTCATTTCTCTAGCTGGTGAAGGTGAAGCCACTCCGAGAACAGCACCCTCTGGTGACGGGCTGCAGTATAGGTCATAAATTCTGCCTCCACCAGCAAAGCTTATGGAGCGGTGGACAAACTTTAGAAATGTATTACACAGAACATAAATGTTTCTCCCCCTGGTTGTGATGTTGACATGTAGTTACTGTAAGACTGGTTTGTGCTCAAGTCCTCTTGTTTTCTGTGCAGCTCTATTTTAAAAAATTATTGGGGGTTCATGTTTTCTATGATTGACACCTAATACAGCCTATTAACGTTCAGGGATTGCGTAGCTCTCCCAGGGGATACGTTGTTTGAGCTGAGTGTCATCACAGCTACTCTCGGTGACTGCGCGGCCGAATGCGCGCATCGCTACTGCTGGTTTCAGGAAATGAAGAAAGATCCCGGAAATACCGAGAGCTATTTGGCTTCAAATCAGTAAACAGGCGGTAGGCAGAACCAAGTTGTCCATAGTATATACAGTCTATGGTAACAACCTTAGGGTTGAATTTTTGAATTTCAAATTATTTCAATAAGTGCCCTATAAAGGGTTAAGTGGGAATTTGTCAGTGTGTAATTATTACAATTAAATATCTGACTCATAAATAACGGGCAGAGCTATAGTAGAATACTGAAAGGGTGTGTAGAAATAAAAGGTGCGCCCCTGGTCAAAGTTCAACCGACTCCACACAGTTAGTCTGATCTGACCTTAATTTAAGAGTTTTCATTGATCTGTTTGGTAAACACTCAGCGTTTCAGTCTAAACCACGTGTTTTCTTGGACAAAGTGAAGGTATAAAGGGTTAAAGCTCAGCAGCAGCAGCAGCAGCAGATCAGCAGGTCTGTCTCCAGCAGTTGTTTCATCGCTCGGCGGGCGGGCAGCTCAGGCTCGCTCCGATATTTCAGCTCGCTGTGGATTGTGGGAGTCGGGGACTCTGCCCAGGCTTGTTACCGGAGAACGGGAGATATTTTCCGCCGTGTCCTGTTTTGTGAGTACTCCTCCGGGTTTGCACACAGCTTCAACTAGCCGACCGCGGTCGCTTCTTCGCGGCGGAGTAGGTTTCCCGATGTTTAACGGAGCCGTTATCGTCGCCATTTCGATGTTTGCTGGCATGGAGGCCGAGAGAGCGGAGAGCGACCGAGCTGCTGGAGCTGACAGGCGGGGAGGGGAGGGAGGGAGGAGCGGGCAGCTGCCGCCGCTCTGCCGGGGTTATTCCCACCGAAAACTCGCTGACCTTAACGAGGAAATGCCCCTACATCGCCTGACAGCTCCTTTTGAGCCGTTTATTCGTCGTCTTAGTGTGTTTGTCGGATAAATTTGCCGGTTACAGATACGAGGCGGGCTGTTGGCATGCGGAAATCGTTGTGTTGTCTGTCACTGACCAGCAGGAAGAAATGCCCGGTATAACCCTCCTACCTATCTTTACACCTGACCGGAGCGGGCAAACACCGCGGATTAAACACCTTCTTACTGTCTGTCAATAATACTATCATTTTTAATTTATCGATATGTTTGATAAGGTGTGTTTTTTCTTGCATTAGAGCAGGTTTAGATAAGAGCCTGGCCTTTGGTGTTGCTAATTGATTCAGTAACAGCTAATTGATGTCGACATCTGTTTCTGTAAAAAAGGACTAAAGTCAGCATCACTTTGACTTTTTATTACATTATTCAGCAGTTTTAACCTGTTTTAACCTTAAAGTCTTTATTATGCCAATTTGCATTCAATATAAAACCCCATGTCACGATGCTAATGGCATATTTAATGATTAAGTCTTGGTGAAAGTGGACCCATTCATTGTCTTTAAGAGGATCCTGTGTTTTCAGGGTAATCGCAGAAAAACTTGGAAATCCCAATTTAGAGTGAAAACAGCAGCTGGAGGACATGAAGAGAGTGTAAAAGCAGGCGTGTTAAAGCAGGATACCAACAAGAGTTTTTGTTGTTACCGAGTTTGAGGTTGGGTTAGGGGGTTATCAAAGGCGTGGACCCTGAAATTAGTCATCAAGTCCATAATAGTCGACTAAACGTCTTATCACTGTCTTGTGTTTTCATTCAACACCATCAGATCTACTTCGACAAAGTTACTACGCTTTTGGTTTTTGTTAATCCAGTCAAAACAGGTGATTAGTTAAAAGGATATTCAGGCGTTAAGTTAAGTTAGGGTCAAACACACGATAACACCGAGTTAGACACCACGTCGAGAGATGAATGTTGTTGACCGCTTGCTTCTCTAGTTTTACCAACCAAAACGCCACAGCACCTAACTCCATCAACAGGACATATAGGGTCCCAGCCATAGTACTAGCCACCAAACATCTTTTTAGCTTTGCCTAATTTCTAAACACAACTCACCTACTCTCTTCCAACAGCCGCTTGTTCGTAAGGAGACCTCTGGGCGAGTCCATCGATGGCAGCGCGGTGACGAAGCTCAAGGAAGAACATTTATGATCATTACTTTATCATTTCCTTGAAGTCATAATCACCATATTAATCATTTTGCACTGCAGACGCGGTAGTTCTTCTGCCTTAGCGTCTCGGTCTGATTGTATTTCCATGAAGAAATGATCATAAATGTTCTTCCTCGAGCTGCGTTCACCCCGCTGCAGTCGATGGACTCGCCCAGAGGTCTCCATAGAAACAAGTGGCTGCTGGAAGAGAGTAGGTGAGTTGTATGAAATAAGAAATCAGACAAAGCTAAAAAGATGTTTCGTGGCTAGTACTATGGCTGGGACCCTATATGTACTGTTGATGAAGTTAGGTGCTGTTCTGAGCATTATTTGTGGCTGTAGAGTGGCGTTTTGGTTGAGCGCGTGGCTCTCTATTGCTATCTGCAGTCGTTACTAAAGTTGGTATAATTAGAGAAGCAAGCGGTCGGCAACATTCATCTCTCGAGGGGGTGTCTAACTCGGTGTTATGGTGTGTTTGACCCTAAATTAATTTTACGCCGGAATATCCCTTTAAGGTAGTTGTCAAAGTTGTGTTTTTTTAGTGTTGTACTGGAGTACTTTGAATTGAAGGGTGTTCCCAGTATTTTGCTCCCCTTGTGTTTGCCAATGAAGGGGACAAAATATTGGGTACACCTTACCACTGATGCCACGCACTATCTTTAATCGTAAATGTTGAGTCCATTAACCACCTGTCTGATCGTGTCAGTAAGGACTGTACATTTAGAAGAGCTGATGAACCTGATTGGTGTTCATCATATATCTTAAATGAGAGGATTGATCCGTTAATGAACCATGTCGATATGTTCCTGCAGAGAGAGAGAAACTGGTCGTCAAACAAGCATCATGTCCAGCCGAGGAGGAAAGAAGAAGTCGACCAAGACGTCCCGGTCTATCAAGGCCGGGGTCATCTTTCCTGTTGGGCGTATGCTTCGCTACATCAAGAGGGGCCTGCCCAAGTATCGCATCGGCGTCGGGGCGCCTGTATATCTGGCTGCAGTTCTGGAGTATCTCACCGGTGAGATTTAGAGATTAAAAACATGTAGAGATGAACTTTTTCATAACACCGAAAAGCTAGAAATGAGTCCAGGACCACCGTACTGAAGTGTTAGGGGTTATATTCAGAGGTCCACTCGATATTCGAGTCCTGCTGCAGACATTATTCTTTATCGTGGAGTATTGATCCGTTTGTCTGTAACAGTTATGAGTTAAAGGTACACATTTTTCTTACACTCCTGTTGTTAACCCAGGAGACCATAAACAGGAACTTATTTTCTAAACCACATGTGCGCCATGGTTATCGATGGACGGCACTTATTTTTTCCTTTCCTCCATGTAGCTGAAATCTTAGAGCTGGCAGGAAATGCAGCCAGAGATAACAAGAAGGGTCGCGTCACGCCACGACACATCCTGCTTGCCATCGCAAACGACGAGGAGTTGAACCAGGTCAGTCGCTGCATGTTTGTGGAAAACCAAAATGTTTAAGACGTGTGAATTCTTGGTTGTTTAATAGAAAGTGATTTTTAAAAAGTTGTCCAGGACTTCCCAAAGTGTACAAAAACTCTTCTGCAAACTTGTGAACTTGAACACTGTCGTCTTCTCTGTCTCAGTTGCTGAAAGGTGTGACCATCGCAGCAGGTGGAGTCCTGCCCAACATCCATCCAGAGCTGCTGGCGAAGAAGAGAGGAGCGAAAGGAAAACTGGAGACACCCGTCTCACCTGCACCTGAGAAGAAACCCAAACCCGTCAAGAAGTCTACAGCCAAGAAAATGAGCGGGAGGAAGGCGGGAGGGAAGGCTAAGGTAACAGACCACCCATCCTGACCTCTAACTGTATCTGTCAGAAACATATTACTATGAAATGAAATCCAGCTTCGTGATGACAACTTGGGTTATGTTTCTTCAACAGAAGCAGGGTGATGTGAGCAAGGCGCCGACCGCAGACAGCACCACAGAGGGGTCTCCAGGTGACAGCTTCACTGTTCTCTCCACCAAGAGCCTCTTCCTGGGTCAGAAGGTCAGTTTTCTCTCTGTTACAACACAACACTGGACTAATATGAACCCTAGACATGTCTAATTCCTTCATTACAAAGAAGTAAGTTTACTCTGAACGAGCAGAAGTGATGCCAGGCTGAAGTAAGAAGAGTGAAAAAGTCTGGACCATCTGGTAAAACACCCCTGTCTTAAAACGCAGAGGGAGACCAGGAATTAATATTTGATAAGTCAGAGTTTTGTGTCTGCTTTAGAAAAACTATTTAATTTATTCCAGAGCAACTGTAAAACTCTGGCTTTTCTCTTCTCCTCAGCTGTGGTGTGTAATTCATAAAAATACTCCCACAGACTCCAGACTTTAAACTAAACTCTGCTTTTCAAACATCATTTTATCTCCTCTGACACTGTGAACCAGTTTAGCTCGTTGAATCATTTAAAGAGGATGTCATATCTGAATTATGTTGTTGACTATGATGTATGTTGTTTTATAAAGTCCAGTCTGTAACAGGTCTGCTGTAATCACCAGTCTTGATTTCAGGTGTGATAGTCAGAACAACCACAGCTGCTGCGTTAACTGCTCGTCTGTCCTGCTGCACTCAAACAACAAAAATCCTGATTAAACCTTTTTTTTTCTCTCTCTTTTGTTATTGAGCTGAAACATGGAAGTAAATTTGCCTCCAAGTGTCATCTGAGCTTCTTTAAACTTTCAGATCAGAAGCTCGTAAAAAACAGATCGGACTTTGAAAAACATAAAAGCAGGGGGGGCGTGTAAGAAAGCGAGTGACTCAAGACTGATGCAAGCAGTGTCATAAGTCCCCAGCTGCTGAATATTAACCAATAATTGCTGCTTTAGTTTCATTTTGGCACAGAGTTCGATTGAAAAATTTACTTCCACCACCAAGCGTTGCTAACGGCTTTGCATGCTTTATTTTCTGCCTGCATTTGCTCGCAGTAACGGCTTAATAATTCCTAATAGTCCTGACACTCTGCTTCACTTTCATGGGTGATGTTTCTCTACTCCACATGTTCTTAGTTTTCTTAATTCAACCACTTTTATGAAGGATTGATCACCATATAGAGTTTGGTGTTTGCATTATTTGAGGTAAAACCCTGATCAGCAGCAGCAGTAGTGTCTGTGAGCCCTCACTCCCTCCTCATTACTTAAATGGCTCTCTGCTCGATTTTGCGGCTGACCTCAGACTACAGCAGCTGTTTGAATCAGTGGATGATAATTAATCAAACGAATGCTGTTAACCTCCCGCTGATTGAGATAAAGACTCCAGGGTGAAAAAAAGCTAGTTTGTTTCTGTTTTTCAGACTTCATTAACATAACAACACTTATTTTTCTTCTGCCCAAATGTTTAGCCTCAGTCTGGAGCTCCATCAGCTTCAGTCTCACTGCTTCACTTTTGGCTTTTTAATTTCATTTTTATAAATTTGAGTCATGATTAACTAACCTTTGAGGCTGACAGGATGTTACCTTTGCACTGAAAAAGTTTAATATGTACAAGGATACCTCGACGTATGAAAAAAGTCACACTTTAAATGAAGAATTATGATCCCAAAATCACCGTCTGTCGTGCTGCCTTAAAACAAATCTACTTGCAGACGTTTCACAGAACCAAATGGACACCAACATTTTTATTCTTAATATTTCATTGTGGGAACCTTCCCAAAAGGATAAATAAATTTGATCTAATCTAATCTTTAAGACATGTTAAATGTTAATAAAATGCTGTAATATAAATGTTTGAAAAGGAAAAGCTGTAAACACTCGAACATTAAACACGACAACAAAAATACATGAAAACCATCCAAACCTGTTTAAAAACACATAAAAAATCTTAATCATGAAGAGGGTAGAGCTCTAAATCCCTGACGAGTTGTCGAGTCCCTGGTTTTTACTGTACCCCCCCTTTAATCCATCCACAGAGCCCCCTGTTCAGCATGATCCAGCTGCAGATAAAGTAGGGTATGCGCTAACAAGCAGGGGTGTGCCCAGACTTTTCTGACTGGGGGGGCCCAACATCGACTCTGACACTACAGGGGTGGCCTTAAGTTTGTGAGCGCACACATTCAAAGCATTTATTATTGCATCTCTGCTGTATCATCAGCCTTAGGGTTAAATAGTTATTATAAGTTCTGCCTCTGACAGAATAAATAACCAAATAAGAAGATGGTTTTTTATCACTATGCTCAATTTTAGGAGTGTTGCCCCTGACAACCATTCTGTGTTACAAACTAAAACACTTAACTTGTGCAAAAGAAAGATTAAAAAAAAAAAGCATGTTTGAAAACAGGAACTAAAAGAAACTTCCAGAAATAATCAAAACAAACTTAAATGTAAAACAAAAAGTCAAAAATCTCAAAAATATTATAACCTCGGTTTACTCCAATTAAAAACTGGGCATGGCTCAGCCTGTGGAAGTTTATTTCCCACCTCACCAGGTTCGGCTAATTGGTCCCTAGTATCTAAATGTTTAAAAAGACAGTTTCTTCTTCCTTTGTGCGTTTTGTTTCTGTCTCGTCCTTTTCTAACCCTCAAACTTTTCACAGAGCTGAGCCCATTTGAACTGAAGTATAAAATAACCTCATGTTCTGTGCTGTGAAAGTCCAGATCAGGTGTTTTATCGACACAAACTGAATCCACCTCTTTTATTTGAGGCCGTTTTTTCTCCTTCACACCCTCCGCCCTGATCGTTTCCACTGAGATTTTAAATAATTGAGCATTTCTCCGTCAATACACCTGCAGACCTGCAGACCTGCTGTCCTCCGCTCACTCCTTTCATTTGACACGTTTCGCTGTGAAAATTACAGCAGAGGCTGTTTGCAGTGTCGCGTTTGTCGCAGTGTTTTTGTCTACAGGGTGATTACGCTCATTAACATATGACTCAAAGCGTGGGCTGCCGGTCTGCCTTTAGACATCAGCTCTACGCGTCACACACACTCACACACACGCACGCACACACACACACACACACACACACACACACACACACACACACTCACACACACGCACACACACACACACACACACACTCATATTCAGCTTTTTCTGACCGTGCACACAGCTGCAGATATGTTGTTGTTGTTGTTGTGTGTTCACCCGCACATATGTTAAATGCACAGCGTTCTAAACCGTCAATAAGTCAAGGTATCCTTGTGATCAGAGGTGTGAATCTGGTTTTAATGGCTTTGCTTCCTCCTCCTCCTCCTCTTCCTCTGCATGCTCCCTCTCCTCTGCAGCTCAACCTTATCCACAGCGAGGTCAGTAACTTGGCTGGCTTTGACGTGGAGGGGGTCATCAACCCCACCAATGCTGAACTTGAACTTAAAGATGATCTAGGTGAGCCCCCCCTATGTGAGGTGAGGTTTAGATGTAAAACCCTTGAATGTTGAACAAACTAAACACTCAATTAGCACAATTACCGGGTCTGTTTATTTACTCTGCGAGCAGCTTCGTTTTATTTATTTCTGGATTTAAAATACATCCACAATTTCCATGTCTAATCCGTAGCTCTTAAGTGACTGAATCAACTTTTTAAAAAGTAACTGGAGCTCAAAAGAAATCTGTAAAAACAAAGATCCTCATTGCACACCAACTCCTCCATAGGTTCAGCGATGTTTCACTTAATCAGAGTATTAGGGTCACGTTAAAGGGAAAAATTAAGTCTGGAAACTTTTTAACGATGAAAAAAATCTTCTCACAAGAATTAAGTCGTGAAAAATCTTTTTTTAACAGGTTTAGTTTTTCAGTCATCATGCAAAAAACAGTAAATATCCACAGTCCTGACTCAAAGCCTGAAAAAGAGACTGAACAGGAAGAAGCAAAAACCTGATCTCATTCTAGATTCAAGTAAAAACCTGAGAAATAAAGGTGGAGTAAAGTTTAATATAAGAAGAATAAAGACAGAACGTAATAAGAATATAGTCGCTATATAATTATAATAAAGTCAGTTTGTTATTAGAATAAAGTCAGAATGTAATTAGAATAAGGTCAGGATATTATTGGAATAAAGTCAGTATGTCAGTGTGTTATAAGAATAAATTGAGTAAATCATAAAAATAAAGTCAGTGTTTTTAAGAATAAAGTCAGTATTTAATTATAATAAAGTCAGTATGTTATTAGAGTAAAGTCAGTATGTATTTAGAATGTCTATGTATTAAGAATAAAGCAAGTTTGTTATTAGAATAAAGTCAGTGTGTTATTGGAATAAAGTGAGTATGTTATTGGAATGAAGCCACTATGTTATTAGAGTAAAGTCGTGCTCAAGCTGAACTAAGACAAGTTATTCTCGATGTTTTTGTTCCTTAGCTGTGTGTGTTTTAAGTGTCAGGTTTATCGTTGGCTGAATTAAAAGCTTTTAAAATGATGTTAGTTATGTTAGAATAAAATTATTATGTAATGTTATCCTGCTGAGAAAATGACTCGGAATAAAATTTAAAAATCTCAATCCTCTAAAACAAAAACCCCTTTTTAACGTGGCGCTGATACTCCATCATATTATACAGATTTTGACTTTGGGTATGCCCCGCTGTTTGAGTTGACTTCCAGCCTGACTTGATGTTGTTGTCCTGAGCGCACTTGTGCAACACCATGGCAACAAGCTGCATGATCAGCATGACTTACATGCAGACGGACAGGCACCAACCAGCCGTCACATAACGGCCACCTGTGCAGAATTTTTCAGTGATGATTTGAGACGTGGTTATGATAAAGTTTCAGTCAAACACAATAAAAGAGAGAGAGACCAAACATCGTTCTTTATGAAACGCTCAGCAGCAGCCTGTTTGATGACGGCTCTCAGAAAATAAACAGACTTGTTAATGATGTTGCTCACAGAGTGAAAAAAAAAAACCTGGTGAGGGTCTTCACTTTGATCCAGTTTGACCTCGAATGAGCGAACCTGCTCTCCGACTGAAAACACGGAGCAAAGACAGAGAGATCCTCTCCTGCAGATCAATCGAATCAGGAATGAAAGACATAAAACGCGAACTTCTAAGGAGACATTCAAGAATTTTATCAAAGCTCCTCGAGGAGAAAACCTGCCCGCTCTTCCCTCTGTATCCTGCTGGATGTGTTGAGATTCACTTCAGGTCGTCCTCCTTTCAGACGGCTGCCAGAGCTCCATTGTGCTTCATAGCCGGAGTAATTTCAGGACAGTTATTAGGATGAAGTCGAGGAGAAAACCCGACATGAGCCTCAGTTAGACACTCACGGCAGCCCGGCTGAAAGGTCGACTGTCTGGAGTCCGGTTATGAAACCTTTTGAACGTTGTGGTGAGCGAGAAAAGAGAGACGGCACAATTAGTCAGAAAATGAGTCGAAATATCTTCATTTTGTTGTTGAAGCAAAAAGAAAAACAAGATTCAGGTTTGAAAAACGAGCCAAAGATCTGAAGATTTGGTGTAATTGACTGTTATTCGTGGCGTTTTCATATTAATCTGGCCAAATGTGCCGTCCAGCTTCCTGCTTACGTGACGCCACCCACCGCGTCCACAGTAGCCTCCTTGTTTCCTGTGACCTCATCAGCCAATAAGGAGCACACTCACCTCTTTGTCTCCTTTCTTCCTGTTTGTCTCTCCTCCTCCTCCTCCTCACATCTTGACCGTTCTCCGTGTTTTGACCACCATGTCGTTTTGCCTGTCTGTCTGTCGTTTGCTGTCATCTGTAGTTGCAAGTTGTCCAAGCCGACATTTCCATCGTGGAGAGCGACGCTGTCATTCACCCGACCAACTCCTCCCTCTATACAGGTGGTGAAGTAGGTAAAGGAACCTTTGTCACCACGGAGACCGCAAGTGCCTGTCTGCTCTCTCTCGCTCTCTCTCTCTCTCTGTCTATGTCTCTCTCTCTCTCTCTCTTTCTGCTCACTCCTGAAAGTCTGCGGTGCCAAAATCGCAGCTGCAGCTCGCTCTGGATTCTGCTTTTTAAGTTAATTAGCTGGTGCTTTGCTCTGAAGAAAGCCTGTTTAACCCACAGCTCACCCCTCTGGCTGCTCACGTGTTTGCATCGCTGTAATACGGCAAAACATGGACTGAAAGAGCTGTTATTGTACCATGAGTGAAAAATTAACTCGCAGAGGCTTGAAAATGTGCACGCAGGGACTCTCCGATGTGCCAATTAAGCGTTCGTGAAAAACTCCGCTTTCCAAGATCTGAAAATCAGCTGCCAAAGAGCGTTAGAGTCACACGCTATGCCTTCATTAACCAAACCCAGACCTCCAGCTCAATGTGGACACTGTGAAAAGGATCATTTCGATTTGGCAGCTCCCTGTTTTTAAGAAAAGAAAACGCTGATGTTTGGCAGCTGAACGCGTTTCCCAGACGTCAGAGATTCCTGCTTTTTTAACCGGGTACTGTCCTTCACAGAGATGTCAGTGATGCTGGAAGGATAAACTCAAAGATGACCATATTGACATGGAATAAGGATGCTCCCTCATGGGCAGAGGACTCTGTAAACGCAGAGTCCTCACTTAGAGATGTTTGGATGCAGTTTGAGATCAGCTTTAAAAATGTTTTACTTTCCCAAAACACGCAATCACATATCCTTGTGCGGATAACCAAATCATGAGCGCAGGTTTGAACTATAATAGGATTCAGATTGACATTTACAAGTATCTTAACCCCAATTTCCACCGCATCCGGAATGGCGGCAAAAGGGCTGTATGCACCGATCGCAGCTGATCGTTTCCATTCAAGTTAATGTGTCAATTTCCACCGGCTTCGTAGGCCCCCTACGGTTCAGCGGACTCTGCAGCTGATCGCCAGGGTTCTATTTTTTTCCGGATGCCGCAGAATGCTGCATAAATTCAGCACAGATTAACCCGTGCTGGAAAGGAAGTTTGGCACAGATACAAAATAAAACATCCTGCTTCTTTTCAAAATAAAACAAAAATAAATAAAACGGGCGGAGACGGACTAGTTAAAGGTTTATAGACATCCGAAATAATCGCACGGAAAAAAAAAACGCTCCCGGTGTGAAAGGACCTTAAAAGTAGATATCCTCCTCTGGAAGAACACAATCTACAGCTTATATGTCTATGTGGCTGTCTTTATAGAGACAACACTTTATCGCGCAATTGCATGTGAATCCGCGGGTTCTTGTGAGTTCTCGCAATTCCTACTGTTGGAAATCTGCCACAAAATTCACCTTACAAATGCATCTGGTGGGAATTGGCAGATGGCAAAAATCGATGCTGTTCTGCAGTGGAGCCGTTGCGGATGTGGTGGATATTGGGGGTAACTCTTGCTGCCCTGCTGACTCGGGTTCAAAGATCCCATCACATTATTTTATCTGTTCTCGGTCTGAACACTGGATTATTTACGTCAGGTTTTTAACTCTTCCAAAACGTTTAAATCTGACCGCAGTGAAGACCGAGTCTCTGCTGCAGCTTCTCAACCTTTGTAAGTGAATTTTTTACTTTGTGCACAACGTGAACTAAAGGAGTCTCCTCCTGTGACGCGGCTGGTCTTTGTGCCTGTGATGATGCTCTCCACTCTCTGATGATGTTCAATAATCCCTCTGAAGAAATGTTAGACGGTATCAAAGTGCTGTTAGTCGTGGACGAGATGCTGAGTCAGCCGGAACATGATCCACTCAGCAGCAGCAGCTGGAGCGTATTTCTCTGTTTGTGTCCGCCGCTGCTGCTCATCACTGCTTTGTTTCTCTTGATTGTTGGTGATCTGAGACTTTGCTGTCAGATCAGCTGATTGGAGACAGTGATTCGCTGAATGGACCGTCTGTTTTCATTTAAGAGGAAATCAGTGCATTAGTGTTACAGCATGTTACTGTTAATATTCACCTGATTACTTGTGTCAGCTTTTAAACTATGAATGATTCTGGACGCTAACCTGATCATGTTGTTCCCCGTCTGTCTGTTTCTAAAGATGATGATGAAGCAAAATTGGAGCTTTTTTTCTGTCCCTGATGGACTCTCTGAATCTCCTCTCTGGTTGATTGTGGAGCTCCTCTCTTTAGCTCTGGTGAACTTCTGATAGTGTGATCTTATCACTTCTCTACCTCCTTCTTAGAGTTACTGAAGTTGCTCCCAGGACCTGATTACTGAAGCTGTGTGAGCAAACATCGTTAAAAAGGTGGAAAAATAAACGCTGAAGTGAAAGAAACGACTCTGAGTCCAAGCCAAGTGTGAGGACAGAGGGAAGTAATTATGGAGCGGGGCCTATAAGGCATTACTGTCCTGACTCAGAGTGAGTCATTTGGAAAACAGCAGCTTTTAATCTTTGCACTTCACGACCACTTTTGTTCAGCTGTTTAACAAAGTTCAACAAATCACTAAAGAAGCGGTGAAGATGTCAGCTCAGAGAGAGGACCAGCGAGACGATTGACAGCATCGTTGTCCGCCTGCTTGCCTGACTGTGTGTGTCTCTTCATGTTGTCTTGCTTGCCCGTTCTTCTGTCCGTCTCTCTCTCTCCATCTCTCTGTCTGCATGAAACCACCTCTCAGACTCTCTGTAGTGAGGATGAAATGACTTCAGCTCCTCTCTCTCTCTGCTCTCAGGCACCGCTCTGGAAAAGAAGGGAGGGAAGGAGTTCATTGACGCGGTGCAGGAGCTGAAGAAGAAGAACGGCCCCCTGGAGGTGGCTGGTGGTAAGTGCGCAGAGCAGATTGTGGTGTTGCTACTATTGCGAATAAAAACAAAACTGAAAATAATTCAAAGAAAATAAAAATAATAATAAGAAGCATTTTTTTTACACGTCTTAGATTGCTTCGGTAGAAGAAAACTAAACTTTTTAAATAAACAAACTTATTCTAGTTTATTCTAGGTTATTTCTATAAATAGTATATATGTATAATCTCTCATTGTGGGCAGTATTGACAGGGGAAAAGTGGGATTAATTCACAGCTTTGTAAATTCTGTTCTGGTAAGTATTTCTCAAACTCTCAGAACTTGACTGGTCAGGAACGTTTTTGTGACCAAAGTTTTGCAGCAGAAGGATTTTCGTTGTATTTGATGTAGACGATGATTTACAGAAGACCAAAGGAGACGATGAAATAACTTTGATGATACTCCTCTAAATTTGATGGTCAGGGTAGTCGGTTTGGAGCTCTCTGTTCTTTAAAAGTAAGAAAACAAAAGGATTTTGACGACTTCAGACTTAGCAAGGGTTACGCTTGTAGCCGACTTCACTAACTTTTAAACTGGATGTTTTCAGGTCTTGATAAAAAAGGAGACGCGACATTCAAACTTTAGACGGTGTCAGAGCGAGTTTTTTCTCCGTCCTGTGCTTAGGCTCGGTTATAAGAGGAAGGTTCAGCACAGTGTAGTTTCTCCTGCATGAGCACAAGGATGGGGAGTCTATGTGGACATGATGCGACTGTTCCTCTCCTCGCATTTCACCATTAATATAAATGATAAGCGTGTTAACCATACTGTTGTGTTAAACTTAAGTTAAGTTAAGTAAGTTAAGTTATTAACTTAAGTTTTTTCTCTTGAAATGTGTGAAAAACAGCGATTGTGGATTTGAACTCAACGAAAGCATCAGAACATTTTTATCCTTTTTCTCTGTTTAAAGGCATGGTTGACGATTGGAGAGATTTGTGTTTATTATGAACCTCGTTTCTATGGCGATCATGGTCCTAGAGTGCGGTCTCCACAAAGTGAAGAGAAAAAAGGATGGAAAAAATCCGTTCACCCTAACAGCTGCAGGGCTGCAAAAACATTGACCTATAGGAGCCATCTGTCCCGGACAGCTCCTATTGGTCAATCTCCTGCTCCGGCAGAAGGAGGACGATAACAGTCATCTCTCTCTCTCTCCTGTCATCACTCTGCGTTCGTTTCTTCTCCTCTGAATTTACTGTTTCAGTTCCCGACTTTCTTCCAGCATCCCGGCCGAACTGCAACAGTGAAGTCAGTGTGTCCCTTAAATCCATCCTCTCTCGGATCCGGGTGTTTTTGGAGTCCACATTCAGAAAGTGATGTCCGGACACTCAGAGGGGTTTAGGGTTTTGGGTGTGAACTCACAGATCCGGCTCGTTTGAAGCTGCCACTTTTCTTTTTAACGGGACTTTTAGAGAAACAGAGAAACCATCAAAGACTTTCTTGGCGCCTCGTCTCTGCTCTCCGAGACTTCGGTCCAAATCTGAAGGCTCCGGTCTTCTGAGAGTCGTTCTGTTTAAACCCTCGCAGATTATTTTATCTTCCAGTCCATTTGTCTCTTTTCTCTCCTCTGTCTCTCTCATCGTCTTCCTCCATCTGTCTCTCTCATTATTCATCACTCACAGTCAATTTCTCTCCCCACCTTCTCGCTCCCTCGCTCGCTCGCTCACATTCAGCCAAACCAGCTCAACATCATAATCCCGCTCTCTGCTGGAGCTCATAAATAGATTACCAGGTGACTGAACACAGAGCCAGCGGAGCCTTTCAGGGGTTCTGAAGGATCCGGATCAGCCCAACAGTCATCCTGACCAGATCTGGGTCAGGACAGCTGTCAGAGAAAGTACTTCAGGATGTTTAAAGTACTTCTTAAAAGTATCTCCTAATCTGGATTATGAGGAAACTCTCAAACTCAGGCAGGTACAGAGATATTCACTGTGTTTTTAGTAGAGAAATCAGAAAATCAGGTTAAACTTGGTCTGGGGATTAATAATCTCAAAACAGTTAAAACTAGAATAAATGAGTCCTGCACTTTTCCTCAGTTAATCTCATATCATCATGTCTCATTATATTCTCTTTCTTTCTTTCTTCTTTATTTATCTCAAACTTTAAGAACAACAACAAGCAACTAGAAACAAAAACACGGAACAATATAAAACATATGTTCACCAAACAACTGTACATGTCAAAGATGAATTAACATATGTATGTCAAAAATAAACAGTTTGAGAAGGAACAGAATGAAGCAAAAAGCCAATCTAGTCCTGACCCTTCCTCGCAAATTAGAGATTTAAAAAAAGAAAAAATCTATTTCTATAAATTACAAAGATCTGTATAAATACATACATTTATACACAAAGATCCCTGCTCACCACCCAACAGGTTACTTATTATAATTACTTGCATTATATTATAATAACAATTAGTGTTATAATATTCAGAATTAATATTACTTTTATGCAATCCAGTAAATCAAGTATAAAACCATATTTTTTGTTAATTTACTTATATGAATCTTTTAATACTCTCTATAGTTTGATTTAGATATTTTAATGTTAAAGTGACATCCAGGCTCTTCCAGAGTTTAACACAACAAACAGAAATGCACATACTTTATTCAGTGACCGACTCTGATGTCGATCACAAACATCTTATTCCGCTGTTGTTGTTGTTGTTTTATCATGTGAGAAAATCTGATGTAATTATGATAAAACCTGGTAACCTCAGACAGACGCACATTTAAGTCAATTTTAAATAATTCCAAGACTTTTAAGAAAATACATGTGATGATGCTGACATTTGTTTGTCAGAGTCGATATTTAACTCCATTATTTAACATATTTTAATAGAATATTTATCAAACATGAATCAGTAACTGTTTGATTTGATCTGCTGTCTTTAGGGAGGAGAATAACACGTTATGATTACAGAGGACGTCGCTGACAGGTCCGCCTGCAGCTCTGTAGAAATAATTTATGAAAATCAAATTTACATTGAACAAAATACGATTAAAACATATTCATAAAGTTTCTGAACATAACTGAACATGAACTGTTATAACTGCAGACTCAAAAGTCGGAAAAATATCTGCTCAGACATCTGAACTGAAAAATGAAAATGAACTGAATAAATAAAAGCTAACAGAAAGAAAGGGATGGGAACTGGTAAGATTTTATTGATATCGATGCCATTATTGATTCTTCTTATTGATTCAATTCTTTAGCGATTCCCTTACCAATGCCTTTCTTTGATTTAAAAAAAAGTAGACCAAAGGTTTTCAATGTTAACTTAAATTTTGATTGGGTCTCATATAACAGAGAAGGATGTGTGCCACCTTCAGTGAGAGTCTAAAAACAATCAAATGGCAAACTATTTGTACAGCGTTTACTTCGGTTGGTATAAAGTCAAATACGTAAGACTACCCGACAAACGTTGAACGTCACGCTGTTGTCGTCTTTCTTAGTAAATTGAAGCCTCACTTTAGATCGTTTCTGCCCACTTTTCGTAGCATCCACTGTGTTTTTTTCCTCAGAGTCTCTGTTCTCGTTCACGCAGAACTGGCTCTTATGAGACCGTTTTTCAAGTCACCCAAAAGAAAGAGATCGTCAAGGGAATCATTAAGATAAACGTAAATGATGTCGATGAATTGAACTATTTGGAACCAGTTCTCAACAAGAACCGGTTCTCGATTCCCATCCCTCCAGAAAGATAAAGAAATCCTTTTTCCTCGTTGTTGCGGTTGTCAGCGTTGTTGTCGTTGGCCTGAGCTGGTGAAGCCTCTCTCTCCCTCTGAAACTTTAATCACATCTGCAGGAATAATTCATAAAAAAATTAATTTTGCATTTAACAAAATAGGATTAAAACATTCTTACCCAACATTTGTAAACATTTGATTTAATCATTACAGACTCAAAAGTCGGTAAAATATCTGCTCAGACATCTGAACTTATTTAAATAAGAACTGAAAAATGAAAACAAACTTAATAAATTAAAGCTCACAGAAAGAAAAAGAAATCCTTTTCCCTGTTATCATCATTATCACCCTTATCGTGTTCGTTGTTGTTGTTATCGTTGTCATTATCGTGTTCGTTGTCGTTGGCCTGAGCCGGTGAAGCCGCTCTCCCTCTGAGGTTTTAATCACATCTGCAGGAAAGTTTCCTCGCCGTCCTCATGATTTGATTGACAGGCGATCCCCAGATTTGCGTTGCAGCGAAGCTCTCTCCCAAACCGTTAAAGCAGTCGAACTCTCTGTATCTGTAATCTTCATCATCACCATCATCATCATCCACACACTTCACCTCCCGGTCAGATCACACACACAGTCAGACGAACTCCCGCCCTGCTCTGAAGTGTCTCCATCCTCTCCATCGGCACTCCATCTGGAAATCAGCTCGTCGTCGGTTCGCTAATAAAACCTGACTGGAGGTTTTCTCACTTCACACAGTCGGAGGCTCTGGCTGAGTTTTCACGTCCACAGCTGCTGGCTTGTCTTCTCTCTGCTCGTCGGTTTCCCCCTCCTCTCCCTCCAGCTGTCTGGAGAAGTGATTTCTGGAGCCCACCTCGCAGTCGAACTCTGCTCAAACCATTTCAAGCTCTCGGAGATTTGCCGAATGTATTTTCCAAAAAAGAAAAGTGTTATTTTAGCATCTCCGGTCTCCAAGTTTGACTTTAGGGGATTTAACTTCTGACAGAAGCAGTTAATGAAGCTGATGTTTGACTGTAGAAACACAGAGGTGATGTGAGGAGATGAGACACATGTCAGAGGTCAACATGTTCATTTACTGTCTGAAGAAAGAAAAACAAACACTGTGTTTGTGGCGCTGATCGCTCCTCATACTGTAGGTGGCAGCTGTGGACGACCACAGAGACGGGTCTGTCATTAAGTGTCATTATATTTGAGACTTGAGTAAACCTTCATGTCAACATTTACTCAGCAGACTGATGTCTTATTGTTTGTTTGTGTTGGCCTCTCCTCTCTGAGGGACGTGTTTGCTGGTGTAACGCTGAAGCTCGATGTTTTTTTTTTACTGTTATTGTGTTGTAGTTTTATTTCAGGATGACCTTTGTTGACCTTCTGTGTGAAACTTTTGTTTATTATTCACTTAAAACGTGAAACAGTCGAGTTTTATTTTCTAAACTGACTCATTCCCTGTTTTGTGATATAACCTTGACGATGATCGATGTTTATCGACAAAAAACTGTTAATATGTTAAAGTTCCAATCAGAGTTTTTTCACACAGACAAAAAAAATGTGCTAATATTACTTTTCTCATAACTCCTGCTTCCTCCTCTCCTCTCCTCTCTATCCTCTCTATCCTCTCCTCCCCTTCTCCTCTCCTCTTTATCCTCATCCTCTCATCTCCATCCTCACCCTGTCCTCTCCTTTCCTCTCTCTTGCTCTCCTCTCTTCTTCTCTCCTCTCCTCCCCTTTCCTCTTTATCCTCACCCTCTCCTCTCCTCTTGATCCTCATCCTCTCATCTCCTCTCCTCTTCTCTCATCTCGTCTCCTCCCCTCTCCTCTCCTTTCCTCTTCACTCATCTCCTCTTTATCCTCGTCCTCTCCTCTCCTCTCCTCTCTATCCTCATCCTCTCTTCTCTATCCCCTTGTCTCCTCTCCTCTCCTCTCATCTCATCTCTATCCTCATCCTCTCTTCTCTATCCCCTTGTCTCCTCTCCTCTCCTCTTCAGCTGTCCTGACTGGCGGTTTCGGTCTCCCTGCGAAGTACGTCATCCACTGTAACAGTCCAGGTTGGGGGTCCGATAAGTGTGAGGAGCTGCTGGACAAGACGGTGAAGAACTGTTTGGCTCTGGCCGATGAGAAAAAACTCAAGTCTGTGGCTTTCCCGTCTATCGGTAGCGGAAGGTAAGAGAAGTGACAGAAACACACCTGGAGCACGGTCAGATCACAGATTCACAGATTCTGGTTTGAACATTTTCAGTTTGATGTTCTTTTGTGATCTCAGTCGTCACTTTAATTTAAGGAGGATTCACTCTGGTTTGGTCTCAAACTGGAGCTGCTCACAGTCTTAATCAAAAACCTAAAACAGGATTATCAAGTCCTGTTGAGTTGTCTGTCTTTCCAGAGGAATATGAGGGTGAATGCTCTGATAGTTTCAGTTAGGGCTGGGCGATATGGCCTCAAATCAATATCAGGATATATTGATCAGTTCACCTCGATAACGATAAATGGACGATAACTACTCCACAAGCTGCTCACCCCCTCCCACATTAACTTTGTCTACTTCAGCCGCTCCAACTCTTGACCCGTCCTCCATCTCCTCACCCGTCTTTCCCTGTTTGTTACGGACTGGATGGGGTGGAGTCACATCTCTGACGTAGGACAGCGTCTTAAACAGACATGAGACCTTAGCCTACCTACACACATCCAAAACCAACTTTGATTTATTCCTTTTTTTTACATCAAGTATATCAATATGGGCAAAATGACATCAGTTGTTGTCGTAAATTTCAGTGTTGGTAAATTTTCGGTTTATCGCCCGGCCCTAGTTTCAGTCCTCTGTGAGTCAGTCCAGTCTGAGACTTCTTCATTTATGGTGAACCTAAAAATGGGTCAGACCTTTGCAGACCTTTGAATCGAAATCAGACGGCTTGTTTGTTGGTGCATCTCCACCAGTGTTGTTTTCGACGACGTTGATGAAAATATTTCGTCAACGTCATTGTCACCGAAAACAACACTGCAGAATATACGTTTAGCGTTTGACTGACGAAATGCTCATGAATTTTGTGACTCTGCTCGTCGTCCACCACTAACGTTTCGTCTATTCTCGTCAACGTGAACGCACATTCGTCTCGTCACATTTTAGTCATCTAAGACTTATGTTTAGCTGTTTTGATGAAAATATTTCGTCAATGCCCCTTTTTTTCCACAACAAAGACGTGACGTTGACGAAATATTTTCATCAACGAAAACAACACTGATCTCCACAACATCACCAAATAAGAAAGTGAGCCCCGTGTACATCTCATATTGATAATGCTTAAAGAATATGTTTACCCCTGTTTTTACCGTATCTTGAATACTGGTTATTAAACCCTGAAACCAGTCGTTTCTGGAGGGGACAGGCGGGTTCTGGGTCTGAAAACACCTCCTGTGTTTGTACGTCCACCTGTCAACTGTCTCCTCTCCATCAGGAACGGTTTCCCCAAGCAGACGGCGGCCCAGCTGATCCTCAAGGCCATCTCCAGCTACTTCGTGGCCACCATGTCTTCCACCATCAAGACCGTCTACTTCGTGCTGTTCGACAGCGAAAGCATCGGGATCTACGTGCAGGAAATGGCCAAACTGGAGGCGAGCTAAAAGAGTTCGGCGTGTTCTGGAGTGTCTGCCTCCTCTCGCCCTTTTCCCCTCACTTCAGTTTTATTTCTCCTCTAAGGAAATAGGAAGGTGTTTACTAGTGATTTGTTAAATATGAAGAAAAAAAAGAAGAATCTTTCTTATAGGCCGGGAACTTGTTTTTGCATTATGTTTGTATTTTTCTGATATTGTTTTTAATTTTCTTATTTACTTGTCACTTCTAAGCGTGCACTGTTCATCCTGCGGTCTTTTACTACAAACGGTGCAAACACAAAAAAAAGACTCGCGTAAGATTTAATTTTCGTGGTTAAAGATGTTATACGAGAGCGAGAGAGCGCTTCACCTCGATTACAAGGCTTCCAGAGAAGTCAGAAGAATACGGGTTAATGCATGTCAAAGCAGTAAAGATAGCAAAAATCAGATAGACTCTTTTATTTTGATCTCAAAAACACGACTCACATCGATTCAGTGTATTTTCAGGAGCATCGTTTCTGTCGTTGGTAGTGTTGGTTGTTGGTCTTTAGGAGACCGATGTGATGGAACTTTTGGAATGAGGTTTTGTTTTTGTGACGTGCAATGAAAAGATATTTTTGTGTGCTGCGGAAACTTTGAATTTCCAAAAAAATCTCAATCCGTTTGTCGAGAATTCGATAAAACCTCCACGCGTACACTCATTTACTCTGTCCTCCTCATCGAACTCTACACAGACGCTCCACATTCATCCAAACAGTTTAGACATATGAAACGGAGATTGTAGGTTTTTGCAGGGCACAAACGGTTTATATTGTGTGTTCCTATCTGTGTTTATATCGATGGAGTACTTGTGAAACGTTATAGTAAAATATTGGACTGTAACAAAGTCATATTTTTTACTTTCTATTATAATTTTGACACTTTAACTAAAAGATGGTTTTGGAAGCATATAAAGAAAAAAGTTGTTTGTGTTAATTTTTCCGTGTTTTGTCTTTGTTAAGCCATAAATCTAATGTACTCACTCTTGCTGGAAAAATACAGTCGAGGTCCCGTCACTTTCAGTTTGCTTTTTCACTCAGCAGCCACCAGATGGCGCCCTGTAATCAAGAATTGGGAGTTTTTCATTGGAGCCATTTTCTGTGCAGCAGCAGGCCTCTCCACGCCGACGCTGGTCTATTTGAGTTGGATTTAGATTGGGACTGACGGACTAACATGAGGAACCAGACTGCTCTGCTGCATTTGGACTTTTCAAAAGCCTAACTTTCTTATGAGATGAAAAAAAAAAAACAGAAGAAATGTAAATTGCTTTCTAAAGAATTGCTACAATTGATGATTCTACAAAAGGTCTGTACACACTACGGTAATAAAAAAACCTTTAAAACAACATTTTGTTCCTCATGAAATCATGAAATCACTCTGGGGGCGGTTTCCAAAAACGGAGAGTGTGAAGGTAACGTGTGAGAGAGAGAAAACCTCATTGTTCCTCATAGAGATGTCTCTTCAGCATTATAATAAATCAGTCTACGTTGTTTTACAAGCAGAATAATCTGAAGTGTTGCTGAACAAACGGCAGAAACATGACGTGCTACATTTATTGGATCCAACTGAAAGCTAAGTCCAAAAACCTCAGGGTTTTGAGGATATGAGGACCAGGAACTCCAAGGAAAAGAAAAGTGACAAGTTAAAAAAAAAATTGAGACTTTTTGACACCTTACTGTCAAACTACAAAGTATGGTTCATGTCCTCTGCTTTGGTAGGTGGAGACCAACTTCGCTTCCGTCGTTATATGAATTTAAAGCTGAATTGCTCTCGGTATTTACAGGTTTTTTTCTCCACTTTAGGGCTTGACATTAACTTTTGTCACAAGAAGCACATGAGCTCCTAAGTTGTAAAAGGAAGGAGCACACAAAGAACTTTATGGGCACAATGAAAATTGATCAAATAATGTTGTCTTATCGGTCGACGTAAATACTATTATTTTAAATTGACCCTATTGAAGGAAAACAGCCTTTTTAGAGAACATCAACCGGTAATTTATTGACGGTCTCTTATTCAACACCCGACGTTGACAGTGAAGGTGCCGCTTAGATTTAACCGCGCTGTTGTTGTTATTCCCAGCTATGGAGAGTGAGGAGACACCAGTAGATCTGCAGCATATGTCCGTCAAACTAAAACTAACTTTACGACGATATTTACATGAAAAAACATTTGTTGCCTTGGCTGATTTTTTTTTTTTATGCGCACATGTGCCCCTAAATACATTTTACAATTCGCACACATCTATTTTTAGTTGCAAATGCGAGTGAAACGGTCGCACTGTCGAGCGCTGCACTTCCTGGAACCACCACTTGCGCAGTAGCGTTGTACACATTCGGCGGGAGAGTCCCAATCTTAGTACGCCCATAGGCTGTATCAAGTGTCAATCATAGAAAACATGAACTTCCTAATAAATTTTAAAAATGGAGCTGTACAGAAAAAAAGAGGACTTGAGCACAACCCAGTCTGACAGTAACTACATGTCAACATCACAACCAGGGGGGAGAAACATTTATATTCTGTGTCATTAATTTCTAAAGTTTATCCACAGCTCCATAGAGATTGCTGGAGGAGGCGGGATTTATGACCTATATTGCAGGCCGTCACTAGAGGGTGCTGTTCTCGGGGTGGCTCTACCCAGTGAAGAGGCAGACGGCGTCAATTCTTTATACAGTCTACAGTGGAGACACACCTTCCTTCAGCTCGTTACTATCAGATCGTCTTACGTATCAAAACAGTCGACAGTCTGCACAGGAACGGAAAGAAGCTGGTGGACATCGACACATTGACTTGAGTGGGTATGATCAGCGGATACGGCCTTTTCATTGCCGTTCCAGATGTGGTGGAAATTGGGGGTACAACATCTAGAAGTCAAGACCACATGTGAAGTCAACTTTCAGGTCGCAGTTCTTCGTTAAGTGATGCAGAAGGTTTAGAGTCTGGTGGAGATTTATTTCTTGGTGTCACCGTCAAATATTAAAGGTACAAAGTGACCGGTTTAGTCCACCATACAGGTGCAGGCGAGTTCTCTTGTTGTGGGACAGATCCAAGTCTTCAGTCCCATCCTGAGGCTACATGCTGGCAGGGCACAAAGAAGACCAAGAAGTCAGATAGGGGTCAGTTTCCCAGCCATCCAGGGAGGCCGGGACCTGAGACCTCCTCTGAGGGCGCCCATCTGACGCCTAATCCCCAGGAAATACAGGCAGGTTTCCCCCCCTCCTCCACCTCTTTCCCTCCTCCCCACCACCGTCCATCCATCCATCCTTTCCTCTGTGCTTCTCCTCGAAGGCAGAAAAGCTCCGTAAATTCAAAGCATCTGTACGGGCAAGGGCCAATCTGAGGGCCGCCTTTCCCAGAGCCCGCGCAGATGAAATTTTATTCTTTGCACGAAAAACTTACAGGGGGAGGGGGAGAAAAAACAGAAAATAAAGTAAAGCAAACAGTGGGGGAAGATCAAGAGGGAGAGAAGATGAGGGGTAAGGAGCTGGTCATCAGAGATCTGAACCGTTCTTTCTCTCTGCGTTCATGAGAAGAAAGTTATTTTCTGTCCTTTATGGCGCTGAGTCCAGAGTGATATCAGCTGAAGTCTGTTCCTATCTGCAGCTGATATCAGTCCAACACGCTGACGTCATCAGGCCGGCTGGATGGGAGTTTGAGTCAAAGCTAAAGCAAAGTTCTTCTGGAGAGTTTGGGATCTTTGTAACTTTTCCAGGATGGTGACGAACATCGTGTGACTTTTCACTGACCTCAAGAGACTTTATGGGTGTGTGATGCATAAAAGCTGCTCTAAGTTTCTATAATATATTTAGGGCTCGAGACGATTCTGCAAGCAGCGAGCGAGAGCCCTATTGAAATTGCCTGTCTTAAATAATTGTATTTTGCTCTGCCCCTAAATATATATATATAAAAAAGGACTCACTAGCGCACCCTACAGTTTTCATGCTTGGAGAGTTTCCTGTATAACTTCCTGTACACTGGTTCCACCTCCACCAGATTTTAAACAATACTTTATTTATGAACATTATTCAAACTTTATTTTTATCATACCATACTATAACATTTTAGCGTACTAAACTGTGATATTTTATCAAACTTAAGCATACTTTAACATACTATAAAGTGATATTTTTATCATACTAAACTATGACATTTTTTCATTATACAATACTATGATTTTTTTCATACTATACAATGACATTGTTTATCATATTATAGTATAATTGTTTTATCATACTATAATATGTCTCTTTTAATCATACTAAACTATGACATTTTTTTCATACTATTCTATGACTTTTTTTAACATGTATTGCTCTGACTTTTTATCATGCTATACTATGGCTTTTTGATTATACAAACTATGACATTTTTTCATACTTTCCTTTGATTTTTTGTAACACGATACAAAGAAATTTTCATCATACTATACTATGACATTTTATCATACAAGCTATGATAGTTTTAACATACTAAACTATGACATTTTTTATCAACTAAACCATGACATATTTTGTTATTCTATACTTTGATTTTTTTATCATAATATACTATGACATTTTTTATCATAATAAACTATGACACTTTTGTTTTACAAAAATTTTAAATTTTTATTATACTATACTTAGACTTTTTTTTTTCGTTCTACATTTTGAATTTTATCATACAATACTACGCCATTTCTAACATAATATACTTTTGCATTTTTCCATACTATAATTGGAAATTTTTAACATATTTTACAATGACATTTTATCAGTATTAACATTTGAATTTTGATTGTACTTTACTATGACTTTTTTTTCTTACTCTACTCTGACATTTTTTTAATCCTAAAAAGTGAAATTAATATCATACTATGCGAATAATTTTTTTTTTGTACTATACTTAAATTTCAAATTTTTATCATACAATACTATGATGTCTTTTATCAAACTATACTGTGAAATATTTTCAAACTTAGTTTTGAATTTTTGTCATACTATGCTATGACATTT